TTTGGCTCTATTTTCTACTACCTTTGATGTTTTGTCCAGTTTGCTTTACTTGTATAGTGCTATTGTGGCTATTATTATCACTCTCGTTTGTCGTGCGAATTTCCTGTTTGTGATAAATTATGACCAGGAGGTTGTTTATGAAAAGCATTTTGTATGTCTGTTTGCGACTTGATTACCCGACCTAGCACGCTACCAATTGAGCTATTTGTATGATTTGGTTAGCTGGATAATAAGTCGGTCTGTTCTTAGTTTATGTTGTTGTCCATTGGAAACGTTTCGTGTTTGGTGCTGCCTCGTTAAGTTATTGAGGAGCGCGGGACGTAGGGTGTAAGTTTGCAAGGGACTGAACTTCTTATTCCATAGAGTAGTAACATGAGCATTCAATGCAGAGTTGTTGTCAGTCATACCCAGCGGGATTTTCGAGTGATTTCAGTGAGGGGCTTGATTGTAATGATGACGCGTAATATCGCAAATGTACAGCTTTATAATTATACGAAGCAATGAAACAATTTAGTTACGCTACAGATGTAGCTATTGCCCTCAACCGTTATTCTAACTAATGGCCTTCACTTGTATGGGATGTTGTCGACACTGCAGATTTGGAATTACTTACTGCTTGCGGAAGCGCCTGGGTTTCTCCATACCGAACATTATGTTTAGGGCACACAATTTGGTGACAGTTTATGGAGACTAATGATGTAAGACGCGGGATTGTAGTATACGTATTTCCCAGACCACGTGGATGAGGGTTATTTATATTTATTTATTTTAACACATAGGTATTGGTACATGGAGGCACCGAATACATATGCGCCACACAGATCTCAATTGATTTGTGTGAGGGCTGTGATACTGCCCGGGTGCCCAAACCGAAGCAGGTGGTTTTCTTAAGGGTCCACACCTCAAGCCTTCGACCTGAACGTCTGACCCACAAGGCAGTGGAGCATCGTAAGGAGATGCAGTCCCATTGTAGCCGGTGACCAACGATTGGTTCATACGCCATTTGTTCCTTCAGGATACTGGAGCCCATGTGCACCATTGGTTTGGTATCCGGTTGAAGCCGGTGCCGGACATTCGCTTTTCGTCCTCTCATTTTCGTAGACAACACCCACGCCACGAGAAGGCGGTGAGTAGATCTTCCCTGTCAGAGGCTATATACGCGTGGCCATGTGAGAGCATTTCGAGAGGGAGAGCAGACTCTCCCCACTCTCGGCCGTACCAGGGCATTTGGGGGCGCTTATTGTGGGCTGGTGTACACGTGTGTGGTGATTGTCGCAATTACTGGTTATAATCCACTCGACGTGTACATAATTGACTAGTTGAGTTCGTCAACATACTGCATCATACAGACATATCATAATACTTATAAGGATATTTGGCGGAGTGTTGTTTCGGGTTATTGTTGTCTTTGGTTGAAGTAACAACTAAGAACTGGTAGTTCTATGCTTATTGCTTTTACGTTTGGAATTGGAAGATGACTCTCTAAGCTTGCATGTATGTGACCGCATACACAGTTGAGAGATATTGTTTCGATTAGGCACTGAAGACCCGAGTCTGTTGGTGTTTGATATGAATAGTTCCTGTCATTGTGTTGACTGTAGACTTTCACATTTTACTTCATATAGCTGGACTTTGGTTTTCTTTGTTTTTGAGTATTCAGCCGTCAAGTCGTTAGCATTTTTGTTGCGATTACTGAGGAGTGCGTTGTCGTGATTCTGAGTTTATTCTGCAAATGTTTTGTGGGTAATGAACAGTGGGGAGATATTGTAGTATGGTAATTTTGTCTTTGATATGATTTATCGGCTGTAATGGCCTATTTGTTGGCATATAGCTCTGAATAGCGTCTATTCATCATTCAGTGTGTGCAATCAGCTGTGGAAATACCGGTGATATCTACTAGTAACTTAAAGCAAAAGGTAAGGAGGGGTAGTGGATTTCAGAGAGGTCTAGAGAACTGATAACTACTCGGAAACTCATCCCTCCTGGCTTTGAACACGACAAGCAATGGGAACAGCTCAAAGGTAGGCTGATAGGAATCCTATGCGGAAATCGTGAGCAGTGGCATGTAGCGCAAGCAGGAGAGACGGAAAAGGCATCAGAGATAGGTAACAGTAGGCAACTATCCAGACTTATCAAGGAAACAAGTATGGGATCATGATTCACTCAGTCCACGACCGTTACTGCTACCTTGGCATGGTGGTTGAGATTAGCTGACGTGATTAATAAGTCGAGCTATACTGGCTGGAACAATCGTTTCTCAAGGTCTACCATGTTAGTTAGGTTGTTTGAAGAGCAGTAAGACTAAAAGTAACAAACTCAAGGACTGAGGGTGAAGTAGTACTGCTAACTGTACAGAGATGTTTTCTTCAGGCATCCAGCATGCCAGCGATGCTGCCTTCCCACAAGGAGGGGTTTGGGTTGGCAATGTCTACCCTACTAGTGTACACCTCGCCTTACCCCACACATATCGGTCTCCGGCGGTAAGGTCTCAACAAGTACGGAGCTAACACGAAAACTACACACAAAACGGTCGTGCGTGACCGACGTCAAGCACTGCGGTCACGCTCTTGGGTAACCAAAACCACCTCTAACCCAATTTCCTTTTAATGATTTAAACCAAAGGGTCGTGGAAAACCAATGGATTTCTGCGACATCTATTGCACTGATAGACTCTCATAGACTCATCACATCAGGGTCCGGACACAATGAAACTCAGAAACAAATCAAATATAGGTTAACCAAGAGTCTACGAAATGTTGGTGAGCAGTAGTGGGCAACGAAAGCAAAAGAGACGGGAAAGGCAGCGTTTGTATGTAACACCAGACAACTTTTTAGACTAATAAATTGAAACTGGAGTTAAGAAGTCATGTGTAAGTGAGACGATATCAGAAAAAGACGACGCTTATTGGCTCTCAGCCCAGACGTTCCAGCCAGTCTAGCTCAATTGGTTGCTTTTCATACGAGGAATTTTTAAGCTGGAGAAAACCCCTGGATTGTACAAGATTTATAGGTAATCATTAAATATTTTCCAAAGTTCATTGAAAGATACATGATCGCCAATGAAGTGAATGAATGAAAAATAGTCGGAAATTAGTAAATAAACAAAGTTATATAATACTGTTTATTTGACAACTAAGTCTTATGTGAAATGTTACAGTGGTCAACTATGGAGGATGTGAGGGATCGTTAACGGTCTGGATCAGTGGAAATATGCATCTAGTTAATGTACCCTTGAAATTATTATTTTTTTTATGATATGCAGTATACGCTTGTGTTCTTACGGTTTGTCTGGAGAAAGATTTCTCTAATACCACGTTTAATATCAAATATTTACCATAAGGACGTTGAGAAGTTCCACACCTTATTTATGAAGATTATATTTAAAGTAATCTCAATGATTAAGACTTAAGTAGTTCCGTCCATCGAACTTGTCTGCAACTCTTCAAGATAATTAATGGTCAAAATCAAAGTTGTCAAAGAATAGGTATAGCTAAGTTGGTTCATTAAGATAGGCAAGCCCGACCACCACGTCATAGAAGCAGCAACTGTCGAGAAACGATAGGCGGGACACTTTAAGGAGCAGTTCAGCTACTCTCCAACTACCCACCATTCCCGTGCAACCTGAATGGAATATTAAATTAGGTCCCGTGGCTCTCTCTGAAGTTTAAAAGTCCATAATTATTCTGAAACGAGGAAGAGCAGATGGATTGGCTGCAGAGATCTTTAGGTACGGTCATCGGATCACCATGGAAATAACTAATATGATTTTGGTGTTTATCTTGTTGTGTAAATTAAGTGTAGCAACTTGGAACGATGTATATATGTCCCTGGTCCCACGTTACAACTGATTGACTAATTCACACAATCCTGATCATGAAATAGATGTAAGTAATCAAACTCTTCGTGAGGCTGAAAAATCTATAAGTAATCTAAAGCGAGGAAGAGGTGCCGGTGCTGATGGACTAAACCCTGAATTTCGTAGGGTTAGCAGTGCAGTCTTATCAGTTAAATAAACTGAAACCTGAACTAAAATCTGGGAATTGGACGTAATCCCATCCTATTTTTACCGCTTTCTTTTATCTTGTCTTTTTACTGAATAATTGTTAGTAGTTAAAGTTTGTTGGGGAAATATATCATGCTGCTTGGGTACTTTTTCTTGGGCTTTAGTTAAAGCCAATGTCTTTTTTCTGTGATATTCGTAAAGATTCTCATGGTATTTGAAAACTGAATGTGAAATGATCCTATTTTACCTACTTCTTTAATGTGGCTGGAGATTCCCCGTGTTAAAATGCTGTATAATCAATCACCACCTTGGGATTTTTTTTCAGCATTTGGTCGCGTTATCTCCAGCATCAAGTAGATATAACTGAAATATATTAGATCAGAGACTGTGAAATGGAGTCGCTCTTGGGTTTTACACATCTATTAAGCCATCAATTAAGTTTGGAGTTGATTTGTGCTTTTATGTTAAAGTGAATTGGAACGCAAAAATTTTTTCTAGATTGTTCCACTATATTCATCTGGTAACGAGATCTAAAGCAATCGAGTTCCAAATGATAAGTCGCAGTTTTGAACCTCGCTTCATCTGTTTTGTTTGAGCAACTGAGTAGTATTACTATGTTCCGAAACTAAATTTTGGCTCAATGTTTGGTATTCAGATGTGTACTGGACAAGCGAGGTGCGCAATAAATTAACGAGAGAATTGTTTGTAAAGCTGAAAATGAATAAGTAATCTATCAAATTAAAATGATAATGTGTGTATAAGGCAAACAATATCTTTCAGGGATTGCAATCAGTTACGACTACCTTTTATGATATTCTTAAATATAGGATTAGGTATTTAAAATCCAAATAATCCATTTAGTTGGTCATAAACCAGCGTAAGACCTGGTACACATTTGCATAGACCCAAATTATCATACTGCACATCAGAACAGTGTAAAAGGAGTTTTAAAGAACTTGAAATAATATCACTTATAGCAGGAAACTAAACAAGAAATGCAGTTCATGAGTAACAATTAAGAATGTTACTGTTAAATCAATAAATGAAAAAAGCAATTGTGTCTACTGAGGTTTCTGGTTAAACTACGGTAAATCCGTGATTATGAACGAGAGAGACACGAATGCATTTGGTGCTTGACACAAAATAAGACATCAGGATTGGTAGTCTACACACCAAGACAGACAAAACGGGCCTTTTAGAATAGCTTGATATTCGGAACAGAAGTAAAAAATTGTAAAGGGACCAATCAGCTTATGTAATAACCTGCAATGACCTTGGAGGGGATGAGAGCAAACTAGAAGCAATTCAAACTAATTAGAAAACAGCAAAGGTCATTGTAGAAATGAGTTGGAAAAGTGTCATCAAGGTTATTATCCAAAGAAAGAGCCAACATATAGTAACAAAAGCCAGATAACTTGAACTGTCCTTAATAATTACTTAATTCAGGATTTAGAGAAGGGAAAAGAATGAATGTATTGATAGCACCAAGATTGGTTTCGAGTTATGTTATCGAAGGAACCTGTGTTATTATGTTATGTATGGAAATTTAAGAAAATAACTAAAAGTTCAAGTTCAAGGTTAAATACTTGTTAATGAATCATTGATGTACATGTCAATATTTAAGAGTACAAATGATACATAAATTTCCATACATAACATAATAACACAGAATATCAATAATTAATCTAACACATACTTACACACTCACACACACACATACACTAGATGTTGTACAGGTAATTATTTCCATGTAGTTGAATCTTTTTCAAATGGAATTGGAGTTAACTGACTCATTATATCCCATGTTACAAAAATCAACTTCCAAATTTGATTGTTTTAACAAAGTACAGTTATGATTGCTAAAAAAGCTATATAATTCTTTGATGATTTTGATTATTACCCTGAAGAAGTCCAGACAAGTTAGCTGGACGAAACGTTGGAATTATTTAAAATTTCAATCGCTGAGATTATTTCAAATATAATTTATAATAACTATCATAATGTCTGTTGATAATGACTGGAAGGAACACTGATTTATTTTCAGTATTAAATTCTATTTCATCATCATATATATAATATACAAAGTATTCCCCTCACTAATTAAAGGATTCTAACAAACCGAATAAACATACAGTTAGTCTCGGACTGAAACTGAACGTTCAGTGGAAGGAATTATTTGAAAGTTCCTTTTTGTTAGTCTGTACAATGTTGTAATTGTCGCAACTGATTTAAATGGGCCACAGCTTGATCATATTCTTTCATAGCAGAATACCATTCGTTATAAAAATAATTTGCATAGTCTACTAATTTATGATATTCATACCAAGCTGAAATTTGTTTAGAAGTCCAGTGAATATCATTTGTTGTGGGAGAATACTTCTTAAAATATGATGTGAAGTTTTTCGGTTTGATATTCTTAACGTTCACAGAATCGTCGTGATTACTATCGTCATCTAGAGTAGTATAACTAATATCGCTTTCATGATGATCATGTCGATTAAGATGCTGATTAGCTTTAGAATTGTTAATAAACTGGTTATCAACACTGTTCGCATCTTTTGAAATTTCTGAACTAGTCGATATCTGCATACCATTTTTATGATAACTAGTGAGTAAATTTAGAAGAATTTTCTCGATTTCATCCACATTCTGTGCAGATTTATTTTCCCAAGCTATAGTAGTACCCAATGGCGATACAGAATCGGTCTAATTAATAAAAAAAAGCGGTAGAAAAGATTAAACTGGTGTTCATATAAAGTTTTAAGTAGGATATTAAAAATGATTGGAAACTAGGAAGTCCGCACCCAAACATTCTGGTTTCAGAGATATATTCGTCACTATTCAACTACTGAATCTAATGTTCAGCAGTTAACACTTTTAAAACTCAATTAATTAGTCAATACAAAATGGTCATTTTTCATTGTTATTTCTAAGCGTCTACCTTATTCATCCTGATTAATTATACACTTTATGATTTCCTAATAAAGGTTCAAGAAATTCATTTTTTGTGAAATCAGTTTTTATGGTATCATAGATGCTGGTTTAATGATTATTTGGGGTCGACTGGTTTTTATTGAAATATACATATCCTGAGTGAACTGTTTCGATATTGTCATTCAATTACAAGTTTTTAGTTAAGTTAAATATTGACTAACTGTAGGATTTGGGACGCGTGTACTGTTCTGTTTGAGAATCGTCAACTGAATGCACATATATCCCATTGTTGGTGTTTCCACTGAGATGTTGTGTATTCGGCTGACGATTCTCAAATAAAATAAACACACATCCTATATTCCAATATTATCCACTAATAACTTGAATAAAACATTGTCAGAATGTTTCGATGGTAAAATTAAATCTAGACGTTTGTCTAAAAACTATTAAACAGATTTATGCAATAATCGTAAATTTCATTCATTTATACATGTGATATGTATGTACAAATTTGAGACCTACTTCAGATTCTATTATATCGATGTATTTTGATAACTGTACAATTAAAGCATTTTGATCATTCATTGACTGATAATGATTATCGTTTGTGATAGATTTCATTTGTTTCTTTTTTGAATTTGTTAAATTAGTAGAAATAAATTTCTTCTTTTCAGCATTCTCTTCATTTTGTTTAGAGAATAATGATGTTAATTCATTAGATGATTGGTTTGAATTATTGTGTAGTTTACTGTCATTAGTACTATTAATTTGATTTTTTTTTATTTTTGGTGTAGTCATCTTCATAACTGCACGTGGTTGAATACTATTCATACGATTTGTTACTGTCACTAAATTATCCAGTTCAATTGAGCAATTCGGTGTTGCCAAATCTGATGGTATAGGATCTGCAATAAAAGTTTGCGTTTTTTTTTAAATAAACGTTATATGCAAATATTTTTATTGTTTAAATGTATAAAAGTTAATCTGAACATTGAACTGTAAATATTAAACTTAAAAATTAAACAAACAGAAGGATTAATTTTATCGAAATGATTCGAAACTTCATAAGTTTATAAACAATGATATTGTTTTCAATTAGATCCTCATCAGGTTTTATTCTAATATACAATAATATTTATATGAATATGTGAAAATGAAAAAAAAACCAATCAAGGGAGTTTAACAATATGCACTCAGCAATCAGATTTACATATGAGGACGAATTTGATAACAAATAACATTTCCTTGACGTTTAATTAAACAGAAAAAAAGATGGTTCTATCAGCAAAAGTATGTATAGAAAAGTTCTTCAGTAAACCAATACATACATTTCTTGAGCTTTGTACCCACTCACTACAAGAGAAACCTAGTTAGAGTCCTTAGGAGTAGGGCGTGGAAGATATTCTCAGACGACACCGTAAAAAAGAAACTAGAGCTCATTCATAATATGTTGATTGGAACGGGTTATTCACAATTTTTTCTGACGAAACATTTGGATATGATGAACAGAAAAGTAATCACATGGAAAATTAGTAAAGTACCTCTTCCTGAAGCTATAGCTAGTGACGTAGTATGAGACAGACTGACCAAAGCAGTGTAGAGGACCTTTAATGCAGCCAACCTTTGTCTTTAATTAAGTAACCACTACGGGTAGACCAGAAAATTCAAGGGTATATTATCTAGTTTGCCATATCCATGTGTACATACAAATTCAGTAGCTACTGTGGAGAAAGCTATAATGGGTGCACAACCAGACAACTGAGCCAACGAATTAGTGAACACCTCTCCTTGTGGTTAGGAAAAGGTATCGTCAAAACGTAGCTCTGTTCTATCATAACTGATGATAGCGGTCATGTATTAGACAGATGTAGGTAATTTAAAGTGATTTGTCATCTTCCTAGTAGTTCCCTTGTGGGGTTCGATCTCATCTCTGACACATAGCAGAAGCTATAGGAATTCGAGCTAACAGCTCAAGTCTTTTTATTCATAAGAAATCTATAACACCCTTAACTATTCCTTGGATGAATTAGCTTCGAAAAAATATTTTATTTATTACTATTTTCCATACTTTATATATTTATTCTGCCAACATAATCTGTATAAAATTATTTAAATGATCTTTGGCTAGAAAGGAGAATCATCCTGGTCAGTATTGCGATAAAAAAGACCGGATGGAGTTTGGTGCTTTAGGGGTACTTTATAGCATGATCAAATATGACACATTGTATTTTGAAAAGTATAGAAAAAATAAGTAGTAACATAAACCTACCGGGTAATTCACGAATTTGTGTTTGACAGTTAGCTTGTAACTTTTTTAATAGATCACATTCATCGCCTACGTCAGAAACAATAACTACAGAAGCTCCGTAGCTTCCTGAAAAAAGTAATGGAGGTTAATATTTTGATACTAATCCATAATATACTTAAAATTATTTCGAAATATTGGTACGGTTAATTCAAGACGGTAGCTTATCAACAAAAACACTAAGTGATTGAATAGGATATAAAGTTATTTGTTACTTCAAAAAAAGATATACAGTATTGATTTTAGCCGAGGAAATTAGAAAGGACTGGACATCTGTGTCGTCTAACATTAGGATTCTTTGTCAGTAAGCGCTTACAACTCCGCTTGAGTTCTAATCCACAATATTTGAGTATTGTGGCCGGCATATTAACATCAAGTCATCAGGTTGGAATCGAATTGTGCATACTTCAAGCGTAAGTTGTTTCACAATATAGCGCAAAAATCAACCGATGACATAGGTCAAATGCCATGATATATCTTCGCTTGTAGCAATAGATGTGGACAATTGTAGACATACATTCGACTGGAAATATGTTGAAATCTTGGGTAGAGAAAACACAAGAACACTAGAGAATTATTGGAAGCTTAGGACTCAGGTCAATCGACAACATACATCGAATACGATACAATTTATCAGTCAGAAAAATTTTGGAGAAATATATCGAACTAAGAATCAGATCAAAGCGAGAGACAATCAAAACAAAGATACATACAATGATAATGATAGGCCAACAACAACCAATCAAGATGGAGGTCGATAGGACACACTGTTAGTCATATGTGAAGAAATTCGAATACCTTACTTCTACTTGAAGCTTGTGATGATATTGCTCAGAAGAACAATAAAAGCTGCACGAATGAACCATCCAGCTTAGAGAACGAAACTTTACCAGGGTTCATGGTGCCTTACATTTTTTGAATAATGCTATTGGATAATTTATTTTGTTACTGAATCGATTCGTGAAAAGTCATCGAAGCATTTTTTTTCATTGGAATTTTGAGTTAGACAAATATTGTTAAGTAAAGACTTACAATTTTACTGATATTGTTTCTAGATATTCACAAGTGAAGTGATGTTTCCTGATATTCTTCTTCCAGTTAAGTCAGACACTGAGGGAGAGGGAAATCAGACTTCTTATTCAGTGCAATCCGTTCTTAATATTAATTTATCAATTTACTCTACAATTTCAATAGGATTTCGGACTAACTAGAAAAATTGCAGAATGATATATAAGAACTTTCGTCGAAATTTGAAAGAATAGTTTCACGGTATTTAGGCTCTGAGTTAATGTAAGACATGAAGGAGAAAAAGCCTGAACCAGATTGTCGTGCGAAGCGTTGAACTTCGAATTCAATTGCCGAGATTTTACAAATATATTCTTCCTCTTTAAACTAAATAAATCTCTTAATTAAAATAGGTAATATACTACAGAAATTCGGAAGATAGAAAAAAAACAATGAAAAATCGACCATTCACACACATGACGGTCATATATATGAGTGCAAGACAGAGATAAAGATTATTATTACCGAATCTACCAGCACGTCCCACTCGATGTACATAAGTTTCATGCTCCCAGGGAACTTCTAGACTGACTACAAGATTGACATTTTCCGCATCGATCCCACGCGAAGTCTAAAAGTAAAGTAAAGGCTGAAATGTTTTATGAATTGAGATGATCATACTTCCTAGTTTGATAATAGTGACGCTAACTAATCAAATCGGTCTGGACGTAATCAGCATGCACGTATAGCAAAGGGATGTATAATGTCATGAACAATAAACCAACTGGTATAAAAAACACTGTCAATTCTCCAAATAGCCGAGTATGTGTGTAGGTTTGATTTTCAGCTTACTATCAAGGACAGTGGAATAGGTGAAAGCGGGAAACTTTGCAAGTTGTTCACTGGAAATTCGGTATATATATTAGCATATTTATCAAGCAGGTGAGTTATGGTAATTCTAAATTCTTTCGATTGTAAGCTTTCATATGACTTTAATTATTGTTATATCTTTTACTGTTCAAAAATACGCTTAATTAATCAAAAGCATGCTACTCAGTTTCGTACCATAAATATTCTAGATATGTAGATACTGAGATTTATTATTAACAGCGATCTGTTTTGCAGTTTATATACATAACCGCCCTGGTTTTAAAGTCGGAACATCAAAGAATATTACAAAGTATTTGTTTAGTTTCTTCCTGATCTTCTGATTGGTATTCTGGGGAAATAGATTAGAATATTTCATGGGCCGTAGATCATTTTTGTTGGAGTGATCCAGAAAAGTTCTTGCAAAAGACACGCAAGGATCAGGAAACCTTAAGAAGCATTTCATCCAATCAGCGTTCACTTGGAGTTTAGCCAGAAACATCAAGGATGTGAAACGTCACATGTGGAGGTTCTGATTGGTTGATTGTTACACCGCTACTATGTTTAGTAGCATTCCAACCCAAAGACATTTAGAATATTATAAAAACCCTCTGTTTTCTGTATTAAAATGAACCTTGAAGTAAAGTACTTTTCGCATACTTTACGCCTTCTCCATCGTGTTCAGGTCGCTGTATAGTTCTAGCTTGGGGGTTTCAAGAATTGCTTAGGAATCGAGTATAGCGTTCAAAATCGCAAGACTTATCAATTTTGGCACACACAATAAACAGTGTTAGCTGATTCATAGAGAGGGGGATATGTTAAAAAGATTATCATGACACTTACAAATAAATCAAGTAATAAAACACTAGCATAAGGGAAATATAAATAATAATACACATGTCTATCACTATGTATCCATTGTTTTCTTCAATGGGAACGTAGACATTACTTCTCCTGACAACAAGTCCCAAGAGTCGATTATTCAGTAAGGAAATCTGTGTTCCATAAAGGAGATATGGTTCATATTCACCATATAAAGTCATATTCTATAAGTCGATATTTACATATTATTCATAGGATTTATGGTTTGGGCAATTTAGTGGTAAATAACTATCATTTCTACACAATTCGATCAAAAATGAAAGTACAGAAAACAACCCATTTATACTCTGTAAGACAGATTTTTCTATTTTCTAGTTTATGTTATGCACTGACTTTAGACAACCAGTGAAATCCACGAATTATTAAACAAACTTCTCGTCCTGTTATAGGGCTTTTTAGCAGTGCGCATTCACAGGGGATCGGAACCAGGACCCTCAGGTTACGTGGTAAGTATTTAACCTTTAAACTACTGAGTCGGCGTCTACTGGAATAAAATTATGCTATTTTCTTTCTCTTCCTTTCACTTGTTCACATCTCACTCGATTTGATGATAATGTATTTTATAATGCTAAACTTATATATCTGAATTATTCAAAACCAACCTATTCTTTGCTATCTGATACCAAAAAGAAAACAAATATAGTGTAAAATTATACTTACTAAATCTGTGGTAATAAGTACACGACACTGGAATGTACGCAATTTATTGAATGCACGAAAACGTTCACCTTGTTCTAAACTACTAGATATATAACTAACTGGCCAACCACGTGAACACAATGCATCACATAAATCTTGAGCACTGTAAGATTTTTCCAAAAAACAAATGGGTAAGAGTTGTGATTTATACCATGACAGTTAGTAATAGCAGTAGTGGTCGAAGGTAGAATAAATTCCAGTTCATATAATCTTAAAAATTAGTAACATCATAAAGACTTTAAGTCTCACAAACAATTACTATATGAATGTTGGTAACAATATTCGATATTTTGAACATTAGTAAATCAAACAGGATTCATATTTATAACATAATTTTTGTAAGCTGAGTTAATTAAACTGCTGTCAATTTCACACTTAGATTTTTAGTATAAACCAAAGTCAAAGTAAGGAATTTGGTTATTTAAGTTCTGTGATCGAAAATTGGAATGTATACCTTATTTTACACATAACTAGAGGTTGTCATCAGGATGACTAAGCTTTGTAAGCATGTTTGGAGGGAGCTGGGAGAGATAAGCGATTTTTAAGATGACGATTGTAGTGCAATTATTTAATAAGAAAATTCTAATGAATTATTTCAAATAATCCTAGCTATGTGAAACAGAGTGCGGGGACTCATTTCATATAACTCTTCATATTCATTATCTTGAAACATGCAAATATTCTAGTGCAGTTATGAAACTTAATGAGTTGTTTGCAAATTTTCGGTAATTAGAGAGCGTTCAAACATCATGGAATGAGTCGATAGTTGTCCTTATCTTTACAAAGAGTTCATTTTGTTTCTGCAACAACTATTGAGGGATAAGTCTACTTTCGATTGCATCCAAACTATTGGCTTCCGTCATACTTTGTAGATTGTTCAAAACCCGAGAAAGATTGACTCGCGAGATGTAGGCTGGTTTTCGATCTGGTTAGGGATGTATTGATAATTTATTCACCCTCCACCAAATATTACAACACCGTCATACTTATCACAAACCAATAATTGTATTGATTCTTAACATTAGGACCGCATTCGATTCGTTGGACACGACTGTTCTTTGGGACTCTCCATTGAAGAAGGGCGTGCCTGAAAAGTTTAACATCTCGGAAGCCCTATATACTAACACTTCAGGCAGAGTGATGGCATACAGCCACCTCTCTCTACTGTTCTGTTTACGCAGTGGGGTTAGGCAGGGTTGCCCCATCTCACAATTCCTCTTCAACTTTGCCACCAATGACGTTCTGGAAACAGCTCTGATGGATATAGGTAATGGTGGTGTGGATCTGTTGCCTGAAGACATTTTGACATTGAGTACGTGGATGACACCCAAGCCATGCAATCCGCACTTAATGAGTTGGCATTTTTTGTTTACAGATATGGCATGTGCTTTGCACCTTCCAAGAACAAAGTAATTTCACAAGACTGGCAGAACCTTGAGCCTGCACTCACCCCGAGTACTAAGCAAATACAAGTAGTCGAGAAGTTCATGTATCTGGGTGGCTGCGCAAGTGATGAGATCAATTTACATATAGTGAAATCCAGAGCGGCTTATGTTAATCCGTTTAATCTTTTGCGCTTTCGTGATATTAGTCTAGTTGTAAAAGATCGGGTCTAAAAGCGTCGGTGAGAGCAAGTTTGCTTTATGTTTGTGAGATCTGGCATTTCTGAGTCAAGAATGTTAGACGACTCTCTGTATTTGATCATCGTTGTTTCTGAAGTATCACTGACATCCAGTAGCATCGCCATGTTAGTAACGTAGAGGTTCAGAACCGTGTGTCAGGGCACAGTAAAGATAATTCAGTTGGTACCACTATCATGAAACATATACTTCGGTGGCTTGGACATGTCTTGCGAATGTCGTCTCAGCGAATTCCACGTCGTACATTATTTGCCGACGCTGGAAAAAGCGGATAGGTGGTCAGTGTATGATATGGTGTCGTGGTATGAAAGACAACTGTACAGGACTGACTCCTGTTGTTCCTTCACGACTTCCTGATTGGAGTTATATAGATGGCACAACACAATGTCTAGAGACGCTATCAGACATGGCTCAAAATAGAAGCCAGTTATGATCCTTCTGTAACTCTCTTTTACATTCTTCATAAAAGTGAACGTAACTTCTTTAACTGAAAGAATTCTGTTGGTTGTATTTTTCCAGACTGAACTGTTCCATTATTATTATTATTATTACTTACTTACGCCTGTTACTCCTCGTGAAGGAGCATAGGCCGCTCAAAAGCATTCTCCATCCAACCCTGTCCTGGGCAATCCTTTCAAGCTCTTTCCAGTTCTTATTCATCTTTTTCATATCTGCTTCTATTTCCCGACGTAATGTGTTCTTTGGCCTTCCTCTTTTCCGCTTCCCTTCAGGATTCCAAGTTAGCGCTTTTCTCGTAATGCAGTTTGATGATTTCCTCAATGTATGTCCTATCCATTTCCATCGTCTTTTCCTAATTTCCTCTTCAGCTGGAAGCTGGTTGGTTCTCTCCCACAAAAGGCTGTTGCTGATGGTATCCGGCCAATGGATGTTGAGTATCATGCGTAGACAGCTATTAATAAATACCTGTACCTTCTTGATGGTGGTTGTTGTAGTTCTCCAAGTTTCAGCTCCGTATAGTAGGACTGCCTTGATGTTCGTATTGAAGATTCTGACTTTGATATTGGTTGAAAGTTGTTTTGAGTTCCATATGTTCTTCAGTTGAAGGAATGCCGCTCTAGCTTTGCCAATCCTCGCCTTGACGTCTGCATCTGAACCTCCTTGTTTATCGACGATGCTTCCCAGGTATGTGAAGGATTCCACATCTTCCAGAGTTTCGCCATCAAGAGTGATTGGATTGCTGTTCTCCGTGTTGTGTTTGAGGACCTTGGTTTTCCCTTTGTGTATGTTGAGGCCTACTGATGCAGAGACTGCTGCTATGCTGGCTGTCTTTATCTGCATTTGTTCGTGTGTATTGCATGGGAGGGCTAGGTCATCTGCGAAGTCCAAGTGGTCTAATTGGTTCTGAGCTGTCCATCGTATACCGTAGTTTCCCTCAGATGTCGAGGTCTTCATAATCCAGTCGACCACCAGAAGAAACAGGAAGGGAGAGAGTAGACAGCCTTGTCTTACTCCGGTCCTTACTTGGAATGCGTCTGTCACACAGATTTGCAAATCTTTCCCCGTTTTCGTTTCTCTCTCCCAGTCCATGTAGTCCCATGATGTCTTCATATCCGGTGTTGTCCATTCCGACTTTGGCGTTTAGATCTCCCATCAGAATGGTGAGGTCCTTTCTTGGGCACTTCTCTATGATTGATTGCAGCCTCTCATAGAATTGATCTTTAACGTCGTCGTTGCTATCATTGGTGGGTGCATAACATTGGATAATGTTCATTGTGATCCCCTCCTTCTTTGTTTTGAATGATGCTTTGATGATTCTGGATCCGTGAGATTCCCATCCTACAAGTGCATTTCGTGCTACTTTGGATAGCATTAGAGCAACTCCCTGAGTGTGTGGAGCATTTTCCTCTTCGTGACCGGAGTATAGCAGCATCTCTCCCGTATTTAGCCTTTGTTGTCCAGCTTGGGTCCAATGGGTTTTACTGATTCCCAGTACTGCCAAGTTGTATCTCCTCATTTCCGTTGCTATTTGACTGGTCTTCCCGTTCTCCCACATTGTCCGGACGTTCCATGTACCTATAAAAATTGTTGCTCTGGTTGTTAGAAGGGGCATCGGCCTCGTGGCTTCCGAAGGAACTCAGCTTTCACCATGAAGCGTCATATTACCTCTAACTCCCAGGGCAGAGTTTAAATGGTTTGAGTTATTTTTTCTGGTTAGCGTTTTTTAGCGAGTTAGGTTTCTACGGGATGGGGACGCTAACCCCATGCCCAACCCTCCTCCTTTACCCGGGCTTGGGACCGGCCGTAACTCTGGAAGAGCTACAGGTGGAGTAAGTAAGTAAGTAAGGTTAAAATAAGTAAATGATTATCTGACCGATAATAAACGTAAATCTAGTTAGAAAACAAAGATCACATTTTACAGATCGATATCAAGGATTTATTAATAACCTGTACAGAATTGCTCTTTCATAAGAAAGGTCAACTAGTTACCTAAATTCGAATACAGTATATTACTATGAAATCGATCTTCAATATGTAAAATATAAAAACAAACAAATCCACTTAATTCAAACAAAGTATAATGATCAGAAGGGGTTTTGTGGGGATTTTAGTAACTTCAACTATTTAAATTACTAAAATCTCCACAAAACCCGTTCTGATAATAATTATCTGATCACTAGTGACTGACTTCCTGGAGTTCTAGTGAGAAGCCGTGACAAGTGGTGTTCAACCAGGTCTGTTGTGAGATATCAGCTCACTGAAGACAATGGTGTACGGTGGATTGGTTCAAGTTAGACATTAACACCGCTGGATGCCGGCTCAGTGATCTTGTGGTTAAGCGCTCGAGTGCGAGACTGATAGGTCCTAGGTTCGAATCTCGCGGAGGGCAGGATCGTGGATGCGCACTTTTGGGGAGTCTCATACTAGAATAAAACGGCTGTTCAGTGCTCCTAGGTTTTTAATGGTGGTCTAGCTTCAATTGACTCATGATTCCAACTATTGAAAGTATAATGGATTGATATTTTAATTCATATTTATTTGTGATATTAATGATTGTTCTTCATTGTCAACACTGTAAAAAAAACAATTTCTTTTTCACTATACTTGGTAGTACAATGAATAAAATGTCAGATATAAAGTGAAGGAAAAAAACATTGAAATAATTTCTTAAATAAAATTAAATTCTTACTTATTATGAAAATTCGAAAAAATTAAACATTGTTGAAATTCAGTAGCATTGAGTAATTTGCATAGAAATTTTAATTTAGCATCAAATACTGAAATTGGAGCACGTGTTGTTGGTTGTAGAAGATGGAAAAATTGCCGTACACCTATAAAAATAATTAATAATAATAATAATGATTTCATTTGGAAAAAGGATGAAGTCAATTTATTCAGTGATGACTTAATTATATAGTGATTTTATAGAAATCATGAACCGATCTAATTTAGATAAATATTGAAAACCTAGGAACACTCAACGGTTGTTTCGTTATAATGTGAGATTCTTCGGAAGTGCTATTTCACGACCCTGGATCCGGGAATCGGACCCAAGACCTTTAGTTTCGTGTGAACGCTTACACTCTATACCACTGATATAGTATGCTGTATGAGATTGTAGAACATAACACAGTTATGTGCACACGACAGAAACAACTTTTCGACCGATAATTTTTAATTTTATTCTCCTAGTGAGGTTAGTTTGATATTTAAGATAATATTCTGTTGTTTCAGTAATTTAAACAACGCATTAGTAAATGTTTACTTTTATAGAAACACCTTTCCAATAAACACGGCAACTTTGCGTCGGAAAATAGGAAATTAACTGAGATTCATTCTAGTGATAATTTCACGCTTATAAGTATAGGGGACTGTAAAAATTGTTGAATTTGTAGTTTTACTTAGACTATAATTGCGTAGCAGACACCACTGAACACATTTTTCGTCATAGTATGTATGGGCTTCGGAACAAGTGTTTACATTTCAGACCTCAAAGCAAAGCCTAACGATTCTACAATGAAACAGCTATTTAGAGCAACTTGGTTTACAATGACTGTTTAACTAAATCGAGAAAGTGGTGTAAGCACACAAGCTTTCGAGTTTAGTTAAGGCAGTAACACTACGCGTAAATTTAAAAGCATTATGTTGTATGCTACTTATGCCTGTCGAACTAAGTAGTATGTAACACCAAACGTAAGTAGAATGTATGGCAGCAGAAGGTTGCGAAGATCGAACTGAAGAAAACAGGAATGTACCCAGAGAGCAATTGATGAAAGATGGACAAATGAAGTATTTAATGTATGGTTTTCATATTTTACCAAAGCACTGTAATTTTGCATTAAATAATAGATTGGTTTTCCCCGCCTGAGTTCTCGTTCATTACAGAATCATCAGGATGAGATGCATTTGAGTTGATCTAGAACTACCATCCAAAACAAAGTAACCATACAATGTTTAATATTTTCTAGAAAATTAAGAACGCATTATCATACAATTCACGTTCCAAGTAAAGAACAGATCACATCATCCCAAATCCATTTGCCCCCAAATGCCCTGGTACGGTCGAGAGTGGGGAGAGTCTGCTCTCCCTCTCGAAATACTCTCACATGGCCACGCGTATATAGCCTCTGCCAGGGAAGATCTACTCACCGCCTTCTCGTGGCGTGGGTGTTGTCTACGAAAATGAGAGGACGAAAAGCGAATGTCCGGCACCGGCTTCAACCGGATACCAAACCAATGGTGCACATGGGCTCCAGTATCCTGAAGGAACAAATGGCGTATGAACCAATCGTTGGTCACCGGCTACCATGGGACTGCATCTCCTTACGATGCTCCACTGCCTTGTGGGTCAGACGTTCAGGTCAAAGGCTTGGGGTGCGGCCCCTAAGAAAACCACCTGCTTCGGTTTGGGCACCCGGGCAGTATCACAGCCCTCACACAAATCAATTGAGATCTGTGTGGCGCATATGTATTCGGTGCCTTCATGTACCAATACCTGTGTTAAAATAAATAAATAAATAAAATAATATTTGACGTTAATAATATAAATCAATTTATATGCTTGATAATTGACAGAGCTGAAAAATTGTTGGTTGTTTAGTGACGTACACTTTTTGTTCTTGGCTAATTATTTGTTACAAATAATTCATATCAATATTTATACATTATCAGTTTATTTCATTGTCTACATGACAAGCTGTTCCTAGATAACTACTGAAAAATAAGGCATTACTGGATAACTGTTTCGTTTTAGTATATAATTTCTCAGTAGTGCGCACCTTTTGGTCTCACTGGGGATCGAATTCACATTCTTCAGGCCTAAAGGAGAGCATTTAACGTTTAGACTACTGATACAACACCCAACTTTTCACTTGTTTAATATCAATCGCTTCGTGATTGAGACATTTTTCTACTGTATTTCATATTGAGGAGAAAATAACACAGAGTCGACTTTGATAATGATTAATTGTTTTGCATTTAATCGTATAAGTGTTAAGTCTTGATATATATATATATATATATTCGTTTACTCTCAAAGATTTATGTATCTGTAGAGTGTCTTCGTTACAGATTGATCTCAATTGTGATACCATTGACGACTAGGAAGTACTGGATAGTTGGTTTGTTCAAGTGTAGGACCTTTCATCAGTGTGCATCCACGAACCCATTAAGGACGGAATCTAGGACTTTCAGACCTTGCGGTGAATGCTTTGTCATTAGAACCACTGGGTCAGCAGCCACAACAACACAAGATGAAATGCGACCAACTTGCATCTCTAGTGATTTGTCATTTTTCTCCCTACAGATATTATTTATTAACATTTTAGGAAAACCTATCGTTTCAAACAACAGTTGATTGTTTATTATGAACTAATTGATCAGCTTACCAATTGTGTAACACGTATTCATTTGTAATCTCACAAACAAAATATAGGTATTTGAAGTAACGAATGTAATAATGGATAGAAATCCATAAAAATCGTCCTATCAAGTTGAGTTTTTTATATTAAAAATATCAAAGACTATATAAGATATTCCGTAAAAACAATCCTTGAAGTCATTATGACAATGAAACAGCTTTGCTAGACACCACTTTTAATCGCTTTATGTGTAGTAAGTAATACTGGTTTTGTAAATATGATCAATTATACTGTTGATTGAACATGTTTTTTTAAAGAATAAATATACAAACTGGGTGCAGCCAATGCTTTAGTTTATTACCTTTGAAGATCTAACCTTAATCGCAAAAGTAACCAACAATTATTTACTTTATTTCATATTTATAATCCAAATGAACTATTTCATTATTGTACTTTAACTGTATTATTTAAAGATTTCAGAAATTAAAATCATGTTATCATTTTATGTTGGAATTGATAACAAACCTATTAAAGCTGGATCTTTGACAGCTAATTGTATAATTGCTGGATCATTCATATAACGTGGAAGATGTTCATTGACTAAATAATCCGTATAGGTAGCTGACAAAGCTAATACTTGTTTAGATTGTGGTAAACTCCACCAAATGTAATTAATATCAGCTGGAAATGCATTGTTTGCACTACCACCAGTTAATTTAGCATCTGTACCACCGGATAGAAGTAGATCAGCTTCATCTAATACAAATTGTCTTACATTTTCAGTAGATAGATAACCAGCTTCTAATAAATATCGGACACGTCCTGGTGTACCGACAACAATATGACAGTTGGATAAATGACGTAAATCATCAGCTAAGGGTAAGCCTAGACAAAAAGAAAAGAAAAGTATAAGCAATGAGAGAGTAAAAGGTTATTTTTTAATGAATTATTAGAAATTCCGAAAACTTGTTTAATTTGAAATAAAAAAAACATATGATAGGCTTTAGCTAAACTGAGCTAGTTGACAATCAGACAAAACACCAAATTGTTAAGATGAGTAAGAGTGCTAAGAATAAAATCAAGAAATTATACTAATCATCTATGTAATCCATATAACATAATTATTGATTTACTGCACAATCTCCTTGTTTACATTTTATTTATTAGTTAAATACCTAGATCCATTTTCGTTAGTTGGTGTTCAACTACACGATGCTAATCGGTTTTTCTTCTTTATATATGGTTTAACGTAGAGTGGTTTAACATAGAGTGGTGTAACTGACTATTTTCATCTCGAATTTTCATGAAGTAGAACCAGATTTATGATGAATTTACAATTCAAGAACGGAAGACAATCTTCTGACTTAATTCAACTGAATATAACACTTACTATTGATCATTTATTTCAGTCAGCCCATATCGATAGAGGTGACTGAAAGGATTTAAATTTATATTTGGAATGGTTACTTGTACACTTAATAATAAGCTTTCTAAGCTAAAATATTAACTGATGATCAAAATAACAGAAGGACTACTAAGGAGTGTCAGCTCGAAATTTTCCAGGATAGTTTTATTGACAGTCATTTTTTTGGGAATTGTGATAAGGGGATCTTTACTATAAATATATTTAATGGATGTCATAATACTATTTTATTGTCATAGTCTAAATCTTAAAGCTTCATAGCGGTATCCAGAATATGTTTCTGCTTACATTAAATTGCTGACTTTAACGTACTTTTGTATGGTATTAGTTTATATAGGATATTAGCATGTGATGCCACAAACCTATCCAATAATTTGTATGACATGTAAAATAGATGTGATGGTTATTTAGCTGCAAAAACGTTGGGTGTTTATGGATGCTTCTATTTATTTTTTAATTCCTTGAAATGTGATTTCGCTCCCCCATGAATTCAAGAAAAATGCTGTTGACATTTGATTATTTATAACTTTGATGGAAACTGTCAATTAGGAAATAGAAGGGGTTATTTTATTAGTTTCGAAGTAAAGTAGATAATTTTGTGAACAAAACAGTTAGCCTCTAGTAACTGAGCTGTTTGTGAAACAACATAACACCTAGTCGCCTACTTTCCAAAAGAGTGATGTTAGCCAAATGAAAAGAACATATGAAGAATACTGAAATATTGCATAACAACACAATAATACAGAATGAAGTCATATAATATTTGTACTCAGCTATGTAAAAGCTTGTAGATTATCTAGATTCATATCATAAAAAGACGAGTTGTGATTTAGACAAATTTGGTGATATGATTTAGAAACTTCTTTGTGACTTGATTAGTTTTTCAATTTGTCTTAAACTCATTAAACACTTGTAAGTCACAAAGCAACGTTGTACTTCATCATCCTCCAATAAAATAACGGTTTTGTTTTAGTGGAAGAATTTTAATTTACATTTTAATCACATAATTATTAGTCAAATTTAAGAAAGGAATTGAAAATTGAATTATTTGCCTAGTTAGTTTGAGTTCTTGCGAGAATTTAATTAACTTTAAAAAGATTCAAAAAAAGACAATGAGAACTTTACAATAAAACTAATCTCAGCTCAGATAATGAAACTTCATTAACGTTTTGGATTTGTAACGGCTTCTCTATCATAACGCCTACGTGACTTCCTCTAGCTCTTGAACAGATAATCTATAATGATCTTTCAGGTTATTCTATCACCAATACACATACCCAACCGTGCTTATTACTTAACTGTGACCGTGAGACTTTCTATACATGTGGGGATGATAATTGTGTCTATCCTTTTCCTGAATCTCTTATACAACTTACAAAAACGGAATCACCACATTATATACTGAATAAGTGCATTGTCGAACACCGATGTTTTATATGTTTGCTGAGTCTTTTATTGTTTATCTTTTGTTCGATACTAGCATGCTTGGAACATACATATCCTAAGTACAATTCGTATTCGACTTTCATTATCTTACATTGTATCAACGTGATTTGTTGATAGAGTGTATACAAAGAAAGCAGGATATACATTTCATAAAACCACTACCGCTTAGTCATAGTGGAGTCCAGATGAGCACAGAAGAATCATTACCTCTGAATTCATGTAAAGCATATCAAGCAAGAAATTTTTAATATAAAAACTTTTTGATTCTTCAAGTTTTATGATGGTTGGATTGATATCTATTTACAGCAGTTACCCTTTATATTTCAGATTTTTCATTGAATGGTTTGTTAAGAATTCCAGGTTATTTAGTTGAATGGTATTTATTCATCGAAATAAAATTTCAAACTGAGCACTGACGAAACAATTATTGTTTACATTAATCAAATTCACAGAGAATATTCAAAAAACGAAGAGTATCTTAGTGAAAAAATTGAGTTTGACAAGTTTATTTTTATGCTTTACGGTGATAAATCCATGGATATTTGATGACATTAGCCAATATATAATGGCATATATATATATATATATATATATATATATATATATATATACTTACCACCGACAAATAGATGACATTTTAAACCAGGTATATGACTGGCTAATCGTTCAATAACCATTTGTGATTGAAATGCAATTTCCCGAGTTGGTGACAAAACAATTGCTTGTATAGTAGGTCGTTTTACATTGATTGCTTCCAAAATAACTACAGCAAAGACAACCGTTTTACCAGTACCAGATTTAGCCTTTTTCCGATATGTTTAAAAAACGGGAAATTATAAAAATAATAAACATTTAGTTAGGCGGTTTGTAAAGAACAGTTTACCCTTAATTTAGGCAAATCTCATGCGTGAAGAAATGACAAAAAGTGGATTTGTAGATGATATTCGTCATAGATAGACCTCATTTGGGGTACCATTGAGAATCAGGTGACACTGGATGGCTGTTTGGTCCTAGGATAAGATTCCTGAGCATTGTGAACCCATGAAAGAATCAGGGGTTAAATCCAGGATCGGTGAGTGCTTAAACATTCGACCACTGGTACACATTTTCAACTCCAATCAATGCAGACCTTACTAGAACGAAATATCTTTCCAGTGATCCTAACATTTCGATAGAACCCTAGTTGAATTCAAGGGTCGTTTCTGAAAATCAAGGTGCTTACAAAAATGACGGGATTTTGAAAAGTATGCTGAAATTTTTGACAAGATAAGGATCAATAAATTACACATTATAGAAAGAATATTCCAACTAACAAAAAATTCCCTATCAACTAGATGATTCATACGTCACCCACTAGTCAAGAGATTCGTTTACACAGATGACATCGCTGAATTTGAATGTCATCAAAGTTCGTTTTTTCTCAGTACTTATTACAGGAAGGTACCTAACAGTCCTTGGTGCTGGTGGAATCTTAGCAACTGGATTCTAATGTGACGGAAAGTCTAAATGATTCAACATCAAATGAATTGGTTGACGTGAAAATCAATGTTATTGAAGTCGATCAGCAGAAAGGCCTAGATCTAGGTTTCATGCTAGTTGGCGCTGGTCAGCATTGAAGTATCTGTAGTCTCGATGAGACTGAAACTCCTTGTGGGGTTTTTGTTAATTCTCGTATAATATGTTAATAGTTCACACAATCCATTGTCAAATCAAATGATATTTATTTACCAGTATTATTATTAATATACTTAGCTACGAGCTACGCTTTATGTGTGAGAGATATTGATACCACCTGGTCGCTCAGACAGAAGCTAGTGGAGCGGATTATGGACCCAAGATTTAGTAACTGAAAATCGAACGCCTTAAACACTGAGCCACTAGTGCACTAAAAATGTTGCATCATTTAACGAATAGGTGAGAACGACAGGAAGTATATTGAATTATTGTTTTAGAACTAGCCATTTCTAGCCTTTGATAATTTCTGAACCATTATATAAAAGTTAATGATAAATATCTATATAACATAATCAGTAAATATCATCACAATCAACCAATATTCTTTACAATGCAAAGTTTATAGACCCTGAAAATTACATTTCAACTTTGCCTAAAAAGTCTACATCATAAATAAATATAAAGTTTCGTACCTGAACAATTAAATCCATACCTAACCGACCTAAAGGAATAGCTTTAACTTGTACAGGTGATGGTCGAATAAATCCAGCATCGTGTAGTCCATGTAATACCGGTGTAGATAATTGTAAATCGACAAAATGTATATTACGACTATTAGCACAAGTTCCATTTGATACATTCTCTCCTAAAACATCAGCAGTACGTTTTTGTTCTTGTGTTAAATCATGTGCTAAATACATGCTGTTTTTACCAGTCATTTCATTTTCATCCGAACCAATTGATAACTGAACATCATCGTTTGACTTTCCTATGTCATTATTCATGATTATTTGTGCTTAAAAATACAAATAAAAAAAAGATAGAGGATAAAGGAAGAAACATGGAATAAATCAAGTTGCATGATCAACATTGAAGAGAATATAGACAAAATTACATGAGACCAATAAGTAGAAGCGGAACATATGACGAGTATTTAACGTATTCTATGTTTGAACTAATATTTAATATGAATATAATTGTACTTGATATACTCTGTGGCCTACTTCAATGCCATACAATGAAAGTACACTTTGTTTTTGTCAAGTACCAAATATAAAGTTTAAAACATCCCGTGATGATGTCAGTTAGCTGAAATTATACACAAGAAGTTGTGAATGGTGAACAACTGCTGTTTAGAATTGGATTAAATTGTTTAACTTAAGAATTTATAAATGAAATCCAGGAATCGATGGATGTTAATGTTGACCAGTCTTTACCACTCATGTTGAGGTGATAAAAGAAATTCCAATCAATTTCCATTGAGAAAAGACAACTAATCAAGTGTTGGTATGTTAAAAAATATGAACGAATGCTTCCATTAAATTCATTTCATAAGTGAATTAAGCTTAAGTCTGTATGATTTCGATTTTTCTTTGCTTTTCGACAAAGTTTTAAATACATTAACGGTAGGTACCACCTTAAAATCATGTTGATGAACAATACATCACTTAGCAGCAATTATGTAGTGTTCTACATATATGACGTTTAGCCATGGATATTTCATCTCGCTTGATAATATGATCCTATAGTTAGATATTACATTTTGGAAATCGCAACACTATCATTCCAAGTTATAAATTTTTTTAATAACCCGAAACTATTCGATGAATCAATTCGCAGCTTACTTTCTATATTATTAATGATGCATTAGACACCAGTAATGTTTACTTCATTCAAATTTAAAGAACTGTTCCAATTAATTTGTGACTGAATTGAGGATTCTTCAATAAACGCGTGTTTTACCAGTGTGCATAGTCTCTAAATAGTTGAAGAATATTATTGACGAGATGAATTTTCAAACTGTTTTCATCTAGTCGTTCAAAGTATTCTGTGATCATTAAGGAAATCTGCTTGTTTTTAAATAGATTGTTTCTTCAGTTAGGCTATTTGAGTCTGAATTTCTCTTATCAGTATGTTTTAATTCATCATAGACAAGTGCAAAGTCGGAAACTAAAAAAGTGTTTTGATTTCGAACACTCCCAACTGCGATTACTCGTATTATCCACAGATCTACGCATTAGAATCCGTATATACAATTAAAGAATGGGAACGTATTTCTATAAGTATTCAAAGTTGATGGTCGTTTAAATCAGATGGTTATTCAAGTGAGACTAAAGCAACTAATAGTCATTATCAGGTTTAGTGGTCGGGACTCTAAAAATATCGACTGCATGGTCTTGTGCACCATTCAGTCCTTTACGCGCTGCGAAATTGACGATTACAAACATATCAACACGTATAACTCGATAAGAAATTTTGATAAGATTGGCTTTCTGAAACAGATATCTAGGGATATATACCAGTTAGGTTTCTAACGAACCAATCAATAAATGTACAGGTAACTACAAATTAAATACCAGGTAAAGATTTCATTAACTACAGTATGAATTAATATTATCCCTACACCTAGAAGTTAATGGGAACTGGCAAATTCATATTTAAACACTTAAAGAGTCAGTCAATTGGTTCTTAAAAATCTACTGGCTAGTGATTCCAAATAATTTGAAATATATCCACAATAAAAATATAATGATCTCCTTGAGTGAGACTTTAGTGTTTACAAGAATATTTACTTCAGACTGATTACATATAGGAAAACGACTATTGAAAGTAAATGTTCCGAACTAACTTAGCCTATAACTCTTTCCCATAGGTGTAGGCTGAAAGAATTACTGTAAGTACCTGGTTCACATTGAATGTCAACAAACACCGTAATATGACTGTTCCATTCTATCGTAATTTTTCACATTTTACTCTCACACATACTGTAAGAATAGCAAAATTGAATATTCTCTCTTGGAAATGGCTATACATAAGAGTTTCTGAATCAATTAAAACAGGACGTAGGTTTATGAACCAATCACTAAGTTTACTTTTCTATTTTTATTTGTTTTTAAACTAATTTAAATTATAAGAATAAATATACTAGTAACTAACAGACAAGCTTCTCAAACGATCCCTTTAACAGAATATTTAACAATAAACAGTTCTATTTGATGAAAACAGTTACATTAATTGTGTGTTCCTAAAATGCATATATATAAACAGTAGGATGGAAATATATTATACACATTATATATATGAGAAGAAACAAGGTGGAATCATTTGTTTTCAAATGAAGTATTGAACATTCCAATTTGTATTAATAATAATAATAATAATAATAATAATAATAATAATAATAATAATGTTACTTTTATATGGTAATAATGATAATAAATGATACTGTTTAGGTAAAAATTAAAGTGAGAATGTCAAAAAGAGATACTTCATGCAGACAAAACACTGTGGATTATAAAAACCGGAAAAAAGGTACAAAAATAACGAAACATTAGAGTGGAGGGGAGACGGAAGGAGACAGTGATACCACCTTTATCTTTCTGATAATAATGTGACTAACTTGATGTCTACAAGTATTTGAAACGTGTAAGCACATGAATAGAACAATAAATGAAGCATGATTCTTCGAAGTGACTTTAGATGTGAACACATATGACATGATGAATAGTAGTAAAATTATGAAGGCAGGAGCGAGAGAAAGTGATAATTGAATGAGTAAAAATCAAAAACTAAAGACGCCTTGTATTTGTATCGCATATCTCCGGCGCCTAGAAGTCAATAACTGAGTTCTATACAAAATTATATATATATATATATATATATATATATATATATATATATATATATATATATATATATATATATATATATATACATCTGCATAAATCATGATACAGTAATAACAAAAATACAAAACAAATCGTATAACATTATCATCATAATGATAACGATATTTAGTCTAATAAATGTTGACCGGTAGTAACAAGTTCTATGGCATTTGATTTTAAAGCAATTGATGAATTATTAGTATTAGTATTGTTTAAAAGCTCCATGCATGCTATCGTTGACGATGATGTATCATCATTGACTATGTCAGCAACATTGGGAACAGTAACAATAGAACTATTGATAGCTGTTAATTGATTGCTATTATGTTGCATAGGAGTAGTTTGATGTAATGATGATGTTGTGGTTTGTTGAATTATTTGAGAGTATTGTTGTTGTTGCGGTGGAGCATATCGCCATATACATACAAGATTGTTATCAGTTACAGCTGCTAGATAATAACCATCTGAGCTCATTTCAACTGAATTTACAACAGGATTACGAAAACCTGATGTAATACTTTCTTTCAATTGTTGATCTTCATCACGATTACCTTGAACTGAACATTCAGGCCATTCAAGAATCTAAGAATTTTTAGAAGATATTTAGATTGGATTTACAATAATGTAGACAGAATAATAACAGAAAATTTTACATTTCATGTATAGACTAAAGGAAAATGGAACTGTTAAAATCGTGCTGTTGTTTAGTGGTGTTCTATTTATCCTCTGCTGTTACTGACTAAAATACCGTAAGTGATAAAGCTTCAGAAGAGTATGTAACAATACGTTGGAACTTACACGGTTAATAATAACAGAGATTTGTTATTGGGAAAATGATAGATATTTTAATTCAAATCATGGGAATATTATTGTATTAAACTGTTTTTTTTGTCTGAATAGATTTTAAGGTAACACAATGTGTTGGTGAAAACTGATAGATGGTAGGTATTAAAGTCACATACAGTATAATACTTACTTTCAATAAGTGATCCACTATTGGATTATCATTTAATTAGAATTCAACTGGATTTCGAAGCGCTTGCATTGTGTTTTATATGTGGTAAGGATGGTTGGACTCTACTCTTTTAATTCATTTAGAGTTTTATTGAATGAAGTGATTTTCGTTGAGGAACTTAAATAGTTTAATCAATTCTAATACAAAAGAGTTGGCTTATAGTAGATAACATAAAAAAGATGATGAGTTTATAATGAATTTCATCGAAAGAAAAAGTTACATTCAGTTTTATATCAGCTGGCAGATCCCAAACATACTTGATGAACATCGTAAAGATCATGCAGCTAGGTAGTTTTAACCATTATAAAATATGACTGAAGAGCAAAAATTAAGTGGATAATTTTTATTTGGATCATTATTCGTAATAATGTTTAGTTGCACAACATTGTTATTTTGTACTATGTTACAATATTGGTGACCAGATAGTATAGGATTTTAGTGTAACAAAGACGCACAAAAGTTTACACAGCTGATTATGAATCACGACGATTTTCAGACATATATCGACAGAAAATATTTGAAATCAAACTCGTAATGTTTTTTTTTAGCTATTTAGAGTATTTATAGTCTCACTTCAACAATTTAAAGAGTATACACGATCTGCATCACAATATTAATAAGAAATTGAAAGGTTTACGATATATATTTACAGGATGACCTGGCTAACTGGGAAATACATTAGCGGATCAATCAATCGTTTTAACTAGCCGGATATAAGAGGTTTTAACAATAGCCATTCATTTCGCACGTGTTTAGCGTTCAGCTCATTAACGGTAAACAAAGGATAAGGAAACCAAGCGAAACAATACTGCTTGTTATTTAAATACTTCTGTTGTTACGACTGGATATCTGATAAAACAAGATTAGGTACTCGACCAAGCACCAGAAATTAAGGATTTTCCACTGAGGATTGAGTAAATAGCTAGGTGACAGACAATGTGAAACAGAAGAACGATGCCTTCTCATATCATGACTTCCACTTGTTCTGTTGATTAAAGCTATACACAGCAGCAACATATGAATCTAGGATGCTTAGAACTAAACATGAATCAAAATATTGCACGCAATTAGTTGAATAATCAGAGTGAATTCAACGATCGGTGAAATTCGATTAACAATGAAAACTAGAAGATTATTTAGATTAATAAATGACAAACAACAGGTAGAGGATTAAGTCCTACAAACTTGTCAATTAGATAGGTGAATAGTACATGTTAAAGGGATTCGAACAATTTAATGTTAATTCTGAGACAGACTGAAGAACTCTGAAAACGTATCAACCAAAACCACGACGCTTTTTTGATGGCAAATAACAGATAGATTTAAAATATTTTTAAAAGCAAATCATCAATACCTTGATTGGTTTTACATGAAAACGTTTACGACTAGAAGAATGCAAATCATCCAAGTATGGGTCCAAGTCATATATCCAAATTGAGCCTTCGTTATCACCGCATAGGACCGCACCTAGATTTTGTCTAACAGATACATTGATATAGATTTCATCTGTTTTCTGCCATAACAAGTGACCTCGCATTTCAATTGGAACAACACGCTGAAGTCCTGTAGTACACAAATAACAAATATATACATAATTGTAACACAAATAAGGTACTTCTTTACAAAACCGCTTGACCACAAGTCGTCTGGAAAAAGTGAGTATGAGTTACGTTTACAACATTCACGACCCTGATAAAATGAATGAAATCGTTAGTATATTTTAGGCCAAACTGATACATACCAAGAGTGCTCTGTTTAGGGTTAGCTCAATAATACAGAGTGAGGTCGAGGGCATCACTTTGTTAACTATCATGGAAAACCCAAACAACTTCGTGATGACTATCATGACTACACACAATCAATGGATGGTATGTTGGCTGAGATTAAAGACTGAAAAGTGACCTCAAAAAAAGCAAGACACTTAAATGATGTATATATATATGGTTGTAGACCGTGCTAGACACTTGTATTCAGATATCACGTGGACAACCATCCTATTCAAGAAGAATACAAGTTTGTATCACAGATATAGTTTACAGTATAATCAGTAGCTTTTCGGAATTGATATATTAGTATCCGAAAAACTAGAGTATACACTTGAACAATGAATATATACATACACCTCTATATCTATTAACTAACCTTTACGTCGTTCCAAAATAGATGCAAAATCGAACACCATAATTTCACCAGACTCCACTACTTTTAAAACTAATGCATTATCGCTTAGCTGAGCTAAAGCATCAATACAAACTTCATGGTTAAAGTCCAATTTCAACTCCATATCCGGTTCACGTTCTCGTTTCTCTAAACGTAGATCGGTTATTTTCCATGCAAACAGTCCATCTTCACAACCAGCTATTAAATAAGCATAATGTGGAAGGAAAACTAGATTTAATACTGGATTCACATCTAATCTAGGACAACGAAGACGCATTAAAAGTTGATAACGTGTTTTATAGTCTGGAACAGATGGAATCCCAATATCCCAAACGATTACAGATGCCTAAAAAGGATAGAAGTAGTAGAAGCAAATTACATCTAATTAACAAATATCATGAAAATTGAAAGCGATTACTATTACAATACAAATTGTGGTTAGTGTGTTCAACTTTCAGCCACTAAGTGTCCCATGTTCGAGCCCCATCTCGCCTAACACTATTTAGGTGACTGAGAAATATCATCAGCCTTTACACTTAGATTGTGGCTCACCCCAAAGTACCTAATGGATGAGTTAACGTACTTTATAATTTAAATAATATAAATTGTAAAGATCACATACTTTATTAATGAGTGAAATGGTGGAGATAGAATTAATAAACAGCTACTGATTACGTCTGATTTTATGAAGTCATATAGTTGAAATTGTCTGTATTTTATTCATGTAGGTAAAAAATAATTTCGCAAACATACAACAGTAGGTAACCAAACATTCAGTAAACTTTGACGTAGTAATCATATTCTGCAAACTTGGATGGAGTGTTAAAACCTCCCAGATTACTTTTGTGTGGAAGATATGCAAAACAAAATGAAGAGCCAATTAGTATATTCATTTTCTTGATTAATCTGTACAAAATAATTTGTGTCCATTTAATATTCGAAAACTTATTTTAGAACACATATGTGCATAGAATAAACCTCACAAATATTGTCGGGTATTTATCCGGTAAAAGCATAATAAACTGAACACCTTGGGGGACTTATCAGCTAATCACGAAATACCGCTTAGTTACAAAGTTGTCAAAGATAAAAAGCAATGATATAACAGCTTCAACCTGAATGAATAACCCTCATATGCCAAGTTATTCTTTTTGGTAAAGTGAGAAGGTCAAATTTAGGCATTAGGGGTCGGGGGTCCTGTTGTGTGTTAGGGTTATCACTGCATAGAAATTTCATCACAACATGATATCAGTTGCAATGTAAAAAGGTTAGGTCTAGGTATTAAGGGTAAGGTTGGAGTTTGAGTTGAATTCACAAGCTAGGGTTGTGGTTTCCATCACGAACTGACAACAATTATAATTCGATGCTTCGTCACCCATCTGTTAATAAGTATAAGAAACTTAAGGCTGAGATTCATAGGATGAGTTAGAGGGGGAGAATATTATTTAGCTTCACTAAACACTCTTGACTACACAATGAACCACATTAAACACTAAAACACAATGTGCCTTAGAAATAGGTATGTTTTGTCATTTAGGTTAACTACCATTTTAAATTCACTTTTTGGTTGTCTAATAGATATTTTTATTAATTCCGAGTATTTCAAGAATCAACAATTGTCAATTTTCATCACTAATATTAAAATACAAGTTAAATATCACTTCACTTTAAATCTCGCGCAAAATACATATGGAGTTATTGTGATTGGTTAAATCCACCTCCCCAGTATATCATAATTTTACCACTAATCCTTTAAAGACTGTATAAGTAGAACTATTAAGAAATATATTTTATCACTGACATAAACAATATTAACACAGATATTCAAAATATTGTACTGAATCGAAGGTTTCACATACTTTAGAATCTCCACTGAATAAAATTGTAGATTGTGTTTGATGAAATATCATAGCTGTGACATCTTCTGTATGGCCTTTCATTTCAGCATAACAAACCAACTGTTCTGGATGAAGTAGTCTGATTTCATGCATACGACCTGCAGCAGCTAATATATTAGTACGTTTACTGCCTTCAACTTCAACAGTTGTCCAGGCTATGGTATAAAATTCCTAGTAGAATAATGGTTATATTACTGATTAAAAATGGAGTAGAATATTGTTTAAGATAGACATATGTGAGAGTAAATGAAAATTAATTGTTTAATAGGTAGTATACTAAGAATTTTTGAGGATCATCTTAGTTTTACACACATTGCACGAAGTTATCATTATGTCATAAGATTGCACATTTCATATGCTTCAAAATAGTTCATCGAAATTTTTATACAAGTTTGTAGGATAGTTTCATGACAGAAAAATAAAGGTTTTCCTTACTAGATAGCACCTTTTAGAATTCGTAAAATAGGTAATAACTTGGTAAATTTAACAGGGATTCCTTTGTCAGTAGGAAAAACATGAAATTTTAGCATAGTGTAATCTGTTTTACACAATAATCATTACAAATCGACATAAAGACCAATGTGAAGAAAACATTTGTTTTCATAAGAAAATAAAATTGGGATCTCAATTAGGGTTTAATTAATTTCACTGGTCCCACTGTACATATCGTTTAGCTTATAAACCAATAATTTTGATTTCATTTACTTGTAATTTAACGGTAAATTTAGCCAGAAATACATAGTTTAAATAATTCATCTCTTTTGGAATTAAGTCGAGAATCAACTTGGATACTGACTGAAAGAGCCTAGTAAAGTGAAAATGTGAACGAACATAGAAAAAGTGGGTATAGAATGAAACCGATTTTGAAGTAAACCACCTGAGATATCTAATAACTGATTTTACCAATAAGTCTATGTTTGCTGAACAGTACAAAAATGACAATCTTAAATGAGGTCAATTATTGTTTCTCTTGTGAGAGGGTGAGGGTAAATCGAATTAGAAAAAAAAGATAAGGAATTCAAATGAAGGAGTGATATTGACCAGTTTTTATTAAATTGCCTTTGCACTTATTATCATCGACCTTAATGAGTAGACTTTTAATTTCAGCTCAAAGTAATATCTGAAAAGGATTTAATTTCCAGTAAATGAAATCACTTTCAAACGCTTTCATATTGTTAAAAAGGTATGGAGATGAGGAGGGACAATTAACCATACAAAATTTGTATCCCATTTACTTATCACAAAACGTTTGGCGTAAAGATATGTTCAACAACTAATTAGTCAGCTTCGATTTGTAAAAGAAAATCATTTCAAACTAATCGGTCAGTTTGATGAATTTAGCATTTACTTCTTGTGGTGAACTAACATGAAATTATTCCATTATTACTATTATCATTATTACATCAAAATCCACCTTTGGCTTTTCTATTTAAGTCATAAACTGTACATACATTCCTTTTTTCAGTCTTAATGTCAACAGACTATGAAGGTATCTGAAAGACGAAAATACTCATCAATAGTATGGATAAAACAAGCAGCACAAAAGAGTCTAGGAAGAAACAATTTTTTCACCTCTTCCATATGTTTAAAACGCTTCATAACTTTGCCAGTTTCACAATTGATGAGACAGACACATTCACCACCACAGGTTGCAACTACGTGAGTTGTTTCATCGGGTCTCATTGGATTTGGCTCAAACAGGCAACGCCAAACTTTAGTTTCACTATCTCCTGCATCATTGTCCTTAGCATGACAACGAATGAAATGTAATGGATCGTAGTCGATTGGAGTTGCATCAGATCTAGGACCACCGCCAACAACTGTATTAGTAGTGGTATTGTTATAGGCATCAGATGAGAATGGGGTATCTGAACAAAGATCTCTTAAACTTCTAAAAATATGAAGAGAAAGAGAGAATTGAAATGAATGATAAAAGGGAAACGGAAATACCACAAAATAGAGTATAACGGTAAACATAGATTACTAGTAAACGTGTTTCCCATACTGTCAGAACTAGTACCATGATAATTTAACGCTGAACAGTCACTAGGTGAGTAGCCAGTATCATACTTAACAGTCAGAGCTGAATTTAATTCAACTGATCCATTCTGTTGCTTGCTTCATTAACGACAAGTTTTGAATATCTGTCAACTGAATTTCGCACACTCACTACACCAGACAGTTTCGCTTGATCTCATAGTTTTAATCAGCAAAATAGAAGGAAAAACATGAAGTTGTAATCTTCTATGACTTTAGTTTATGCAAATATATAAAATAATTTTATTTCTTTAAAAGCCTAGCAGACCAAGCGAACAGTAATTCCAAGACTTCAAATTCAAACATCCCGATATATACAAAAGTCAATTATGCCTCCAAGTAGATTGACAAATTTTATGGTCGACTGAACACTATAATTTTTTGTAGTAAAATATAAGATAGTAAATAATTAATTAAAAAAACCTGTAACTAACACTACGACAACATACTGTAAAACAGCTATTTGACAAATAAAATAATAAATAATAAAATCTTTCCCATATAATTTTAGTAGCAAAGCTAAGGTATATAATATACTGCAGTATAGTGTGCTCAGTGGACTAACAGGGATGCAGGACCCAGGATAATGGTTTATAGCGTTAAGGCATTAGTAATTCAATGATGATGAATTATGGGAAATAACTGAAAGTAGTAAGTAATCATAATAAAAAAACAAGTGCTTTCTAAGTGGTCTGAATGAAGGTTGTAGCGCTGGTAGATGATATCATGAGTGAGCTAAAAGGGTCATCAGTTAATGTTGATAAATTTTTTTAGTAAAAGGCACTAGATCTACTGTTACAATACACGTGCAATAAATATAGGAGATAAAATAGAATCATTACCAATTAAAAAAACGTTACCTATGCATTCCCATAGACTTCCGTTTCTTTGGTCGAGGAGGAAGACCGCCTGTTGCGCCACCTGTGTCTTCGCCGACATCAAAGTCGACTTTACTCGGCCGATTTGATCCGGTTCGTGAATTCGCCATCTGGTTGGATGTGCAAGTTACTCTTTTGGTAGGTGCTCCTGCATTGCCCACTTCGGTATTCAGTTCGCCTAATGGAATCGTACTAGATGTTGTCGATCCAGGCCAAGGACGTTCCCCCGTTGATGTATTAATTTGATCAGATTTTCGAATTTTACCAGTACCAGTACGTCTGTCAAGTATTTGCAGATACGTTGTTTTAAATATCACCAGATCAAAAAATGTTTAATCAAATTAGATACATTAGGAAATGATTAACTGTCAACCTAATGTAGCATATATCCCTCGACTTAAATTAACACGTAGAATTTAGTAAAAAAGTACGTTAGATTTACGATGATCTATTCTGAGATATTACTATTGTTAGAGGCTAGCTAGCTATTGAGATTACATTTAACAATACAGTCAGAAAGATGCATGATCAGAGAACAAGTCAAGAAGGGATACAATAGAAACGAAAGTGCTACTGATGTTGGTTCATTCAGTTATCGATTGGTACTATATATACATGAATGTGTTATGAAAGAAAAACAGAAGCAACAAAATAATCTGTATCTGATCACATTCAGATATTTACTTTCCAACTTGTAGCTTTCCAAATCAATGACCAAAGAAATTGAAGTTATTTAAACTGATAAAATTACTCTCTTAAACAACAGACGTTTATCTAATAACTGAGAAATAAACGACCATATTACTTAGCGTCTATCAAACAATTTATGCACAAAATTATACTTGACAAGGTATTATCAGTAGTATTTGTGATTGGTCTCGCCATAAACTATACATATTGTTAACAGTAGTTTTGATTTCGCAAACCACTAGTCTACTAGAGATACTTATCAATAATCAAGAAGGTAGGTAGTAGTCTTTATTTGTGAGTCATTGAACAATAACTAATAAATCTTACGAGAATCCGTTTCTTAAAGTTGCATGCGTATTTTACTAATAAGTGGAGAGATACATTACGTTTGAGTTTGATGGGTTTTAGATAATTATCTGCAAATGGTAAAGTCTTAAACTTCCTTCAAAATAAAACGTATATTTGAATTGAACTGGACTAAAATAGAAAGAGTATGATAAAATGTATATATTTATCTCCGGTGAAAACGTATACACCAAATGGAGTGAGCTTTGGAAAAGAAAAGCGATAATTCTCATAGTATAATTTTGTCGATTAGGGAGATTATCAATCCCGTCATATTATATGAAAAGTATGTCTAACAGTTCACCCAAAGAATGAATATGAATAGTATGCTGGGAACCATTACTATTATTATTTTGTGGCACATTCAAGAAAAGTATAGTTATATCAAGGAAACGTAAGGGAGCTCAAAAGATGCTCATCAAAATAATACATACACACGTTTATATAGTCTTACAAGATCATACTCACTTCTTAGGAGTTGCTTTTTGACCTAAAGTATCTTTGACAGCCTTCTTATATATCTCAGAGGCCATATAACCTTTGACATAATCTTTGTTACGCAGTTCACCAGGTAAAAATTCAGCCACTGGTCGACCACTGATACCACGTGGACGAACAACAGTCATAACTATAGAACGACCCTGACGTAATGACCGTCCCAAATGCAACTGATAATTTGATAGTCCATTAGTTTGTAAACCTAATTGACAAGCACCATTCGGAGTGAGAAGTACTTGTTGTTGATGTAAACGACCCATTGAATCCACAAAAAAAGTAGTTTGCAGTTGATTAGCACTTTGAGCTAATAACTGTAAATCAGGTAAATGAGTACCTAACAATTCGTCGGCAGCATCGAATAGCGCACATTCATCTATAGTATGAAAGAAAAGTAAGTCATACATTGACCGTTTTAAAATATTACAAAATGTGTTTAAAAGAAATGAGTTACTGTAATCAATTATAGTTTATATTCTAAATATTGAAAACCCTGAAGGACCCATTTAAACATATTACTTTAATGAATATAGTTGAATCGATGGATGTGTAAAAAGTACAAACTCCTGAGGCATTATATTTACATTTTATGTATGAAGAATTTTGAAGACACAAGTTTATAAAAAAAACCATGTAATAAATTGAGATTGTCCACGTAAAATATTTGACAGTCCACTTATCAAAAAGAATCATGGATACACTTTCAATAAACAAGGATCATTTTAGTTATTTGTTTTTGCCTGCATTAATTAAATTGCCAAATCATAACTTTTGTGAAATAGCCTGCGAATAGAATTTAATATCACGAAAACTATTCAGCATGTGTACTAATCTATTGCAATTAAACTGCATAAGTAACGGCAGATCTTATTCTTATAAAAAAGGAATTGCAATGGAATTCAGTTGTCTAACCAAATAATTGAATGCCTAATCTCAGCTAGTTATAGTTTTATATCTGAATAAAGAATTTCTAGTGGTTTTTTTCTTATCGGTTGACGCGTTACCTAACGAAGAACTCGTGATGCACTTTAGATGTACAACAGTTGACGATTCATTACTTACTATCATTATTACTGACATATATCACATACAACACATACAATGATAAATCAAAGATATTCATTAAAATTATAAGTGACAAACACTTATTAAAAGAAACTAGACAATCACCGAAGGTTGAGCTAACTCAAAACACTTTAATAGCATTGCTGAAAAAAAGACAAACTTCATTCAACATAAAGATAATCATGCTAAAAAAAGCTAGTCAGGATTATATTTCCAAAAACAGTAACACATAATGATTGTCAGTAATGACCTTAGCTAAGTTGATTGCTTTGTGATTTGAAGCTCATTAGTCGAGGTAATATGCCAACATTGAGATACACTGAAACTAGAAACATGTTGTAAGTACTTCGACCAAATTACCATAAGCTAGTTTGAATTCCTTAAACCTGGAGGAGACAGCAACCGTGAAGTAATAATTGTGCACACTTTCTCATCTATGGTTGATCGAACTTGGTGCCATAAAAATAATAATACCCGATAGATGAATGGTTTGGTATTAGTTCATAAATTATGCTATAGATGTCTGTGTTTCTCATAGCTGGATGATTTGTCAACACTTAATAATGTTAATAAAGTTACGTGTTCCAGCAAGGCTACAGTTAATGATCTCTCTGATGCAAAGTACCGAAAGTGAAACATAATGAAGCGATTTGAGATGCTGATATGCCATTAGTAGCTTTCATCAAGTAGGTACGTTTAAAAGAAACAAATTTTTTCATTCATTTTAAGAAGGAGCAGAAGGATGGATAATGTAGCATTATCCCAAGTGTCTAGAGAGATGAAGAGTATGGTAAACAACTGAACTTTGGATTTGAATATTTCAGCCAAACTATATATATATATATATATATATATATATATTAGAGACCTGGAAAAAAATAAACAAAAGTTTGAAACTAACTTGCAGCTCGCGCAGCTGCTTCTTTTTCTTCTTCCTCCTCCTCCTCCTCATCCTCTTGTATGTCGTCAGATTCCAAATCACGTGCAGAAAGTTTTGTACGTAACTGTAATGAATCAATATTCTCATGTTGACTGATGATAGTAGCAGTGGTAGTAGTAATAGTAGCACCACCAGTGATATCCCCATCATTATCATGAGCAGCAGCGCCATCATCAACCGATTCAGTCAAATAGTTATCAGTCATTTTATTTGTGATGGTTTCTGCCAAATTATGATTCTCATTAGCGGTGGATTCACCTGACTTGACAAATACTTTATTTGTAACATCAGTAGTAGTCGTAGTAGTATGAGTGACATCCGTAGATTTCTCTACATCTGTAATTGGTTTAGGAGTATCCAGAGAATTAACTGCATGCAACAATTCCCTATCCGTGGCATCATATATCATGGATCGTAAAAACTCGTCGATACAGCGAAACAACTGGGTAAGTGAAAAGAAAACAAAACAACAAGTGAAAAAAGATAAATAAAAGTGATAGGGTTGGTAGCGAGTATGTAAGTAATGGCATGTTACACTAAAATATTGATTAAATTTGTGAGAATAAATACACTAATTACAGTGAATGAAACTAAATTTATGATTTAACTGCTGTGTTGGGTACTGATTGATATGAATAATAACAAGAACTGGACATTAATCATTTTAAAGTTCGTAACATGATACAAAGGATACTGAGAGAAGAATTAATAAATATTAAGAGATTATTATTGCGGTTTAAAAAAAGAAGCAAAGTTACCCATATGAGGAATATTAAGTAATGGCAACAAAAGTAGCTAATAACACTAGACGCAACACTAAAAAATATATTTGAAATATCATACTACTATTTTTACTAATAAGTAAAAACAGCAAAACTTTCGAATTCTCAAACAGATGAATATTTGACCAATGTTAATAGTAATAGAAGGGATAAATACTTCTGTTACAATGCAAAACGGCGAAGAATGCACTAAAAATAGGGAATCATAAATTATCTTCAGTATAAATTTTTCTCGAAATCCTAATGAAGGGATACATCAGTTCCGTAATAAAACTGATATATAGTTTGGTCCCGAAATGTCATCACGCAGCATAAACTAGAAACGCTTATTTTGAAATATGACTAAAACTATGACTACTGTTGTAGTGATATGAAACTCATGGCTATTAAAGATTTATATTAAATTGGTAAAACTGCACAAGAAAACACTGAACAATATGAGAAAAACACAACCACACTTACCAATAAATCTTTATACTTGTTTAAGGCTTCACCAACCAGAAGATTACGCTCTTTTATATGCTCCATCATGTTTTCAATCAATGACATACGTTCTTCTCGATTTTTAACAAAAGGATACTGATCAGCAAAGTCTGTTTCCCATTTTGATCTTATCTGAAATATGAGAGCATACAATTAACTGCATAAAAAGATATTGAGGTACACATCATACTCTTAAGCTCAAAGCATATTTTTGCCAGTACACAAGCCACGAATCGACTTTACAGAAAAATTGAGTTATTTTACAGGTTCTTACATATAATGCTTTTTCACTTAATAAAACCAAGCTGTCGCATCATATATCATCACAGCCAGATGAAAGTATCGAGACAAGTGTCAGAGTAATGGAAGTAGCAACAGTACAAGTAGTACCAGAAAAGATTAGGGATACACAATATGATTCAAGAAGAAAAGATCTCTTCATAGAATGAAGGAGTATAAGATAATTTTGAACACTCAGAATCTAAGGGAAGATCAAGAATGAATCTGCACTCCTGCGATCGATTTCGGGCTACGTGACAGTCTACAACTATTAATTGTGATAATCGTGCGGGAGTCCAAGTTGGTAGTTTGCATCTACTAACACGGCTCAGTCCAAAGTTAGTGACTTTATGAACTGACGCTACGTATTTGTATAACAGCCACTTCCTTCTAACCTACTCCTATACCAAAAAACATGGCGTGTTAGGCGTCGCATAATTTTCGAGTTCAATATTTTAGACACCATATTAGCCAAACTGATCCCTCTGTGGGCATCGCAAGAGGATCTATCCTTTTTCATAGACTTGGACGATCGAAACTTGTCAGATAAGATTACGTCCAAATTCCAAACTCTAGCTAATATCTCGGTTTATCTCATTGTAAAAACTGGATCACCATCCTTAAAGATCACGGGAGTTAACCCGTTAGCGTCTGCTGCTCTCTCTTACTTTAAATTAACGATGCCTTTTTTAAGAATTGAGGTAATCATTTTAATCTATGATTCTGGCTATTTCGGAATAATAGGTAAGTGAAGATCGTTATAATCTACGATCATGAATTCAATTAAAAAGACGGGTGTTCATCTAGAACTACTTGTTTAATACAGGATTACTAATAGTAATTTATACCATAAAACAATCACTTACAATAGGTTCCATTATTGACCGTGCTTCTTGAATAATACGAACTGTGAAATCGGTTAACATTTCTTCAAAATATATACCATTAATATACTTAAGTTTCGGACAAAAATAGACCAACATTTGAGGGTTTAATAACTACAAAAAAAAAGACAAGTGATTAGGAAATAAATGATAAATAGTGGATGACATAATTCGGATAATTAAATATTCCTTCTGATCAACTTAACAATAGAAAAATTTAAAGGGGTAACATGACCATATGATTGTTAAGTGAAATCAACTTAACATCAAGCACTAAGTATTGTCATTCGTTTAGAAGACTATTAAGACATTTTTTTGAAATTAGATGTTAACAAAGACACAGGAAATCGCAAACTAACAAGCACGCGTGTATGACCTATCCAATGACAACTTAGAACAGACTACTTAATAATTTCACAATGAGATTATTTGGTATATCTGTTTTTTAGGATATTTCTACGTTACTACGTTTACCCGAGTATATCTCTCATATAGTTTTCCAACAATATTGTGTTCAGGCCAGTTTCCGTAAAATGTACATTTGATGATGTTTGTCTATTAAGATCATGTATATCAAACATTGTTAAGGAACTACGTGGGACAAAATGTTATATAGCATATATAGTATTCGAAGGAGCTCATTTTATTATCACATTCGATCAAATGACCAATCAACAACAAGTTTTGTTTCGAACGTTTGGTATATGATTTGTATTGGTAATAGAAAAGGAAACTCAGAAAGCGATCCCGTAATTAATTATGGTTGGTGAAATTTCGGTACCAACGCATTCAGATGCATGCTAATTCTTTAGGATTGGAGCATAATGCACTATTGTGTTCGAATCTACAATCTACGTGAAAATAAATGAGACTTTGGACCATACGTAAGATTAAGTAGTTGATGTTATCTTCAAATTATCTGTCGAATATATTAGAGCCTTTGTGTCTGCAATATTGAGACACCGAATAAATTTCTTCTAAGTTTGTTGAAACATTTGCCTATCTTTTTAATAATGTTTCTTCCGTACAGTTTAAAATCAGGAGTGAATCTACTACCCGTTTAAATATGCCAGTCAATTAGTAGTAGACATTTTTTTTACTTTTCTTCACTGGTATTGAATTGAACTCTGATTTTACAGTTCGATGACTACACGTTATTACCTCCATATTTGGCTATTCAGTCGTTCGTAACCATCAATAAAAATACTTGAATTGTTACTCGCCTTTCTGCTACTTTAGCATTATACTTGTCTGTTATCTATGTTTCAAGAGTCAACTTGGCCGCCTACATAAATATTTGAGGTAACTATTTTCAAGTGTGTAAATGTTGCAAAAAAGTTTCTTATTTTATAATTTTTTGACTAGTTAGTTTACGTATTGGCTACAAAATGTACTTAAAGGCTACTACAGTACGCTTACAAAATAATATGATTATTTATTTATTTTAACACATAGGTATTGGTACAAGAAGGCAACAAGTACATATGCGCCACACAAATCTCAATTGATATGTGTGAGGGCTGTGATACTGCCCGGGTGCCCAAACCGAAGCAGGTGGTTTTCTTAGGGGGCCACACCCCGAGCCTTCGACCTGAACGTCTGACCCACAAGGCAGTGGAGCATCGTAAGGAGATGCAGTCCCATTGTGGCGGGTGACTAACGATTGGTTCATACGCCATTTGTTCCTTCAGGATACTGGAGCCCATGTGCACCATGCAAGCATCCAATAATTCATGGATTAGAAGAAACCAAGTTGAGTAATTCATAGGAAATATTTGCAATTGAATATAAACTGTGAATGATCGCAAATATTAAACGTTTATTTCAAATATATTTCCTACATATTTATAATTAAAATGTGTTAGGGAGGAATGTATAGCAATAATATGTATTTTCGTACTGGAGATTCATTCCGATGGAAAAATTTGTTGCCAGAGTAAGGTATTATTATTATCATTGTTACTACTAGGTGATAGAAGTAGTAGTGCCATACTTATAATTAATATACAAGCGTTTATTCTGACAATTTACATACATATTACAAAGAATAAAAACCAGACATACTTGTTTCAGTTTGTCGTCTAAATTCAATCGAATGAGTTTAGGAAATTGTTCAAACAACGGTAGGTGTATAAATCTATTCCCTGTAATGCTGAGTTTTGTTAACTGCGGTAAATGCAGACGTCTGGGGAATACGCGTAATGCATTCTCTGACAAATCTAATTCACGCAGATTGATGCATTTAGCAAGATCACCAGTATTTATACTTGTATATCCGGAAGCTGGAACAGACAGGACACGAACACGATCCAGACATCTTGCTTTGGTTACACACAAGATCTCATCTTCATCTAAGGGTCGATCATCTTCTTCTACGGATAAACTTAGAGGACAGTTTGCTGTAAATGGATGTAAAAGGTGAATATATTCATATGTGCAGCATGATCGGTGTGAAACAACTATGACGATAAAAAGATTACATATACTAAACACTAACCTTGATACAGCAACTCAGTGAGATCTACTGAACTGACAGATGCTCGAAAACTCATTCCGTTTGGCTTCGGACACAATGAGGAGAGGAGGTAGCTTAAATGTAGACCGATAATAAGCCTAAGCAATGATCGGCAGCGAAAAATGAAGAGATGGAGAAGGCTGTGGCGATAAGTAACACTAGATAATTGTTTAGACCAATTAAGGAAACGGGTAATACAATCGGGCTTTTAGTTAGACTGACTTTCTTCCAACCGTCTCCAACAATAGCCAGCATTGCATGTTGTGGTAATCGGTGACTTGGCATGCGTAATACGCGGCCCAACCATCTCAGTCGATGAAGATTCATAACCTCATCAACTGATTTACCATCATTCCCTAATACCGTGCGTCTAACCTCACTATTACTTACCCGGTGATCCCAGCAGATACCCGCAATATTTCTAAGACATCTGTGATCAAACACTAGTATCTTCTACTCTTAATGGCCATGTTTCGCAGTCGTATAGTAGAACACAACGAACTGCCACGTAGTATACTCTTCCCTTAATTGATAGACGAATATCTCGCCATTGCCATAGGTGACGCAAGTTGGCAAAAGCCAAACGAGCTTTTCGAATCTGTGCTGTGATTTTGTCAGACACCAACCCATTAGGGCTGATCAGACTTCCAAGATAAGTGAAGTTGTCAACGCGTTCGACTACTTCCATCCCTATCCTTAGTTCAGGTGTTGATGCAGACCAGTCCTGGAGCAACAACGTGCATTTGGAGGGGGAGAAGCGCACCCCAAACATTCTGGCATTGTTTCTCAGTGCTATCAAAAGACTCTGCATTTTATCAGCGTCTTCACTAAACAGGACTATGTCATCTGCGTATTCTGAGTCGATATGTGGACCTCCTGGTAGGAGATCAATACCTGAGAATTCAGTCGATGAGAGCGTTATTTCCATCAGGAGGTCCTGACCGTTGTTGCTACCTTGACATGGTGGTTGGGCTTGCCCATCGTGATGAAGCAACTGAGCTATACTGGCTGGAACAACCGTTCCTCAAGGTCCTACCATGCCAGACAGGTCGGTTGAAGAGCGGTAAGACTAAAAGCAACAAAACCAAGGTCCGAAGGCGAAGTCGTACTGCTGACTGTACAGAGGTGCGACAGCAGTCAGGTGTTTCCTTCAGACAACCAGCATAACAGCGATGCTGCCTTCCCAAAAGGAGGGGTGGGGTTAGAAAAGGTCGACCCTAAAAATGCACACCTCGCCTTATCCCACGGATATCCGTCTTCGGCGGTAAGGTCTCAACAATTACGGAGCTAACACAAAAATTACTCATAAAAAGGTCGTATGTGACCGACCTCAATCAGCTGTCAGAGCTTACAGCGAACTGTCTAATCTGCTTTTGCAACCTCAAGTGGTGTCCGTCAAGGCTGTCCACTTTCTCCATTTTAAACTTCATTATAGACATACTAATGGAAATAACGCTCTCATCGACTGAATTCTTGGGCATTGACCTACTTCCAGGAGGTCCACATATCGACTCAGAATACGCAGATGACATAGTCCTGTTTAGTGAAGACGCTGATAAAATGCAGAGTCTTTTGGTAGCACTGAGAAACAATGCCAGAATGTTTGGGGTGCGCTTCTCCCCCTCCAAATGCACGTTGTTGCTCCAGGACTGGTCTGCATCAACACCTGAACTAAGGATAGGGATGGAAGTAGTCGAACGCGTTGACAACTTCACTTATCTTGGAAGTCTGATCAGCCCTAATGGGTTGGTGTCTGACAAAATCACAGCACAGATTCGAAAAGCTCGTTTGGCTTTTGCCAACTTGCGTCACCTATGGCAATGGCGAGATATTCGTCTATCAATTAAGGGAAGAGTATACTACGTGGCAGTTCGTTGTGTTCTACTATACGACTGCGAAACATGGCCATTAAGAGTAGAAGATACTAGTGTTTGATCACAGATGTCTTAGAAATATTGCGGGTATCTGCTGGGATCACCGGGTAAGTAATAGTGAGGTTAGACGCACGGTATTAGGGAATGATGGTAAATCAGTTGATGAGGTTATGAAACTTCATCGACTGAGATGGTTGGGCCACGTGCTGCGTATGCCTGAACACCGATTACCACGGCGCGCAATGCTAACCGGTGTTAGGGATGATTGGAAGAAAGTTTGGGGCGGACAAACCAAAACGTGGCATCAGTGCTTGAAGTCACTAACTTCTGGTCTGAGCCATGTTAGTAGATGCAGACTACCTGGTTGGGGTCCGCGTGACTATCATAACCAATGGTTGGAGACTTTTGGTGACATGGCTCAGAATCGATCACAATGGCGTCGGTGTATACACTCTCTGTCTTCCTTTAAACTAAGAGATTAAAATCACTTCAAACTTTCTTTCTAGGAACTAATTCTATCTTTCTGTACTATCTCCTTATACACACTCTTTCTTCTATATATTACCACCACTGAATTAACTACTTCTATGAATCCGGTGCTCATCTTGTTGTGCTAATGCGGTATGGCAAATTGGACCGATGCATATACGTGCCTGGTACTACGTTGCAGCTGACTGACTGACTGACTGATTGGTAAACATCTGTTTTAAGGAAGTAATTCGAGCAATCAAAGGGGACAAATCACCAATTAAATGTTAAAAAAATTATTCCTTAGATTTGTCTAGTTGTCCTGATACAAGTTTAAAAAATTCTAGACAATACAGCAATTTAACTAGTGAAGGGGATTACTAATGTGGGATGGAACGAGTAAATTACGTGATGCTCAACAAAATATATCTAATAAACTTACCCAGTTCACTGTCAGTCCTAGGATCCACGATAGTAAATTGTGCACGACCAAGTTCTTCTAGTTGACTATCAGAAAGCTGGGCAATAGCTTGACTGCCTCCCAATAACTGAACAAGTTCACTATTATCTAGTCCTGAGTGGCCAAGTTCATCATCAAATCCCAACATTCCGCCACCTAGACTTACACTTCCACCTACTGAGTCAACATAATAGGGTACACCGGAAGAAACACCATAACCAGATAGTCCACCGAACATATCCATTCCGGACAAACCCAAAGAATCGCTACTAGGATAGGAATCACCCTGTAAACGTATTTGAACGACGTCGCTGGACGATCCCAGAGAACTGACACCAAGCCCATACTTGCTCCCAATCCCACGAGTTGATCTGTAAAAAAAATCCAAGATTTTATTCGACAAACATGAGCGGATATTCCCAGCGATAGCACGAGACGAAAATAATAAGATGGATACCAAAGATTGAGGTAACGAAATCGCAACGACAATGAGGAAGACTGCGGATCGAGAACAGAGTTCGGAAGGACGGATTAGTAGGGTACATAAGGAGGAATACTGAAATTTAAGATCGAGAGGAAGTAAATGCAAACATGACGTTGTGGAAGACTTTAAGCTGTCATATAAAGCTTCTAACTTTACGGACCGATGCCACATTTCACTTTGGTCGCTTGTACGTTTTCATGGATAAGAACATGCTTTGCTGATAATCCACAAAGCACACAAACAGCTGCTAGAACCACCCCAGGATAATGTCAAAGACATGACATCATGAAACAAATCAAAAGGCTAATTATAAAAATGCCTTCTAGTACTCTGATATGGCATGAGGTAACAAGTTTACATTTTCTCTCTAAATGCTCTCATATGACCACAACTTAACACCCAATCCCAGGGAAGTTTCACTTACTACCTTCTCGCAATGGTGTCGCGTAAGAAAGTAAGAATCAAAAATGTCCAACGTACGAGATATCCAATTCTAATCATCGAGCGAAACTTAATGGGGTAGATACAGGTTAGGAGAGAGTTGTGGCCAGGCAGACCAAAATATGACATTAGTATACGAATTCATTGAACTTTGATTTAAGTCATGTGGGTAAACGCAGATTGCTCGGTTGGGGTCCGTGCAATAACCACATTTAATGATTAAAGATATTAGGTGACGACAAGGAATCTATCATAATCGCGCAGAAGCTCCACATTGATGGTGGTTGGCTAGAATTAGAAAGTAATAGGACTAGAAATGGTTGTTTGTGTTCTCCATCTACACAAATTATCCGGTCGAAATCTATTATAAAGGCCCAATAGCAAGTGTCTCTAATATTTGTGCTGATGAATTAATAAAAGCTATATTTTGACATACCAGACGTCGTAGAAACTAGCGCCGATGTTCGTTGATTTAGGTTACCGCACCATATAATACATTAATGAAATTAACAAAAATAACAGAAGGATCAAAATATTAGTTGTAAAGTGAAAGGAGACGAATATATTTAAACTTGGTTTACATTAACACATAAATTAGGTTGATGTGCATTTCTTTAATAAGCGTGGACTCACAAAGGTAATAGCTAGGGAATTATTACTTGGTAAAAGTAAATATTATCTATGGAAGATATAGTGATTTACCAGTCCTCTTTATTAAAGTGGACTGCAGAAAGCACACACAATTAGAATGATAGAGAAGAAAGATGTTAAGGCCGTTTCCACTTTGATCGATATAAAGTGCATTTTACTGAACTTTGATAGTGATATTTCACAAAATCAATTCAAGAATATCAATAAGAATTTAGTGAATCACGTCTAATGAACCACCCTACAGATTATTCATTGAGAAACCGAAAGTTTAATATAGCACCGAAATAAGAAAGCCAAAAAAGAACGCAATTCAAGTCACGTATGAATTTTCACAAAACCAATAAGCAAACATTACAAAGTAACGTACCCAACAATACTACTCATAATGCGATGACCTGTAAATTTGAATGGTCCCGAAGCCTTGAATTTAAAGTTCAATGTAAAATATTCAATCACCTGTTTCAAAAGGTTTCAAAGGGTTCAGACAGAACAGAAAAGACTTTCACTTAACGGGCCTCCTTATCTAGTAGCAGTGGATTACCGATGTCTCCAAGTAACTATTTAAGTATGCTTGACAATAAAAGAGAAAAAATCAGTAAAATTTAGTTAGGTTTTGTCCTTAGTCCTCAATAATATGTCGAATTCTCCCCTAAATGACTCTTGGGTGTCTTAGAGGTGAACTTCTAATGGCTTACAGTATCCTTAAATGACTCTTGGGGGGTCTCTTCGACGAGCTCAACCGGCAGCGAATTCCGTTATTCGGCTACTCGTTAGGAGCAAAAGCTGTGCCTACAGTCCATTCCGATGTGTTGTGTCTTCAGTTTCTGGGTGTTTCCCCCAAGGGTTTTGTTGGGACTGAACTTAAGTAGGTGTTTAAGAGGGGAACCCAGAAATGTTTGGGATGCTGTAAGTCATTGGAAGGTCACCTCTGAGACGCCTATACTCTAATCGGTAAAAATTTATTGATTGAAGGCGCTCTTCACAAGTCCTGAATTTGATTTCCCGAACTAATTTCATGGCTTGCCGTCGGATATGTCCCAACGTATCTTTATCTTTTTGGAGTAAGGAAGGAAACACTATATTTCCATACTCTAAATGGGTACGAATAAAGATGTCGGGGATTAAGTGGAGAGTTTCACTATCAAACTGGCCAAAAATGAGCATCAATGTTAACAGTGTAAGGCTTGCTCGAGAGGCGTTTTAGTACAGTAAACTTACGACTCTAGATCATGGGCCACCAATACTTCTAGATTTTTTTCAGCTTGAGATACCTCTAGAGAGAAGTTACCTAAGTTATATTTGTGGTCTGCAACACGTCTCAGATAAACTACCTTACAATGAAGTGTTGGAAGTAAGTCCGTTGTTATCCTCCCAACTTTGAAGTCGAGTCAGATCCTCCAGAGGTGCCAGCTTATCATCTTGGTTACAAACTTCTCTCCATAGTTCCATATCGTCATAGTAATGCTCCGCCCCGTTCCTGTTTTCCTATTGTTGATGATTAACAAAATCATGCTGGGTATTGTTCCTACCACACAAGTAATACTAGCATTAACTAGTTCACGCAACTCATCCATTTTGTTCAGCAAAGTCAAGGGGTTCGTGTATAAGTAGTTGGTGCTTCTGATTTGAACTGCGTGAGCTTCTTTGTCTTGTTTATCTGAATAAGCCTTATGTGAATGGACAGGCGACCTACCAACACGGGGTTAGCAACCCCTGTTCCTCCTACGTTTTGTCCTTGCTCCAGTTTGTCTTCGTGTTTCATCCTTGTGTCAAATGGCCTATCCGGATGCATGTGGATTCCAGCTGGTCACCAGAACGTAGTGCCACAAGAGTGGCAGTCACCATGTAAGTGTACGAGGTTTTCTTCAAGAGCCGGGGTCTACAATCTCTGTCTCTATCGGCTAATCACACCACTTTTAGAGTCAATATGTTCCTGAGCCTCAAGAAATGCTTTATGAATTCGCACTATAGAATATCATAGTCTGCATAATCAGGATCCATGTTTTCTAGGATACCTTGTAAAATGGTATTACTACCGCGAAAAAAAAGTTTCGTGAGATTTTCTAGAGCTGTTCCTGATGCTATCGCACCCAGAATATGGTGTTTACATATGGTTATATGCATTTACTAACATGTATAGACAGATGCACGAGATGGCTCATAACCGTACCGTTAAAAGACACGTCGGCTTCGAAATCGCTCTGTGCTGACTGGTTGGACAATCTTGGAGGTGGATTACACAGACAATTCACTAGCTGATATCCTTACTAGAACTGAGCTATTCAGCATTTTCAATGGTTACATTCGATCTATTTTAACTCTGTTTGCAAGGGTCCATCCGCCTACAATATGAGACCATGGGACTATTGCTGCCGGGTTTCAGCACCTCCTAATTATTTTTGTTGCATGTCCCATAATTATTATTTTCTTGAAGACCCTATTCTTCACTTTACTGAGTGCCGTTGTTTGTTTACACATTTCGAGACTGTCTTTCTTCAGGATTGCTGTTGATCTTTTCGCAGACCTGTCAAGAGAATTTTGATGTTGCTCTGCATATCCCTAGCACTCATGTTGCATGCGCCACATACCTGCCTGCTATCTGACTTACCAGGTTTGTAGTGAGCAGCTTCTTTAAGGTCTGTGCATGCTTCGTGGAGCCAACCTTTGCAGTTGTCACAATGTATACCACAGGTGACAGGAAAACAGCACCTAGGTCGCTTACATGTGTTTTTAGTGATTATGGTGAAATCTAAGTTGATAAACAAATTTTTGCAAAAGTTTACGACATTATTGTGGATCGCGGGGTGGCTACTCTAAATTCTACCGTTTGACCAACTGCAGATATCCCAGCACGACCCCAATACTGTTCTCCAATCTCCAATATATATATATATATGTATTGGTAATTATTACGATGCAGTGAGTTGATGTAGACGATGATGTAACTTCCACGAAAGATCTTATAGATTAGGCAGTTATATCATGATAAATCTACAATTTTAGGATTAGGTCTATTATTAGAGCAGTACTAATATCATAGCAGACCATAATTCTACAGATTTATTGCTTAATAAACCCAAATCACGCCAGGACAATTCTTCCCTTTGGTAAAGCACACACAACAGTATCGATGAAGAACATCGATTTAAGAACATGGCTGGATGCTGTAGTGCATGTAACTAGACGTAGGAAAAACTGGAAGTTAGTGCAAAAGAAAAGGTGAACCGGCGATATAGTAGTCCATAAGAGTTAATAGGGCACAAAGGGTATGTTAAGCTATGTGTTCTTGTGTACATGTTAAATGTTATCGAGTATATTTAATGTCTTTATTCATCAGCTATGAACATCAATTTTGTCATCACACGCTAATTTTCGTAATGTTTGTAAACATTATATAGTTTTCATCTCAGATTTTTAGTAGACTGACTTAGCTGTCGTTCACTACCTGGTTTCTGAGATCATGTTACGAAGAAACAATCCAGTCGACATGTACATCGCAAAACAGGGGAAAGTTTGTTGATGATACTTAGAATGAATTTTTATTTTGTTGCAGCAATAGACTACTTAAATACGAGAAAATCTAAAATCTGTACAACCCAACAAGCACATAGCGAATGAACTGTGGAATAAGCACTTCGTTACAGGCCGTCCAAGGTCGTTGAGAAGAAACGTCAAGCGGCTTTGTGTAGACAAGAAACATGAAAATGCTCATAGCACTCAAGGAGTTACTCTAATGCTTTTTATAGTAGCACGAAAAGCATTTATAAGATAAGAATCTCATTAATCCAGGATCATCAAAGCTTCCTTCATAACAAGGATAAAGAGAATCACAATGAATGCTATCCAATGTTATGTACCCACCAATTATAGCAACGACGAAGTGCTCAGGAAAGTATCTGACTGTCATAATTGGAGACCTAAACGTCATAGTTGGAATGAACAACGTTGAGTATGAAAATTCCACGGGACGACATGGATTGAGAGAAAGGAACGAGAATGATGACAGATCTGCAAATTTATGTGCATTCAACAAAATAGTTAAATGTGGCATTATATTCTCCCACAAACGGATGCAAAAAGCCACATGGCATATGACGCATATAAACTCTAGGTTTAAATTTATTCAACTCACATTTTCATTCCATCTTACATTTAAACATACACTCATATACTTCAACTCTACAACGACCTCCATGTCATCTTCCCCCCTTGCATTTTTCGTCTTCATTATTGCTCATCATATTCCCATACTTGTTTCAAACAGGTCTTGATCTCAGAATTAATCTGAGCACTTCACCATGGTTTTCACACCGTTGTTTCCATCTCAATACTTTACCACCTATCTATCTTCGACTAATCATTTTCCGATCATACCTCAAGAAAACTCGGGAGCTCCTGCCATCAGGTGTCCAGCTAAATGTAGGAAAAATACACGATCTAACACGACTGCCCATACGGTCTCAAGCTTTCGATTTTATCAGTAAATTTGAACTAAAACATCCCAGTGACAACAGGTGATGGAATTTCAAATGTTCGGATGTGTTAGCTTTATAGGGCAATATACGGCATGTGGACTGTGAAGTTCATCCTCAACGTGATGTGGATGCTCAGTGGGGTTTCTTACTACACACCATCTTATATGCTACGAAGCAGTCTGTCCCCAAAACGGTCCCCGAAAATTAAAGCAATCTACAGTCACCAAGAATCGCACTCTCCTAATGCTAAGACTCAAGAGGCACAACTGGGAGAAATGTAAGACAGGCTTAAGCATCAAATAAAGCCAGTCGACAAACTTGTCTTCAATCTGTAAAGCTTATTGCCTCGTTCAGATTCCTATCGACAAGCCAAAATCGTAGTTTACCAGCTTCAGGTCTTAATGGCTCAACCAGCAATGATAGTGATGTCGCCGACCTTCTGACAGAAGAGTATTTCAAAACAACCATTCCACACTAACTAAATCGACGAGAGCTTCGCCTTCACTTTAACGGGACTCTCAGAAATGAACCTGAGCGCTGACTTGGTGTGTCAGAAACTACATAATCTAAACAAGGAATATTCTCCTTGCCTAAATATGGTCAATTCTGTTATACTGAGTGAAGCAGCTTCACTCTTGACAAAAACGCTTAGTGTGATGTTCTTACATTTGCTAAGCAGAGGCACAAAACTTTGTAAACTAGCTCACGCTACACTAACTTCTAAGTCAGGTCGATGCAGAGAACCCTCAAGCTACCGACCGTTAGAACTTCACTCAATACTCTCAAGAATCATAGAGTGCCTGGTGTGTGACGGTCTACGTGACTGCTTACTATCCATAAGCTTCTTTTCATTCCAATAGTTCAGTTTCAGAAGCCATCATATTTGTATAATCAACCTGCTGATCAGAGATGACAGTTGAAAACCAACCTTGATCAAAAAGGAAGGTTGATGTCATATAATTTGACTTCCCAAAAGCTTATGATAAAGTCAATCATAAGTGCTTCATCAACAACTCGAACAATAAGGTATCAAGTGACTTCATATCTAAATAACCGATAGTGCAAACATCCCTTTTCTTAAGATTACGGATTGATTAAGTGGAGCACCTGATGGATCAGTACCAGGAACTGTTATTTTCCTAACTTATATAAATGACCTTCATCAACAAGTATCTTTTGATATATTGCTTCGTTCTGACGATGTAAAACTCTGAAGAGAAGTTTGTAACCAAGATGATAAGCTGGCACCTCTGGAGGATCTGACTCGACTTCAAAGTTGGGAGGATAACAACGGACTTACTTCCAACACTTCATTGTAAGGTAGTTTATCTGAGACGTGTTGCAGACCACAAATATAACTTAGGTAACTTCTCTCTAGAGGTATCTCAAGCTGAAAAAAATCTAGAAGTATTGGTGGCCCATGATCTAGAGTCGTAAGTTTACTGTACTAAAACGCCTCTCGAGCAAGCCTTACACTGTTAACATTGATGCTCATTTTTGGCCAGTTTGATAGTGAAACTCTCCACTTAATCCCCGACATCTTTATTCGTACCCATTTAGAGTATGGAAATATAGTGTTTCCTTCCTTACTCCAAAAAGATAAAGACACGTTGGGACATATCCGACGGCAAGCCATGAAATTAGTTCGGGAAATCAAATTCAGGACTTGTGAAGAGCGCCTTCAATCAATAAATTTTTACCGATTAGAGTATAGGCGTCTCAGAGGTGACCTTCCAATGACTTACAGCATCCCAAACATTTCTGGGTTCCCCTCTTAAACACCTACTTAAGTTCAGTCCCAACAAAACCCTTGGGGGAAACACCCAGAAACTGAAGACACAACACATCGGAATGGACTGTAGGCACAGCTTTTGCTCCTAACGAGTAGCCGAATAACGGAATTCGCTGCCGGTTGAGCTCGTCGAAGAGACCCCCCAAGAGTCATTTAAGGATACTGTAAGCCATTAGAAGTTCACCTCTAAGACACCCAAGAGTCATTTAGGGGAGAATTCGACATATTATTGAGGACTAAGGACAAAACCTAACTAAATTTTACTGATTTTTTCTCTTTTATTGTCAAGCATACTTAAATAGTTACTTGGAGACATCGGTAATCCACTGCTACTAGATAAGGAGGCCCGTTAAGCGAAAGCCTCTTCTGCTCTGCCCATAACAATTCGTAGTATTTGAAAGAGGCAAGAAAAGTGAATAATTATCATGAGGTGCTGTTCACGTTTCGTCATTGAATCGCTAAGAAGCTTGGTTTTGTATGTTTTGTTTTAAATATTACCTTTGAGCATTTCCTATATTTGCGCGCTTCATTTAGCTTTCTTCGGACTACCTATAGATGAGGCAAGTTGTTCTAGTACTTCTTTTTGTTGTCATTCATATGCGTATACTTAACTTTGGGGTACATTTTATAATATATGGGTTTATATTGATGCATTGTAGCACAACGCTCATTTACAGTTACTTTTCTGAATAGAATTTTGTATCGTTGGTCCTCAGTTTATTTTGAGTTCTTCTTAGAATAATAATATAATGTGTTTGTTGCGCCAAACGTGTCAAATTTTCAGAGTTTTTTATAGATTGGTAAGTTGCATTTTGACTCATACGACTTTAGGGATTTCATCCAATAGTTCGTTGGTCATGTCAGTAATTTGTTCCGGTTCCACTGGTGTTTTTTCGACACATGCCCGCTGCTATTTCCCTACTGACATTTTCTGAAGCCCTGTCCAGTTAATTCTATTCGTCAAGGTACCAAATCCTGATGTGTACAACTATTTGTATACGTAGCTGATGGTAATTATTCGATAAATTTGCACAAGTTTTAGTCCCGTCTAGACGCACCGCTCGTTACAAAATTATTGTGTAGTTGGTAGATGCAGTCAAACACTCGCGTTAACTCCTTTCATGAATCGATCGCTTGGATTTCGCTTCACTGACCTTTGCGAACAACATGTCGAAAGTCTAGGGTATCAGGGACGCATTTCCCTGAATTAGTTAGGGTGATCCCCAGCATCTATACACTGCACATTTTGTTCCGACTACCTTTGTTTATAAAAGTCTATCGACTTCCAGGGATGATTAGCCACTGTCTACGTTGGGTTATATTGTGATCGTAACTGGAGTCAGTGGGTATGAAGTTAGGTAATGTAAATTCAATAACTCAAATCCTAGTAAATAAACTGTGTGTTAACTTTCAACACATGTAAAAACAAATTTCATTTGACTAGTAATGAATTATTGAGCACATTGTCCGGAGTAAGGCACGAGATTGATGACTTATTGTTACTATGTGTAAATTCTAGTTGTACTAACCTCCCTAAATTCATTTAGACAATATGGGGGTTGAACCCTGAATCTATTGGTTGAAAAGTAGTCAGCTCGTTGAATTACGGTTAACTTAGCGCGGACACCGAATTTCTAACCAGTTATTATTGTAATATGATATAGTTAACTCATCTACAAAGTGCCAGCACATGCATCCAACTTAGTGTCACTGTGTAATAAGTAATGAGGTCTGGCAGCGCAAAGAAGGTCGGACAGTGTCGAATGCTATAACCACCAAACCATTGTCTCATATTGTTTGTGTTCAAAAACCTTTCGTTTCTTTATTCAAAGTGTGAAGTGGTCTAGGTCAGCGTTTCGCGATATGGGAATTCATAGTAATGTCTAAAAATTGGCTAATCCCGTGGGCGAAAATTCATAAAATAAGTAAAACAGGTAGCATTGTAACATAGTTGTGCCATAGCGAATGCAGCTCGGAAAATGAATGAGACTAAAATATTAGAGGATGTGCTGATACTACTGAGGATTCAAAGGATGACCACTGATATTGATAACATCTAAGAAAAAAATCAGTCACACTCATCGTTTACCCAAGCTTCCATACAAAGATATTTAAAACGCCATAGATCGTTTGACGAAATTTAGTAATATTGGGCCTGTTAGTCACAAGTTTAAGGGCTAAATACTAAGCCTTTACCTTCAGCGATGTGCATATTAGGTATTGTTTGTTAGCTTCTGTTAGATTCGTATTCATTTAAAAGTTTACGTAAATCAAAAGGTCTGTAAAGTTCGTTTTTGTTTAGCGCCTCACATGAAAAAATATCTTTTATGGAATCTCGTTTATTTCCTTTTCTCTGTCGTTGAAATTTTCATTTTTATAATTGTAGTTGGTAGTAAACAATGATGAAGTGCCTCAAGGTTGAGGATGCTCTATCCTACCTAGACCAGGTAAAGGCTAGGTTTTCTGGCCAAGGGGCTATCTATATGGACTTTCTTGATGTTATGCGTGATTTCAAGGCACAAACGTAAGTTTCCTAAAATATTATTTATGTTTTAAGGATTGGTACGGAGGTTGTTATTCGTCGGGTACGTGAATTGTTTGAGGGTCATCCCGATCTTATTACTGGATTTAATACTTTCATACCTCAAGGATATCGAATGGATACTCTCACATCTCATCAGTCTTTTAATGCCAAGCCCACTTGTACTGTTATCCCTTCGAGAACAACATTGTCTATATCCTCGGCAGATAATGTTACTCCAGTAAAAGGGATTTGTGCTTTACTGAAAATTACTGAGGCACCTAGTGAATGGACTCCACCAGGAAGTCTAACAAGCTTAGTTAGCAGCCACCATGAACCTGTTAGTCGTCAAAACTCCTATGTCCCGGTTGTATCGAACAGCCTGCCGTTGACTAGTGCTTCACCCGTACATGTTTTAACTCCTAATATTCAGTCTGACAATTCCAGTTTTAACTCATCGAGTCAGCAACAGTTATTACCGACGGATTGTCAAGAAAACCTTCCTAACGTTATGCTTAGAAGCTCCCATAATGCCTCAAATTTAACTCATTCTCCTCATGTATATCAACAGCATCAACAAATTCAATCATTCCATCATGCTCTCCAGTACGTAAATAAAATAAAGGTAAATTATACCAAGTTTTCTTAAACAGGGTTGATTTAGAATCGCTTTCAGGGTATACCTGATGTTTACAAACGCTTTCTGGATATCTTACAGTGGTATCAAAAGGAACAACGTCATTCGGACCCTATGTGCCGCAAACAGGCAGAATTACAGGTTTATCAGGACGTCGCCAAGCTTTTTGGCGGTCAAGAAGATCTACTTCAAGAATTTAGTCAATTCCTACCTGAATCATTTGGTGTTACAAGTGCTGTTGTAGGTTTTTATCTTTTCTAAGTAATTTCCCTTTATAATAGACAGAGACGATAATAAATAGGAAAAATTCCAGTTATTCACAGCTTAGTGGATCTGATGTATTAGATCCATCTGTTCCGGTGCCTCACTTGATAAATCGTGTTTCTGAAGGTATCAACTTAGCACTATCTTCGTGTAAACAGCGTCCGGGTCAGGAGGTAAGTCCTGTGAATCCTGATGCCAAAAAGTTGAAACGACTTGCTCCTGCACAAAGTATATTCCCAAACGTCCCATCTCTCAATCCACCTAAAAAGTCACGTTCATCAGTTCGAGATGTAAGTGTTGTTGATGCAAACCAACTGACCACCGGCATCGGCATCTCACTGCTACAAAAGGTAGGTCATTGTCGTAAGTTTATTTCCCCACTAGATTCGAGATGCTTTAGATGCAGACAGCCCAGTTGGGAATCGTTCTTACCAAACCTTCCTACAAAATGTTTGTCTGTTTAATCGTCGGATAATTTCAGCCGATGAATTATTGGAAGCAACTCATCCCCTGTTTCTGAGACATGTAGAAGTTTGGAAGCGTTTCAGTGACTTTATCATGGTAAGAAAAATTCAAAGGTTTTTCCCCTTACGTTTCGAATTTACGAGCTTGATGAAAAACTCAAATTATTCTGATTACGATTGCGATTAGGAGTGATTTGTTTCAAAATAACTGTCATATCATTTCATTAATTCAGTCGACAATATATACCATGTATTTAATGTCTTTTCGTCATCCCCTACAATCTGACAGGTTGCAGCCCGGATGCGATCAAGGATGGGTTTTACCATTTGTCATTTGTTCTGCAGAAAGTGAGTTTGATAGATATTGTGATACTAGCTGGAGACTTGGATGATCAGATCGGGCGATTGGGCACAGAGGAAACACGTTTAGGTGGCCAATCGGGACTTGTTGGTCTTAGGTCAGATAATGGTGACCGTCTATTGCAACTTTGCACATACCACGACCTGTTTCTGGCTAGCACTGATTACCGGCACAGTCATCGTTCTAGTACACATATCTAATGTACATGAGAAACAGCTTATCAGTAAACCATTAAACATAATAACTGCCAACCATAATCTTTAATTATCCGGATTTCTAAATCAGAGTAAATAAATCAGGGTTCAAACCTGCGATCTAATTGTTGAGCCTGATGCTTTTACCATCGAACCACCAACCTAATCTATGTTGGTGAGAATCGTATATTACGATTGATCAAAGCTAGCCTCTCTAGCCAATTGTTTTTTTCTGTGTGTCACTTTATGGTTACGATTATGGCTGTCGTTCTTTTTTGGTTGATCTAGTCATCACGTAATTCATCTCAAGAAGGATTTGGACATCTTCAATCTCACACTCATGGCTTTGGTCGAGACAAGCATGATCGTGAGAAACATAATATCTGTAGTTTTCTATGCGATCCTCATACCTGTTCTGATGCCTTACCGAACAACATGAACAATCAACCACCTTCTTCACTAATATCACTTGTCAGTGAAGTATCCCAAAAAAGATTGGATCTCGATTTTACCAAACTCCGAACATGCGGTGTAAGCTATCGAGCGCTACCATCGAATTTTCCACAGAGCAAGTGTTCTGGTCGTCAAAAATGTCCTGTTGCAAAGGAGGTAAGCCAATTGTTCCAAGTTTGGGGACATTTATAGTAGTAGTTTCATGGTAAGTTGAATGCTAAAGTCATTTCAACTCGTGTTATTATGTTCGACATTAAATACCAAAATTTGGAAAATTTTTGTTAGATCGTCAGTGCAATTCTTCATGAGTGAACTGGTGGAGATCGTAGTCAACCAAATCGTTGTGTGTTAAGTAACGGATATATTTTATCTTTCAAATCATAATTCTAGTATTCAGAGTACTAATTAGTGAAGAAATCGTGAATGTTTAATTCTCAGACTTTAAACTGTAGTTTTAAACACAGTCCTAATCCAGCCAAAATGTCTTAATAATGTAGTTAACTCTCACAATGATATGCAATTCTGTGATCACTGGTTAACATTTGTTTTGAAGAGAACGCGAACAACGGTTTCGGGAGAATAATCCATTTGTTAGGTTCTCATCAGCTGCTTATAAGCTTCACGTACATAACATTCATGGTAGATGATTATTCCCTGCGAATTAGACCATTTCTTACAGTATTTATACTTGTATATAGTCTCGCAGTTACTAGCTCTATAATGTCACCCTTAAGACAACTTTATTTGCGAATTTCGCACCACATTCTCCAAATTTCTCCATCTTCATACAGTTTTTCATTCCTCTGCAGATCTTTACATGACTTCAGTATATAAAATTCTAAGGAATTCTGCTTGCATGAAAGCTCAATGAGATTACCGGCAACCTGTCATTTTTCTCTTTTTGTGATATGTTTTGCCATGGTCTCACTTTTTTCTAAAGAAGAATCTTATCTTTTATTTCAGGTCTTGAATGATTCGTATATCAGTTTCTCTTCGCTTACTTCTGAAGATTCTCAGTTTGTATCATCTAAAAAGAACCAGTATGAAGAAAATATGTATCGAGTAGAAGATGAACGTTATGAGGTAGATATGGTCACCGAACTCAATCGAGCCGCAATGCAGAATCTTGTCGTCGTAAAAAGATGCATGGACAGAATGAGTAAAGAGGAACTTAACCAATTCCATTTGGATGACAAACTAGGCGGGACATCTGCGGTTTTAATGAAGAAAGCTATACACAGGTATCAATGCTTATTGTTATTATTGTTGCCATGATCATTATTACATGATTTAGTCGATGCAATCAATAATCTTTTCAAGTTAATTATTATGTTAAGTAATTGTTTCCAACTCTTCAAATTGAATTATCCTATCTCTATGAGATAGTGTATGAAAAACGATGCAAGAGTAAATTAGTTATTAGGCAGATATTGCTTGTGCATGTTTGCGATTCCCAGTTTAATGGATAGTAGATATTGTACTTGATTGAATCTAGTTGATAATTTGTGTTAAATATGGTAATGTTTCTCATCTAGTGACTGATCTATCATTTTTTATTCAGGATTCCATTTATAATATAACATGTCTCTACTTCTGTTGGTATTCAGAGTTTATGGTGATAAAGCAGGAGATGTAATATATGGCCTGAAAAATTGTCCTAATACTGTTCTCCCGTTAGTCATACAACGTATGCGTCAGAAAGACTCAGAGTGGCGAGAAACTATTCGCAACTATCAACGTTCCTGGGCTGATCAGGATGCTCGCAACTACTTGCGTTCTTTGGACCACCAAGGAGCAACATTCAAGCAACGAGATGCTCCATTCATTCGTAGTAAGACTATGATTAGTCAGATTGAAACAATTGCGCGTAATGATAAGGTGAGCTTTTTAGTTAAATTATGCCTCTTTAAATCCATCATGGTCTCCTTGTTATTTAGAAAACAATTAGTTTTATGTAACAAGTAAGTGGTAAGCCAGTTGACATAAATGAACCGAGGATATTACTTACTGCTCGGGTTATTTATTTTATTTATTTTAACACATAGGTATTGGTACAAGAAGGCAACAAGTACATATGCGCCACACGAATCTCAATTGATATGTGTGAGGGCTGTGATACTGCCCGGGTGCCCAAACCGAAGCAGGTGATTTTCTTAGGGGGCCACACCCCGAGCCTTCGACCTGAATGTCTGACTCACAAGGCAGTGGGGCATCGTAAGGAGATGCAGTCCCATGGTAGCCGGTGACCAACGATTGGTTCATACGCCATTTGTTCCTTCAGGATACTGGAGCCCATGTGCACCATTGGTTTGGTATCCGGTTGAAGCCGGTGCCGGACATTCGCTTTTCGTCCTCTCATTTTCGTAAACAACACCCGTGGTGCGAGAAGGCAGTGAGTAGGACTTCCCTGTCAGAGGCTATATACTCATGGCCATGTGAGAGTATTTCGAGAGGGAGAGCAGACTCCCCACTCTCGGCCGTACCAGGGCACTTGTGGGCCTTAATTCGAGATACTCATAATATTTTCGAATCTCATTTGCTCAAAGAATAAAGATCGATTGTTAAGGCTACTACCTCTACTTATTCATCTTAGTGTTGATCATCTATTCACCAGTTAAAGAAAATCCAAATAATTTTGAATTGTTAACTTGCTCTAACGGAAATTTATTTTTCAATTGAACGAATTTAAATAATTGTGATCAGTTAATTTTGAAGCGTGTTATTCAGTGTCGTTACCAGAACTCAAATTGAAGAATTTGAATCTCCCGTATGATACAACCTCTAATCATTGTCTTCATCAAGTTTAGTTTAGCTACCCTGAAACTTCCTAACTCTAATCTTTTTAGTACATTTGGCTGAGAGAAAACCTGGTTTGTGACATATCATTCTCTGATTTTATTAGAAATATTGTAAATTAAACCAATGTAATTTTATGTTTTTACGTAAAAACCCCAATATTTGATGATTTAAAAATTATTAAAAGGTTTGAGATTTCTTTCGAATTCAACTGTCTAAGAAGCTAGTAATCAATATGTTAAGATCCAAGTAATTTTCCACTATTTGTTTACTACTAATGTCGCGGACTTTTCAAATTTTTTCCAATACTTGCTTTTTTTACTGCATAATCTAAGTTTTTCCAATTGGTTCTTTTCATTTATTTTCATCTATCTTGCTTTTTCCATCCAGATTCCATCATGTCATTCTACTTCAGATCCTGTTGGCAAAATGATTTCTACTCTGATTACTCAACGAAACCTTATTTCGCGAGATATTAGTAATCCAGGAACTATGGGATCTGCGTTAGCGAATGTATTGGAAGGCAATAATGAAGATGAATCAGCTCATCTTACTTTGGTGTATCCACCACCAGATGTTAGGAATACACTTTTGGAAGATGCTGCCTCTCTGATCATTCATCATGTTAAAAGACAGTCTAATGCAAGCAAAAACGATAAGCGTTCCATGAAATGTTTGGTATGTTTATACGGTATTACATAACCAGTAAATTTTTGAATGTTCTTTCAAGATATCCTTATACAATCCAACTACCCATTGCTTAGTATTCTTCGGACACTACTTCAATGGACTAGCTCCCAGATCAGGAAATGGTTAGAAAAGAACAAAATTATATTTCAAATAGACAAGCTTGAATGGAAGTAACAATCACAGTGCGGAAACTTAGTTTATTTATAATCTATACACAAGAATACTGTAGAGTCTTCTTCATGTGTCTTTTAGCTCTGATTAGCTAAAAATGGGTTAATCGGTGTGATCAAAAATCATCCTTCATGGGAAATACCCTAAGCCAATGTATTGCCTGCTAACACGTCCCAATACCAAAGTTTGTATATTTTTCTGATTATATCATCGGTATATCAAAGTACGTAACTCTCGATAGTACTCATATTGCTTCCTAGAGTTAACTTTTTGTAGTTTGGATTCAGTTCAACATCGATAAATACTCTGCTAATATATTCTGTACACAAAATTAAGCGTTCTATTATCTTAGTTATGTCGTCTCGTTATATTTGTTTTTGTCTGTACTCACCAGCCAATGCATTTCTACATGACTCAGCTCAATTGAGAATGAGTGTCTAGGTAAAATTTATAGAGGAAGTCCCCAGCGATTTTAGTGTTATTTATCAGCACTGATTAATCTTCGAGTGACCTATCTGTCTGTCCGTACAATAAATTGTCAAGGGGCAATCGTTTCGAAACTTTTGGGTTTTTTATGCATGTTTTCTAAAATTCAGATTTGTTTTCAGCCTTGTAAGCCTTCTGGTTGGTGTCAAAACAGTATTACATAATTCTTTTGATTTTTAAAATAATGCTATTGATTAACCGACTTTTTCAAGAAGTGATCCTACTGTTGGATTTCTCAAATCCCGTTCTGCTTGTTACATTATTCTTTTGATGCTAAGCTATACATGTGCACATTTTACGTAGGACTTTTTATGCTCTATTATACCAAGATTTTATTGTGTTCTAAAGAAAAAAATAATTGTGTTGAATTTGAACATCAAGGTAAGAGAAATTTGATAAAATAGACGTGAAATGTTGATGGATAAGAAGTACTATAACTGAGATGTTATTAAGTTGAGTGTTTATATTTCATTATTACACAGAAAAATTGTTAATACAGTGGAGATTATGGGTAAGGGATATTGGGGTCCATATTTCGTTGAGATTTTAGTAAAAAGAAAGTCACAATTCAGTTGCCGTTGCTGTATAAACGTCTTCGCATTATTTTAAATGATAGCTTAATTTAAGATTCGTCGACAATTGATTTTCTTTCATCTACAGATCCGTACTGTATTACAAGATATTTTTATGGCAAATCGTTTCCCTATGTCCGATGATGAGGATGATGAAGATGACGATGAAGATATGAATCAAAAAGAGGATGAAGACGAGCCGATAGCAGATGATTTGATTGAAAATGAAGAACATTGTCGTATTCGATCTGTACGTCAACCTAAGTCAGCTAAGCGTTTTCCCGAATCTCGAAAAACAGTCTCTACTGAACAAACAATATTTAATCACACTGAATTCGATCAGTTACGAAAAGATGATATAAAAATTCAGACAGAGGTACTTGGTGCCCAGACTAATGGTTTATCCTCGAAATTGAAATCAGACGATTTAATTTTTCCAGAATTGTCTATACAGAGTAACTCTATGCCTTGTCACATAAATCAAGATAATTCTGAAAATGAACTTCGTAATATGGAGCTTGCATACATAGCTAGTTTACCTAAAAATGAATGCTACTCTGTACTATACGGAAACAACCACTGGTTAGTTTCTTATGTAATTGTGTTTTTAATTTGCATGTCACGAGTTATAACTATAATCACCCATAATTTAATTTTATATTTTGCATGTAGCTTATTCATTGGTTTTGTTAATTATGGTGAGGTTATCTGTCGTTTCATATGAGCTGTTTGCTTTCCAAAAGTGACCTTAAGCTACGTATTAGACTCAGAGATGGTTAATTGTATATCTGTTACCCCAAAAATAATTTCAAGTGTAATAAGGTACCTATATAAGGTTGGACTAGGTTCTATTTATCTTCTATCAGCGTCTATGGATGTACTGGACTCGATTTACTTATTATTCTTACAATCCGTAGGCGTTTACGTGTTGATTGGCAACCACACAAAAGTCCCCTAATTTTAAGCAGAGATGAATAGTGGGTGGCAGTGGGATTCAGGACGCGCGTTCCGTCTTTTTTCGGACTGGTCAGCTGGATGTGCCTGTATTCCAGAGTGATCGCTTAGTCTTAAGTATCAATGTGAAGATCCAAACAAGCAATACATATGAATTAAAATTCTTGAACTGGTCCCACACCCTGAATTACATAAATATCAGTTTTGTCTTGGATCCTTTGAAACATGTTAGCATACAGTAACTTTTATTAATTCAGGTCACATAGCGTTTTAATATCATTAATGTGATAACTCTTAATGTTCACACGAATCAAACAACGGGATACTTCAGAAAACTTAGTCAATTCGCGATTAACGCTAAACTTCATCTCTTGGGAGGTTACCTTTGGCAACTTCAATACAAGCAGACAGAAGAACGTTGAATCTTATGAAGAGATTGTATATGAACAAGTGTCCGAAAATATGCCAGGTCCGTCTGAGTATGTTTACCGCTTTTTACAACTTATAAAAAAATTGAAGTTATTATGTTGTGTTCTGCTTAACCTGTGGATGATGTACGTAATCTCCGCTATTTCAGTCTTATTTAAAAAATAGCCTGTTACCACCCCTATTATTGGAGGGGAATGCGAAAGCTGATTCTTGTAAATTGATTGTTAGATAAATAAAGAATTACTGATATTAAGATGTATTAAGTATGAAGATGAATATGAATACTTTCAACTACTACTTATTTGATAGTTATCTATTCTAGGGTTTGTTGTTGTTATTATTCTTTTGTATTGTTAGTACTTGTTATAGTGCCAAATGCCGTTTTGTGTTGAGTATCTGATTCATTAATATTGCTGAGTTACTAACCATAAAGATGAGATTTATTTTCTGTTACTTTTAGGTATTCTTTTCTTAGGCTGCATCATCTACTTTTGTGTCGACTACATCACTTACGATCTTACTGTGCCGTAGCCGCTCAACAGTTTACATTAGAGCGGGATGAATACCACGTGCAAGCTGCAGAAGTGCTTCGACTCCGCCGGCACGGTAGGTTTATATTATATATATTTCAGAAAATTATTTTGGCAGATGGTAATGAACATTTAGTGCATTAAGTTTAAACCAATTTTAAAATATATTAGCCAGTTTGCAGCTACGACCATCATTTTTAGTTTTCAATTAGGAATATTTATTAATGGTCTGGATAGCATAATAAATAATGTGTTTGTCTGCTTGTTTCATCTTTATTGTAATCGTTGAGATAGATAAGTCCTTTTTATGGTTAGTTGAAAAATCTACAACAACCTTGTATAGTTACTATGCATTTCGTCTGCGTTCTCAACAAATAAAACCGTTAATTTTGTACTTTAAGCCAATGAAGGGAGTCTTCAGACAGAGCGATCCTTGAGAATTTAGTTGAACAAATTATCATGTGTAAGACAATTATCAATGACAAGACCCAATAAAAATGCTAAAAACCTTGGCAAAAATCAGCTACATATGTGTTGAGTAGGGTTAATAGTGCGCACACCTACGCTCATATAAACAGTTAAGGTTAATAAGCGAATAGGTAACAAGGTAAAATTGTAACTCAAGAAAAATGGATAAACTGGTTTGCCCAGAAGCTAGAATAACCCATGTGGGCTTGATATGATACTAGATACTATTCATTTTTTTAATGTGTGCCTCCTATTCCCGGCACGATGTATTGTTTGATCTGGCTGTTTTCCTTTTCACTTCAGAATTTGGAATCAGGGATCTTCATTCTCTTGTTTGGCTGTTGCTGATTGCTGTCTTCTCATTCTTCTCTTGTATCTTATCCAGAATTTCTATAGAGATCCATATCTTATGATGATACTTCTTGTGACCCAGCCCTTTCTGACACGTTGAAGTTAGTACTTTTTTGAACCCTCTCAAGTTCTCCATAGTAGTTTACTCTTCTTTGAGTAGATCTGGTAAGACTTGGAACTTGTGGTTAAAAGCCATCTTGAATTTGTTGAGTTTATCAGTATCTCGAAGGAAGACTACTACTCTTTTTTAATGATGTTTCTCAAGTTGTTGAGTGCTTCCTTAGCTTTGATTTTATCTTGTCCAAAACTAGGTGGTAATCTGAAGCCATGTTCGCCCCTATCTTTGTTCTCACGTCCTCCATAGATAGTCTGGTTTTTATTGATTCATATATGATCGATCTGGCTCTCTGTAATTTTGTTCAGTTAGACCCATGTAGTTCGCTTACTTTGGAATGATGTAACTGGATCGATCTACGAACAAAACTCATTTTCTCCATAAAAATAAAAATAATTGTTTTGATATTTGTGTGTTCAGACAGGAAATGTTCTGTAATTGATCGTTAATGCGCGAATTCATTGACCATTCTCTTTATCTTTAGCGTTTAATCAACTCTAATAGATAAAAGGCTGATAAAACGACAGTTCGTTTGCAAAAGACTCGTTTAGGTTTCAATAACTTCAGCAGTCCACGGTCCAGTAAAACATTACCTAAGCTAAAAAATATTTTTACGCTGCTTATAATTATTCTTGGGAGTTCTCAAACATTCATTGTCTATGGTGAAATCACTAAATTACTTGTACTGATGATAGAAATAGATGGGTTACAGGTAAATACGATACATTTTATATACATAGTTCTCTTTATCATCTTGTAGAGGACAAGAGAAAGGTTTAAGCAGAATAACATGAATTCATTCTATCTTGTTTAGTTCTCATCAGCTGCTCATAATTTTTACAATCACAATTACAAAGTGATTTAAATTACTTACATGAAAGAGTTTAGTTGGAAGTTTCTATGATCATACATCTGTATAGTATCGCAAGGATGTAAATAAATTCAGTTGACTGAATAGTTTTTTATTTAATTTAAATATATATACCTTTCGTACAAACAAACTGCAACATTGGATGTAACAAAAGTCCAAAGGGCTGAAAACAAGTAGTTGCGTGATGAGTAAATTTTGATAACAAATAAGAAAAAATCAGTAACACTCAGATAATTCAAATAAGATTACCGATCGAAAAAACAGTCGAAAAAAGATATAGTGCAATTAATTAAAGGAAAAAGTTGGACAAATTTTCATGATATACTTAAAGAATATCTGTCACAAAGGCAAAGGAAGATTAACAACCGCCTTCTTTTGAACACATAGATTAGGTTTCTGACACCTGATAGCAACAGCTTCAGAAGGCGATCTTGGTTGTTTATTATGCACATCGAAAAATCGCAAGGTATTGATCTGATTTTCGATACATGTGAGATGTCTAGTGATTGTACTATTTAAATTACCTCTTCCGCTTACCGAAGTCATTTTAGACACATGTCGAAAAAATCAAAGATATACCCTCTTTTCTGTTCGACCAATGTATTTTAAATTTTCTGAACTTGTTCCAAAAAGCCTTCGGTTAAGATAAAGAGCTACTTTAAACAGCGCAATTAATGATTGAAACTATGACTCAAAGTCAGTCGCCATAGTACAAATGAGTTCATAGTTTTTCTCCGGTTTTTAGCGTTGCCGTTTTATACTTTCAACTTCTCCATATTTTCTCTCATTTGATTCCTGATGTTACAACTTTCATTTATGTGAATGTGTACAGGTGGTACTGAACCGTCGCAATATTACTCTCGCGCTCTTAATTTAGTCAAAGATTTATTAGATGGAGGGGAAGATATCAACACATTTGAGGATCGATTACGAGATATGTTTAGCATTTATGCATATCCATGGTTTACAATGGATCGTCTTATAATAAATATAGTTCGTCAATTGCAAGCACTTGCAAGTGGTGACGAACTAAGTCGTCGACTAACTGCTTTACATCGTTCTTGGATTGGAAATTCATCATATAGTGATCGAAACTCTCAGTCAACTAGTGTTGCTTCAAATTTTCCTCAATATTCGTAAGTTCACTATAGCTCACTAAATATACTTTAATTTGCTTTTACGTTTGAGCGTTAATTTTTTCCTAGTTTTAATTGATATAACGTAGAGCTTATACAGTCAGCTCTCCCTCTCGAAATGTTCTCACATGGCCACGTGCATTAAACCGCTGCCAAAGGAGTCCTACTCGCTGAATCATTGCAGTGGGGGTGTCGTTTACGAAATTGAGAGGACGAAAAGCAAATATCCGGCGCTTTAACCGCGTTGGTGGATATGGAGAACCCTCATTCCAAATCAATGGTGCACATATGCTCCAGGATCCTAGGGAAACAAATGGCGTATGAACCTATTGTTCTTCACTGGCTACCATGGGACTGCCTCTCCTGACGTTGCTCCACTGCCTTGTAGATTAGATTTTTAGGTCAAAAGCTCGGGGTGCGGCCTCCTATGAAAACTCCTGCTTCGGTTTGGTCACCCAGGCAGTATTACAGCACTCACAAAAATCGAATGATATATGTGGCGCTCATAAATATGATGCCTTCTTGTACCAATGTCTGTGTTTAAGTAATAAATAAAGATAACATAAATTGTGTAAGTTGACTACGGAAGTTAAAAATATGGAAAGGCAGAAGGTGGTGGAATATTTACAATTCAGAAACTTACAAACAGTTCATTTAGATTACTAAAATCAGTTAGAGACATGTAAAATAATGGTTTTTAATTATTGGGTTTAGCTTTTCTATTAAGACTCATTTTTCTTATCTTTAAAACTTATATAGAGTATTTAATTTGTGATAATTGGCTTTACCGTTTGCATTTGATTCGTCGGATGTGGCAGTGGATTTGAGTCAGATGATGAAATATAATTCTCATTAAACCTACACGTTCTTAGATTTGTGACGTTGAACAACGCAAAAAGGTTGAATGCGAAATGTTATTGAGAATATGATTCAGAGATATAAGTATTGGTAGATATCGAAAAAAGTAAACATACTAATGTAGTTTTGAAATTTGTGTACTAACCAACTCATTGGATAGTTTTGTGTCTCAGTTTTTATGGTCCACGTAGATAAAGAGGAGCAGATAAACCCATAAATACCAAACAGTACACGTAAATTGAAAGGTAGAATACCATTAACTGGATTGACAAATACAAATATGTAAAGTTTTGTTTGTCATCTGATCTTTTTGGCTTCACGTTTGTTCAGAATATGATAGATTTACGGAGGAGTGTAATAAAGACTATTACAAATTTATATTCTGTCATCCGATCATCTAAACAATTCAACCTACTTTTATTGATATGAAACGGAAGTTTTAACTTACTGACAATGCATATTAAAGTTGATTCTGAAGTACCTTGAATGTTTTATTGTTCATATAACTTTAATATTGTTGTTGCTAAAATTGTTAAGTACTCATCAGATATCGTGTTGTATGTTATGAGTTCAAGATTGACTAGACATGTTGAGATTCGAGGAGCCGAGTACGTACAAATTACTCTTCATATATGAAGCATATTCCACAGAATAGTAACTGAACTCGTAGTGAGTTGCCACCAAACCTAAATAAAATTCTATACGAATTTGTACACCGCATTCTGTAACCTGTAAGTTGAACAGACAACTTTTAGTTGCTTATTGAATATTGCCATTTTCGTGAGCTGTTTATTTTTAAAAACAATGAAGAATATTTGAGCGAACAATTGTTTTCAATAACTTCATCATCAGGCTCTACAGTTATAAGTCTATAATTATGATATTTTACAAAATATATGTATCGTAACATACGCAAACATTCACCATTTTTAACACATAACATTGTCGAATTCATTAATACATGCCTTATTTTTGGCCTTTGTAAAATATCATAATTATAGACTTATAACTGTAGAGCCTGATGATGAAGTTATTGAAAACAATTGTTCGCTCAAATATTCTTCATTTTTTAATATATTCTATGGGGATTTCTAAACTTTATTTTTAATTGAGACGATTGAACCTTTTTCTCTGTAGGAACGTTTGTGGTCCGTTGTACACTCGTGTGTGTAGGTTAGCTAATGAAAATGCATACCATTCTCAAGCTATGACTATTTGTTCTGCCTTTGCTGGTGCTAATGGCTCTTGCAACGTTGGATCCAGTTCTGGAACGCTTCCATCCAGTACTAGTCAAAATAATACGAATGTTACTTCCAACAGTAATACTAATTCCTGGCCAAATTGTTTTCTAATTGTGGTACTCTCGGAGTCATCTACTATGCTTATCCGCCTTATGAAACCTGTGCATTCAACGAAATTTGAAGGGGAGAAAAATTATGATTCATGTTTTCCTTATTCCAGTCATACAAATCTTAATTCTCATTCATTATTAGTTTCTTCGGATGATCCTGGCATCGTAGATCGGGAGGTTCATCTACACAGAGAAAATTTAAAATCTAATTTTTCAATCCGGCATTGGTATGACTATCTTACAACTCATCTTTCATGGACTATTGGTTATGTTCCACATAGTATCTGTTCTCGTATTCGGCCGGTATTTCTATATCGGAATGTTCGTAGGTGCGTAAATGCTTTGACACATGATGCACTTCAAAGAAGAAAACAGCTACTTATTGATACCGGAGATATACAACCTGAAGAGGTTTGTTAACTGTCACCCTTCTATGTATAATTTGTTTAACATTTTTTGTAAACTGTTTTTGAACGTGACTTTATCCCTTTTTCAAAGGTTTCCACGGATTAGTTGCATATAATTTCTTGACAATGTTGTAGAATGTTAGCGGAATATAGATAGGGTTAAAGCATATTCCGTGCAGGGTTGTGTTGGAGCACGCTGATTTGATACTGCCTAACCAACCAGCGCTAGCGGATGCTTGGATAGGCCGCGGTTAGCGTTCTTTAAACAAGGTTATTTTCTACGGTGCGGGGTTGCTGACCCCGTGCTCAACCCTCCTCGTCTACTCGGGCTATGGACCAGCAGTAACCCTATTGTGATTCCTGCTTCAATTCACTTGTTTATTTAGAATATAATTACTTTCCTGTTCTACCACGTCCTAATTTGACATTTGTCAAGTGAAGTAACGCCCGAAGAATACTAAGTAATGAGAGAACTAACAAGAACAGTAAATGAAACACGAAACACCACCACCTATGTAGACTTATTCTAAACAGATTTAATGTTGTTTCGACAGTTATGTTGTCAATTTGTCCTGCTTCGATCTGGGCATCCGGGCAGTATCACAGCCCATACGTAAATCAAGTGGCTTGTGTGGCGCATATCTATTCAGTGCCCCTTCGTACCAATATTTGTGTTCAAGTAAATAAACAAATGTCAATATGTGGAGTACAGTCTTAATCAATATTCCCAACTTACCATTAAGTCTGTTAACCTCTTTCTGTTTTCGAAGTTGGTTTCTGTGGTGATGGTTTAGTATTCTACTGCTTATGTATAATCGAAACAACTAAAACTGCTTTACTTCTGATTCGTTTTTTTAAATTTTAGATTTTATCACAAGGCTTAGTCTCTAGTGGTGTTAAGAATCCAATCTCAGCAAACAAATCTGAAACAAATGAACAATTTAAGTCTCCTAATACATCAAATTTTGAACGAGATGTTTGGGAGTTCATGATCCGAGTATTCAAAAATAATCTCACACATAAAGAGGTAAATTTATTTTGATATAATTCCACTTCTTTATTCTGTTTTGTGTGCATAGGTGTAATCATCATTTGAATCTCTTGAAAGTGGAAAATCTCCATAAACATTACAACAATTAGATAATCACAGTTTGCTAAGTACAATTTGTGTTAAGGTTAGGATTAAAAAAGCTGTTCTTTATTTCATGTATCAATTGCATGATTGCGTTACGAAATCCAGTGGTATACTAATTATACTCAGTTCATTTATCCTTCCTTCATTTTAGATAAACCCATAGTATAATAATTACAATAAATATACAATGGTTAATTTGACCATAATAGTTTTTAGTGAAGTATACAGTTAATTCTGGATATTGTTACTTGTTGTATAAAGAGATAAAGTCGACAAATCCCTTGAAAAGCGTACTACATTTACTATTTGTAAAAACTACATAGAACTTTATTCTGAACTGCTTATAGTTAAATCAAAAGTCATGTTTATTTACACAGTTGTACGAATTATTTTCCTTTACCAGTTATTCCGTGATACATTTTCAAGTGATTGTATGCATTTCACTGAGCGTTTGGATTCAAGAGTTACTCGTAATCACAAAATAAATTGGTCCGTCGGTTCCTATGGAATTTTCATTCGATATCGTAGACGAGTGAGTTGAAGTAAAACAATTTTTTTGAATAGAACTAATTTATAGATGCCATGTTATTGTTTGGAAAAGAGAAATCATGTTACTTTGTGCCTGTATTATCTTTTTGAAAGCAGCTGCTATCACTCAATATTCGTATTGGTTTCTTGATGCGTATGAAGGTGTATATCCCCTCATGAAAAATAAGTATTTAAAGCCTTAAGCCTCCAATTTCTGGAGTCATATGATTAAGGTTAGAATTCACATAAGCAATGTCGCTGTTCAAATAGTTTTCCTATCCTAGTTGCTATAATCTATGATGTATGAAAAGGGTTCATGATGTTAATCTCGGAATACAACTTGTTTGTTCTATACCGATCATTGTTTGTCCATAATAGTATTTACTTTAAATATTCCTGTTTCAGACTTGTCGAAACTATTCGCCTACCAAGTGGCATAAATTCCACTCTGATTGGCTAGCAAAGCATCCTAACTGTATTCATTCACAAAATAGAGATAAAACACAAAATGTCAAACCAGAAATAAACGTTGAGATTGAAGAAGTACGAAGTTCTGCTACCAGTAGCGGAGTAGAAACAACTATTCCAGAAAAGCCTATTCAAGAAAAAATGAATGTTGAAGTAAATGACAACCCCTTTTTTGGCGAGGTGCAAAACACTTCAACTGTCAAATATTCCAATTAACAACATGACGATCCGAAGATCTTACAACCTCAGAAGGACCAAATGCTTCAACAATCATTTCTTTTTTACGTTGTAAATATGTTTTCTAGCTTAGCTAACTGACCAACCATCAATTTAATTTATACATGTACATACAATATTACTTATTATAGTGCAAACAGTCCATGTGTATTTTGCTTTTTTACCATAATTATCACCACAATGATAAAAATAATCTCCAACTTAATAATTCTTCACCTCGAAATTGTTTTGTATCCTTTTGTTTTCTGTTTATTCAATGATGTGCTCTGTATGTATACATATGCCACTTATTATACATATATTTCAGACTGGTTCTGTCCTTATTTTTATTTTGTTTAAATGAAAATCACATACCTGCATTGTATTATTGTTTGTTATCATACACCACTACTAAATGTAAACGCTCTCTCAATTTTGCAAATAATAGCCTACATGATACCGATTAGTTGAGTAATTTGTGCTATTTTGTTTATTGTTACATTTGGATAGATATTGTAATATTTCGTTTCTATCAAATTTAATATGTAACCCAAATTTAAAGAAATTACTCTTTCTATATATATATTTGAAATCATGAACCACCATGGAAAACCTGGAAGCACTGGACGGCCGTTTCGTCCTATTATGGGACTCCTCAGCAGTGCGCATCCACGATCCCGCCTGGCGGGATTCATGATTTCAACTATTGAAATTACCAATTCTCCACAAAACCCATTCTAGTAATATATATATAATCCATTGAAGTTGATTAAAGCTCTACCTATTGATGGTAGCATGTTAGTAATAATTTCTACTTTATAGAAATATATGACGGAATTCAACTTGAGTGTATGCAACAGACAAGAAGCGCTGAACATTATTATCATTGCGTGGAGCACAATGTAGAATTCTAAAAATCCAACTCCTAATTTAGTAACATCTCTAGTTCACTTCAGATGTTAGAAAGGGTTAACTATTTGCGTTGCAGCTCGCTGGAAGTGTTAAATAAGTTTGAAAAATGTACAAAAACATCGACATCAATTGTTTTCATTGAGAATACTTGTAAATCTTCGTACAATAAGTATACGTTTGCTCGAAAGCTGCTTATTTCATTATGATTAAAATATAATGTAAACAGTTTTATTGACACAATTTTTATGTCTGTACAATGTTGTTTAAAAAATTAAAATCTCAGTCTTTCATATATGATAATCAAAGTGCAATTTTGTAAACATGACCAGCTGCATTGTGAATTTTTGTAGGTCGCGGTTCTGTTAGTACCCATTCATACCACACATACCGACTACTTACATTACGCCAGAGATACAAAGTGATCTTATCTCTGCAACGAACATGGATTGGATACTCTAATGGAAATACCAATGGGAACCAAGATACCATTTGAGGGCTATGACGGTCCGGATGTGTACCTGGGAAATAAGAATTATATGAACTTTGTATACTATTTCAGGTCATATTCAGGGTCTGGTACTTGGAAAATTCTAGTGATACAGGCTTTCATTTCAAGATAGTTTTGTTAATATATTGATGTAAAGCAATCACCAAATAGATGCTTTTCGTTAAGTTGATAAGCATGTGTAGGAAAACATAGTGGGTTTAGTGAGAAAGCGGATTTTTAAGTGCGACTGATGTTCACCAGTCAATTTCCAATATATGTTAACTGAAATTAATCACTTAATAAAAAACGGACGAGACATTAACGCTTTTAGCAAAATGTGTGCTTATTAAGTGCGGTAATTGGACAGTATATAACATACTCTTGTTTAAAGAGTTTGGGGGTATCATCAACCATCACTACTCGGAGATGTCTCAGCCGTGTACAGGTTTCCTTTCCATTTAGTGTGTCGAATTACTGAAAAACGATTAGGTACTTTACGAATAAGAATATTTTCCTTGGAAATCTGTACCATATAGGTAGTAGTACAGTATAGTACAACAACTCAAACATAATTGAACGCAACAGCAACAAATGATTTGGGATAAAAGAATAAGTTGGTAAGAACATAAGTGAGAGAATGTTAGGTAAGTGTCAAAATACGTTTACATGTTTTATTTGACTGTTGTCTAACGGTCACGCACTTAGTAAAACGTAAAAGGAAGATTCTTAATTGTTAAGTGACACCAGCAGTTTTTTCTAATTACCTTAAAAACGCTTGAGATTTTACATGCATGCAGTCTGAGTTAACACTCAATACACTACTAGGAGCAGGTCATTAGTCATTTTTATGTACGTCGAATAAAAAATACATGCTTAGTTGATAGGCGCTACTGTGACAGTTTTAGAACGAAAAAAGAACCAGGCTTCGTGATATTTTACCACGTAGTAGGACCCTTAATACCCAACACATTAAAGAAAAATGCGGAAAAGACACCATTTTATCAAATAATCAGTGGCTTGCCTGGCAACCAACGTGGAATCTTGTGAAACTTCCTTCAAATACATGAATTATAATAAATCCCAATAACTTACTGAGTGTTACGTCCTTATAGAGAATTGCTTCGAAATAACCAGCAATTCCATGTACAACGGCATCTTGTTGAATGTTAAAGCTACAACACACTTCACGTGCATTCGACTGATCCAATTCTAGAAAAAAAACCAAATGCCTTATAGCTCGATGGAAATATAAATACTTAAAAATGCCAAAATTTCTAATCATATGCATTATATCCCGATGAGAATAAAGAATGGTAACTGATGGGATCTATTTCTGGACCATTACTATATATATATATATATATATATATATATATATATATATATATATATATATATATATATATATCGTATAATTGTTAAGTAACTAAACTATTAATATTCGTGTCCCTCTTATTATGAGCTTTATTTTGACCTATGAACTATTATTATACGATTTACCGTCCTTGAGTTATGCCATGTATATTAATTACTACCTCCCACATTCACAGCCACATTTGGCTAAATATTGTACAAATATTGTTTCCTATTTTATGGTATGATATGGTCTGTTTGGTTGGTATATAAACCCAGCATGTTTGAAATAAATTATTTATATTACAGAGACTGAAACTGGTGTTCTGGACTTAACAAGCAGCACCGATAAGGACTCTAGACTGCTCGTACTTATTTTATGCGTCATTCGTCCAATCGATAATTTACTGTTCTCTAATTGGCGGTATCAATACGTTATACTTTAATAGGACACAGGGCATAAAATATAACAAGAAGCTTATTCACTCACCTTTTTTTGGATGTTCAAATGTAAAAGCTGGTTGAGGTGAACTCAATATTTGACAATTACGAAGTCGAACAACATAAGGTGTTTCCATGGAATATCCGACTCTATTGGTCTGCATTATCGAAAAAGGTACAAGTAATGAAGTAAAACATTTATCAAAGTAATTTTGTCTTTTCAAGTTTAAAGCAACCAATTAACCAATCACTGGGACTGGTCTGGAATAAATTAAAACAATATGAGTGGATGACAATTGGTAACTAATTAAAAAAATACCATATTCATTTGAATGTCGACCTTATCCCTAAGGAAAAAAAATATGTATTCATGAATGTGCGGATATTCTCGATTTAATCAAAGTCAATAAAATTACTTTTACTTAAGAATATGGTTTGGAGTTTGCGTTTAGGACTCGAATGACTGCGTAATGTAACAATAATTAACAACTAGTCTATCACACATAAAAAGCTAGAAATATTAGGGCTACGGTTGAGTGAATCGCTTGTGCATATGCTGCTACTTTTGCACACATAGTTCAAGTATGAAACATTGAACTGTCAAGCGGTTCTGTAGTGCCGTTACACAATAAAGAATTTCGTAACCATGACTGAACTTAACGGCAACAACGTAACAGTTAATCAACAGATGCCCTTTGTTTTCTCAATATAAAAAGTTGCTGAGATATGATACATGAAACGGAACCACAAAACAAAACGTTAAAATGGCTAATCTCAACTACGCTGTACTGTAGTTTACTGGATCTTAGATTATCATTTATAATTTGCACAGAATAATAACAATAATACATACTGCTCTTTATTATATCTAAAAGCTTGGAAAAAAAATCCGAGTAACCAACCAACTTACCACATCTTTAGATCGTCTAGTTTCATTATATATTTGTAAGGATTGTAAAGGAGCAACATATGATGTGTAGGAACACGGTATACTAATTCCATCATCTAAGTGAAATGAATAGGAATGCATAATACGTAAACGATAAGATCCAAACATTCAATAGTTAACATCAAATAAGAACATTACCATATTTATTTTTTTATATGAGAGGGAATCTTAACAAATGCAAAACACACACAAAAGTTAGAAATTACAATGTGTTATGAAAGTTATTCTGATAGAATTGAAGAAACATTGGTAAGTGAAACCAACTATATCAGTAGCTTGCATCACAGACTAATTTTAACTAGAAAACCATTGTAAACTATGGAACATTGAATGGCTGTATATGACTTCTCGATAGTTTTTACCCACAATTGCGCATAAAATTGAACATGTTACATTCCCGGTCCTGGATAAGAGGGTTATTTTAAGACCACTAAGTTTGGATCCACTCGTTTGGTTGGAATTTTTAACTTTTATAGGTCAAGGCCTCTCTCCAGAACTTCATGAATTTCTCATGATATATATATATATATATATATATATATATCAGTGTAGGGAAGTAACCAGGTCCAACATTTGTTACAACATACAAACTTGTCAATAAATACAAAATAAATGAATAGACATGATCTTGAAATTTGCTTTACCTATTATACAACCTGTTCTGTAGTTATCCAAGATGATGATTTGTTTTTGAATAGAGAACTCTATCTGTATGAAATGAAAGTTCTTTTCAAAATGTTTGGGCTTAATTTACTATATTTAACAGCTCTGCCTTCTATCAATTCACTGTTCAAAAATCATATTTCATTTTTTTTGTAATAAATAATTCTGTGTCATTCACATAGTGTATTCGTGATTATTTAGTGCATTCAGCAGAAAGGTTTGTAATCGAGTGATTAGTGTGTTAAAATTATAACAAATTTTCTTCCAAGGAAAATCCATATCATGTATAAGTTGGATATGATGGATGTCGTTTAGAAATTAGTTACAAATCTGAAAGGAATACTTATTAAAAGGCTTTGCATTTAATTTCATTACGAAGTAATCGATTAAGGCGATCTTGTTTGACTTACTAATTGTTTAAAAATGCAAATTCAGAAACTATTAAATATATAGGACTACAATATTAATATTCAATATTGAAGTCCAACTATGATTACTGAGTAAAATGAATCGAAATCCGCTTAAATTATTTAGATGAGTATTAAGTACTCTTCGTTGTAAAGTGGATAAATGTGATTCCTAACGTATTATTACACAAACATTGGGAAATGGGATCAAGTGAACAATCATTGAACTGGGAATTGTTAACAGTATACAACCTGACATTTGCATGCACTGATCAAACGAACTGATTGGTTCATTCTTAACCAATCAGTGCTAGTGGATAAGTCGAAATGCCACAAGATTCCTATATAAATAACAAAAGTACATCAATGCTTTTACTACGGGTATTTTTGTTGTTCGGTTTATTGGAATATATATTATTCACCATAAATTTGTGTTTTAATTAGGAAGATACAAGTGAAGTATCACAGTCAAGGAAAAATAGACAGTAGAATAATATTTTAGAATAAAATATTTAATCTGACACAATCAAAAGAAAAACTTACCTTTTAACATTGGTTGTGCACCATCTAAACATTCTGGACTTAATTCATTATCACCAAATGAACCAAGTAGTTCACTGACAAATATATCAGCTTTTTCTGGTGTTTTTAAATTACGCATATCACCTTCAATTAATTGTACATCTAATCCTTGCCATTCATGATTTATCCTAGACTGAGTTTAAGGTAGAAAAACATTGAAAATATAAACTGAACAAGAGATGAGATTGGAAAAAACAATCATAGATTTGATATAGCTTAAAATATCTTTTTAAAAGAATGTTTGGAAATATAATTCATTATAGGATTGAAGCTGTAAGGATGTATAGGTTCATCGTAATTTTAGAAAATTCTCAGAATAAGTATTATTTTCTATTTTCTTCAGTTTGTTTCGTCTAAATTTTTTCACAGTTTAGTAATCGATAACTATTGGTAGTATTGTTTACACCTAGGTTTTGTAGAGATATAAATCGATACAGTTGTGTCAGATCCTACGTTGCTTAAAATTAATTTTGGGGGAAATATTTGTCGGCTTAGAGAATGCAGCGTTACAAATTACAACACGGAGACGTGAAACGGAGTTAAACTAATAGTAATATCACAGATAGTGCCACTCTATATGTTTATGTTTTCTTACCTAACAGAAACCTATAAGCGCAATGAATTAAAATTAGCGTCACATCTTGATAATGAACATCATAACAAACATCCTAGTCAGATGAAAAGTTACATTTATTATTCATCATTGAAGCGCGGTTCGAACTTGTGACATTCCGGTTGAAAGCCAAGTGCTTTAAAAACTAATTGGTGATTATGCAGTGTTATGCATATTACTATTCAGTGTAATCAACATCATAGTAACTCCACCTGCAGCTCTTCCAGGGTTACTACCGATCCCAAGCCCGGGTAAAGAAGGGTTGGGTATAAGGTCAGCAACTCCATCCCATGCAAAACAACCTTGTTAAAAAATCGCTAACCACAATAAACAATTTAAACTCTGCCAAAGGAATCGAAGGATCTTCGTCGAGAAGAATTGTGACACTTCATGATGAAAGCCAAGATTCTTTGAAAGTCGCGAGGCCGATGCCTCGAGACACTTGGCAAGAACAAGAGAGTGAAGAGAAGTATTAGAGCCGACAAGCAGAAATACGTGGAAGATACAGCAATGACGGCGGAATAAGCTGCAACAGAAGGAAATATGAAACATCTATATGGTATAACGAAGAAACTAGCAGAGAAATATGGCAAACCAGAACGACCAGTCAAGAACAAAGGAGGCAAGACAATCACCGAAATTCAAGAACAGAGGAATAGTAGGGCAGAACAATTTGAAGAACTCTTGAATAGATAAACCCCAATGAACCCTCCGGACATCCAAGAAGCACACACAGACCTTCCTATAGATGTCACTCCACCGATTGAAGAAACCAGGATGGCTATCAGACAAAACAAGATGGGAGGGCAGCATAAACAGGCAACATACCAACTAAAGCACTGAAGTGAGATATAGAAGTAACTGCAAACATGCTTCACACTTTATTTAGGAAAATTTGGGGGAAGGAACAAGTGTCGACAGACTGGAAGGAAGGACACCTCACCAAGATAATAAAAAAGGAGATCTGAGCAAGTGTGAAAACTACAGAGGCATCAAACCACTATCAGTACCTAGAAGTTTTCAAGTGTTGTTTAACTGGATGGAAGATTCAGTAGATGACCAACTTCGAGATCAACAGGCCGGATTCCGCAAGGATCGGTCGTTCATAGAACAAATCACGGCAAAACGTATCATAGTTGAACAATCAATTGAATGGAAGTCGTCAATATGCATCAACTTCCTTGACTATGAGAAGGCGTTTGACAGTGTGGATAGAACCTTCTTCAACAGTATGGTGTAGCTGAGAAGATTGTCAACATCATACAGAATTCATACGACGGACTATATTGCAGAGTCGTGCATGGAGTACAGCTGACAGACGCATTCCAAGTGAGGACCGGAGTCAGACAGGGCTGTTTACTTTCTCCCTTCCTCTTCTTCTGGTGGTCAACTGGATTATGTAAATCTCCACATCTGAAGGGAAGCACGGAATAAGACAGACAACTTCCATTCAGTCAGACGACTTGGACTTTGCAGATGACGTAGCCCCTCTATCCCATACACACGAACAAATGCAGGTCAAGACAGCCAGTGTGGCTGCAGCCTCGGAATCAGTAGGCCTCAACATACATAAGGGAAAAAGCTGGACCCTCAAATACACAACAAAGAGCCCCAAATAAATTACACTTGATGGAGATGCATTAAAAAAGAGACAAAAACAGTTGAGGTGATAACTTGCCAACAGATTTTTTATTAGGAACTTGTCCCTACACTTAACCCTATCATCGTTAACAGAAGATATTCAGGAACTTACACGTAATGTACACAATGCATTTGGATTTTTTTCAACTGCATATATCCGAACTTTACATTGAGCTCTTTCAGCAGCATTTATAGTCGCATTGACAAGGGGACCACGACCTGCACCCAATACCATAACTACTTGACAAATATTTGAATTATGATTGATAAGAGCGTTTGAATGCTCTTTAGTTTGTGATGATTGTGAAGGCTTGGTTAGACATTTTTCTTTAGCTGTATTCGATTCATTATATTTAGATAGACGGTCGCAAAGAGCTTTGTAAATTGCCTAAATAATTACAAATATATTACCATTACTAATGAATTTTATAAAACCGATATTATAATTTCACTGTACTAGAGAACAAATTAAAAATATAATTAGAAAAGAAATCCAATTATAGACGATTCTTTAAACTAAAGGCAAAATGATGAGTGTTTATTCTCACCCGACTTCCGTTTGTATAAATTAATGCTCTACACTTGGGAACATTTGACCACACTACAGCTTGTACTTTGGATATAAAGAGAAATAATGTAAACTGTATTGGGGCCTTACAACGTGTATTGATTACTAACTTTGGTGAAGGCTAGGAGACATTTAAATAATTGGATTTCGGAAGCCTTCATATCACGTGGGAAGACTGTTAATTTGAGAAAACGAAACCAATCAAAACGAAATCAGTAGACCGGTGTTCAAACCTAGGAATTACTCGTTAAAAGCTGTGTTGTTTTTTACGTGAGTAAACTAATTAGAACGAAGAAAGCCATTGCGGCATCAAAACCTTTCAACACTTTCTTCAAACCCAGACAGCGACTTCTGACACAAATAATTTCAATTAACTTATTTGAATACACTTCCGATGTTGCTTACAAAATTGACTAATTGCATATTGAATGGCTGACATAATGGGTCGAGTAGTATGAAAGTAAAACTCATAGAACTATCATGAGAGGAATCATTATTTATTGTATGGTTAGTAGGAACTTGTACTGCTGTATTTCTATATTGTATTCCTATGCTTCCGTTTGATCCATATGTAATACATCGGTATAGCATAATACATTGACAACGTAGAGTGATCTATTAGCCAATCAGTAGTGTTTAATTACAAGACAATAAACAATGAAGAAAAAACTAGAGTGGAATGATAGTTTTGATAGGATTAATTAAGCCTTACATCCTAAATTATTTATTATAGCAGAAATGGTCACGTTTATATATTAGGAGTTATGAGTTAGGGTTATAGCGCTATAGGTTTTTTGTCACCGACTAGCATTAGCTACAATGCAATGAAGCTTTGGGACTCTTGTGTATCAACTTACGGAATTTAAGGATAAAATTTAGAGTTAAGAGTTACAATGGGAGAATATTATTTAACTACATAAACACCCTTGAACTGTGCACTAAATCACATCAGATACATACACATACAGTCCCCAAATGCCCTGGTACGGTCGAAGGTGAGGAGTTTGCTCTCCTCGAAACGCTCTCACATGACCACGTGCATACAATCACTACTAGGGAAGTCTTAATCACTGAATCATCGCAGTGGGGGTGTCGTTTACGAAATTGAGAGGACGAAAAGAGAATGTCCTGAGCTTTAACCGGGTCGGTGGATATGGAGGATCCACCTAGGGGAGTTGGAGAACCCGCATTCCAAACCAGTGGTGCACATGGGCTCCAGGATCTTGAAGCAACAAATGGCGTATAAACCAATTATTGGTTACCGGCTACCATGGGACTGCATCTCCTGACGTTGCTCCACTACTTTGTGTGGCACGTATATATTTGATGCCTCCTTGTGTCAATATTTGTGTTTTAAAAAATAATATATCAGGAGCAGATATTTCTTGTAATTTAGCTTAAGTCCGTGTTGTGCTCACTGTTCGGTTGGATAATAGATATTTTTCATCTATTCAAAACATTGTAGGGACCAAATATTGCTCAATTTTACTTAGATCCTAGTAACACACAAGTCATCTTTGCCTTTCATTGCGCTTTTAATTTTGCGCAAGAATCTACGAGGCGTTATCCGAATTCCGACTTCCTTACTTAAGGCTGCCAGTATAATATACTTTTACCACTGAGTTATTTACATATTGTAATACTCTGTGGCTAGATATGTCAAGTATATTATGTGTTGAGTCATGACTGGATTGAGTACAACAGACAACTGATCTGCTTCCTAACTTTGTCACTTGGTTAGTCGCTGGGTCAGAAGGAACCCGATCACCAATAGGCGTTAAGGCCTTGTTCATTGCTTATTGGTCCATGTATCAGTTGGTAAATAGGTCACCCGTCCCACTGGTAATAATATGGGTGAACTAATCGATAACCAAACTGGAGGGAGATCATACAAATACTTTCCAATAATTATGCACTGATCATACGGGACCAAATACACCCAAGCATTTTTTCAACAATAACCTATTGATAGTTGTACATTTAAATCTCGTAATGGTAGAGGTGGTAAGAATATAAGCAGTAATCGGAAAGATTAGGGTTTGAATATGTTATTCAAGGAGTATAATATAGTGAAATAAATTTGGAAAGAGGAAAGAGCGGGACATGAAGAATTCAGAAGATTAGAATCTGGGAGAACACAAAGAGTGGATGCACCTGTGCCATTGCAAACGATTTTCAACCATGTCATTCAAGGTCTTTAACCACCGGTTGCTATCATCTCGCGGATCCCAACCAGGTAGTCTACATCTACCAACATGGCTCAGTCCACTTGTCAGTGACTTCATGGATTTGTGCCATGATCTGGTCTGGCCGCCCCTAGCATTCTTCCAACCTACTCCTATACCATTGAACATCGCACGTCGGGGCAGTCGGTCAGTCAGTCAGTCAGCTGCAACGTAGTACCAGGCACGTATATGCATCGGTCCAATTTGCCATACCGCATTAGCACAACAAGATGAGCACCGGATTCATAGAAGTAGTTAATTCAGTGGTGGTAATATATAGAAGAAAGAGTGTGTATAAGGAGATAGTACAGGAAGATAGAATTAGTTCCTAGAAAGAAAGATTTGAAGTGATTTTAATCTCTTAGTTTAAAGGAAGACAGAGAGTGAATACACCGACGCCATTGTGATCGATTCTGAGCCATGTCACCAGTCGGTGGTTGGTTGTACGTAACACGTGTCCCAGCCATCTCAACTGATGAAGTTTCACTACTTCATCGATTGATTTTCCATCCTTACCTAGTACCTGTTTTCTAACAACTGAGTTACTTACTCGATGGTCGCAGGATATACGAGCAATGTTTCAAAGACACCTGCTGTCTATATCATTAAATAATCAGTCAGGTGAAAGAAATTTAATTCATGATCCTTAAGTTAAATACAGACATCCATGCATGCCAAGGGGATATATGCATGAAGAGTCATGACGTTATACTTATTACTAAACAATTAATTAGTCATATTCTACGTGAAACGACCAAGACAAAAAATTACTGTACATGTTAGGAATCGATCAATGAAACATTATGATTTATTATCATAAATGTAATTCTTGATTAGAATTTTATCTATTTAATGTGTTATGTTTTGCTGCTGTGTACGTTTTGTCTAAATATCTATGCTTGTTACCAGTTTCTGTATTGATATCATTATGTTTGCACTTTCTGAACGAATGAAATTTTAACACCAAGTTGTAACAATTTTAATTGACTAATCCCTAAATTGCATTGTAGAGTACAAATAGATCATTTGTGAGCAAATTAAATTCGACACATGATTATTAAACAGCTGGTGTTAACTAAAATTTGTTACACACAAATAGTTTTTTGAAAGCAGAAAATATTATTTTATATCTTAGTTAAAACATCAGATTCTTCGAGGATGAAGATAAAATTTGCTAATGAATAATAAAAGGAAAAGAATCTCCAACCACTGGCTTTCTTGACTGCTTACTCCTCAGTATCATCATTAGATTTAGGTTTTGAGCTCACATTAACTCATTTACCAGGTCTTTGTATATGAGTCACACTCTAAGTGTGAGGTTTAGTGATACTAACCGAGCCAAAACAGATGGGATGGAGCTCAGATCTGTGCTTCAGAGATGAATGCCACAACCACTAAGCCACCGCTTCATTCATAGGATTAAATAGTTGTGGAATAAATAGAAAATAAGGAAATAATCCATATAAAACAAACTAATTTAAAGACTTACAGTTTCATACGCTTGATATTTAAACGGATCCATTTCGAATATTGAATATGTTGTAGAAGACAAGTTATCACGAAGTGGTTGCAAAGGTTCCTGACAACAATGGCAAAATATAAACACAGAATATGGCATGACTAGTGTTTAGACTAGTAAATAGACTGAATTATAAATGATCAAGGAATCAGGACTAACGATAACAGTTAAAAATATAACCAATTTTAAGATAATGTGGTATTTAAATACATAAAAAAGGACGAAAAGATGTCACTTGAAACTGGTAATGAGTCGTACGTAACATAAAAAGCCGTTTCGGTTAGTTAGTCATATGTAACGTAGAACCTAGAGCATAATGGGCATCAGTTGTCACCATATCGGTACAACCAAATGAAATTATAAAAACAAATAGAGTCAGTTAGTCAGTTAGCTACAACGTAGGACCAGGCACATATATATATCGGTCCAAGTTGCCACACCTCACTAGCACAACAAGATAAACACTAAATTCATAGTTACCTCAATGATAGTAATATATAAAAGATCGTGTATAAGGATATAATACAGGAAGAAAAAAATCAGTTCGTAGAAAGGTATAAAGTAATTTTAACCTCACAGTTTAAGGGAAGACAAAGTGCATACACCTACGCCATTGTAAACGATTCTGAGCCATATAGTAACAGTATCAGTGATGGTAGAAAAGATTAGGCATAGATATGAGTCGAGGACAATGAGTGAAACTGTGAAATGAAAGGAGTAAAGTAGTTTCAAAATACAATATCTAAGGGAAGACAAAGTAAACGCATCTTCACTATCCCGATCAACTCTAACCCATGTCACCTAATGTCTCCAATCATTGTATGTGATGGTCGCCTAGACCTCAACCTGGTGGTTTGTGTCTACTAGCATGGTTTAATTCAACACTCCGTGACTTGATAAACGTCTTGATATGGCCACCCCTTATCCAGCAAACATTGCACATCGAGGTAGACCTTTTCACGAAATTTAGTTCTTTTCAATTTTAGTATCGTTAGAGAGGGAATATATACATTTTTAGGTCGTGGCATAACTTAATCGTTTTGAGATTTTATAGACTCTAACTCTAATTCAACCACTATCGCACCAAATTCTATGCCGATATGATTGATATAAACCTGTAACTCAATAACTTAGATATACAGCTTCTAGTTAATAAATTATGCCAGTAAGAGGTTGTGGAGATGGTTGAATTTCGTTGGAATCGATCATGAACCGCTTCAAGTTAAATCGTATGTTCGAAAACTCTTACTACCACAATTTGAAGTGGCTGTCTTTAGATAATAAGTATAGCTAACATATAATACATTTACTACACCTCAAATGGTTAATGGATTGAATATTTTTAAATAATAGAAGTTTAGCAATTTTATCTGATTCTCATATATAGTTAACGGTTACGGTGTGAAAAAAAACAGTGAAGTGTTTAAACAATTTTGATTATTGATTGTACTTATTTCTGGTTTAACATCATAGTGCAGAGAGAATACACTGCACTATTCAACTAAATATCGAACCTAGTAGAGGATGTCAACAAAGAGTATGGGTATATTTCGTAAAATAAACTTTCAAATGGATTGTGACATTTATTATCAGTTTATGTAATTTATTTCGTAACATTAAATAAAGTTTTTTTCAGTCTTTTAAATTTTCTGTGTTTATTAATTAAGAGGAAACTTTGAGTAGATTAATGTCATGTTTGTGTAATAAAACTAACCTGTAATTGATCTTCTAATCCCTTTGACTGTTCTTCATACAAATCAGGAGCATCTTGAGATTGCCAAAGCCATGCGATATATTGTTGATATGCTGTATAACCTTTATCATTTCGACAGGCACCAGTCAGTACAATTTGTACATTCAGCTATAAAGTGAGATTCGCAAATTTTCCCATTACATCACTAATTCAAAAATAGACTGAATTAATACAAGACATGAAAATCTAACAGGTATGTATTTGATAAATAGTTGGTACAATGAGGAATTTAATTTTTTCATGAACAGTCAACTTCGGAAGAATTTAATAGAAACTCGACAGCAGTGATTATCAACTTTATTCTAGTTTCTAAACTTGTTCACTAAGAAAAAACTAATGGAAGGATTTCACAGATCATAAAAAATGAGTGATAGTTTATTGGTGCTATTACTACCATTATTTCTAGTATAAAAGGATTGATTGACCACCCATCCGGTAGTTCTTGGTCTGCAGTAATTCACTAGGTTCCATCTTAGTTGCTGATCAGAATTACTTGCTATTAGATTTCCTGAGCGATAGAAATTTGTAATGTGTAACTTTAATGAAGTCAGACATAAGAGCACATCCCCACTGGTGATATTAGAAACTAAATGTGTTGGAACATCAATCAACTTCAATTAAACAGTGAGGATCGTTAAATTTCTAACAAGTGATTCAAGGTCAATTTACTGATGGTAATATGTAAAAGTATTAATTTTGATCCTATAAAGAATCCTACACTGAAAGTGAAAAACTAGTCTAACACCACCGGAATCCTGACGGTTTTCAACAAATATGTCAGTCAGTCAGTCAGCTGCAACGTAGTACCAGGCACGTATATGCATCGGTCCAATTTGCCATACCGCATTAGCACAACAAGATGAACACCGGATTCATAGAAGTAGTTAATTCAGTGGTGGTAATATATAGAAGAAAGAGTGTGTATAAGGAGATAGTACAGGAAGATAGAATTAGTTCCTAGAAAGAAAGATTTGAAGTGATTTTAATCTCTTAGTTTAAAGGAAGACAGAGAGTGAATACACCGACGCCATTGTGATCGATTCTGAGCCATGTCACCAAGAGTCTCCAACCATTGGTTACGATAGTCACGCGGACCCCAACCAGGTAGTCTGCATCTACTAACATGGCTCAGACCAGAAGTTAGTGACTTCAAGCACTGATGCCACGTTTTGGTTTGTCCGCCCCAAACTTTCTTCCAATCATCCCTAACACCGGTTAGCATTGCGCGCCGTGGTAATCGGTGTTCAGGCATACGCAGCACGTGGCCCAACCATCTCAGTCGATGAAGTTTCATAACCTCATTAACTGATTTACCATCATTCCCTAATACCCTGCGTCTAACCTCACTATTACTTACCCGGTGATCCCAGCAGATACCCGCAATATTTCTAAGACATCTGTGATCAAACACTAGTATCTTCTACTCTTAATGGCCATGTTTCGCAGCCGTATAGTAGAACGGAACGAACTGCCGCGCAGTATACTCGTCCCTTAATTGATAGACGAATATCTCGCCATTGCCATAGGTGACGCAAGTTGGCAAAAGCCAAACGAGCTTTTCGAATCCGTGCTGAGATTTCGTCAGACACCAACCCATTAGGGCTGATCAGACTTCCAAGATAAGTGAAGTTGTCAACGCGTTCGACTATTTCCATCCCTATCATTAGTTTAGGTGTTGACGCAGACCAATCCTGAAGCAACAACTTGCATTTGGAGGGAGAAAAGCGCATCCCAAACATTCTGGCATTGTTGCTCAGTGCTACCAAAAGACTTTGCATTTCATCAGCGTCTTCACCAAACAGGACTATGTCATCTGCGTATTCTAAGTCAATAAGTGGACTTCCTGGTAGGAGATCAATACCTGAGAATTCAGTCGATGAGAGCGTTATTTCCATCAGTAGATCTATGACGAAGTTGAACAAAAATGGAGAAAGTGGACAGCCTTGGCGGACGCCACTTGACGTTGCGAAAGCAGATGATAGTTCGCCATAAGCTCTCACTTTACTGGTAGTGTTCGAGTAAAGAGCTTTCACAAGGTTTATGTACTTCTGAGGTACGCCTTTCAATGACAAACACTGACACAGAACCTCTCGGTCAACAGAGTCAAACGCTGCTTTTAAGTCAAGGAAGACCACCATTGTCGGACGCCGATAAGTATGCCTGTGTTCTAGAACCTGACGAATGGTGAATATGTGGTCGATGCAGCCACGACCAGGTCTGAAGCCAGCCTGATTTTCACGTGTTTGCAGCTCACGAGTCTTATTTAGGCGTCCGAAAATTATCGAAGCTAGTATTTTAGATACTATATTAGTTAAACTAATCCCTCTGTGGTTGTCACAGGATGATTTTGACCCTTTCTTAAATATTGGGACGATAAGTGATTGTGACCAGTTAGATGGGATAACGTCTAACTCCCAGATTTTAGCTAAAATATTAGTCAACCTAATCGCTAAATTTAGACCACCATCCTTAAAGACCTCTGGGGCCAATCCGTCTGGACCAGCTGCCCTTCCTCGTTTCAGATTAGCTATAGCCTTTTGAACTTCAGCTAGAGTTGGGGGACCTACTTCAATGTTCCATTCATACTGTCTGGGAATAGAGGGTAGTTGTAGAGTAGCTGAAGGCCAGCTAAACTGCTCCTTAAAATGTTCCGCCCATCGTTCTAAACGTCTGGACTGAGAGCAGATGAGAGTGTCGTCTTTTTCCGAAATAGTCTGACTTACACTTGATTTATTAATTCCAGTTTCTTTTATTAGTCTGTAGAGTTGTCTTGTGTTCCCTATAGCCGCCGCCTTTTCAATCTCTTTTGCTTTCGTTGCCCACCACTGCTCACGATCGTTCCTTAGACTTTTGCTTAACCTAGATCTGATTTCTTTACGCTCTTCATCGTGTTCAGAACCTGATGGGATGAGTTTACGAGAATCTATCAGTGCAATAGACCTTGAAGAAATCCATTGGTTCTTTGTAACCCCGTGGTTTAAATCACAAGTAGATGTCACTGCTGTTTCCACAGCTGCTTGTATGTCTTTCCAATCAACATCGGGGTCAGCCTCGTTTTCAGAACTACCTAAGTGTGACCTCAGTTGTTCCTGGAACCTACTTTTGGTTTTCTCATTACTCAATTCGGTTCTAATGAATCTTTTTTGTGTGGCTTTTTTGCGTCCAGTGAGGCGCAAGCACATGCGTGCTCGTACTAGGGCATGGTCGGAGTCCAAGCAGGTACTCCAGAATGAGCGACAATCTCCTATTGACCCTCTCCAACTATGACTGATGGCAATATGGTCTATTTGAGTCCATCGTTGGTTTGGTGCAGGGGGTCGCCATGTTAGACGATGTCTCTCCTTATGCTTAAAATTTGTGTTTGCTAAAAATAAACGATTGTCTGAGCACAGTTGCAGCAGACGATCACCATTATCTGTTCTCTGTGCCGGAATACTAAAATACCCACCTAAATGTCTTTCTGTTTTGTTTAAGCTACCTACCTGGGCATTAAAGTCGCCTGCTACGAGTACTATGTCTGAACGTTTAGCTTTCTGAAGTTCAGACAGCTTTCTGTAAAATTCATCTTTCACTTCATCCGAACTGCAGTCAGTGGGAGCGTAGGCAGAAACGATGAAAAGGCAACGACGTGTGTCCCTATCCTTTCGAGTTCTTACGGAGCCGAAGAATTGTTCCAGCTGGTATGAGTCTCAAGTACAAAGACTTGAAATATGGATCAAGAGAAGATTTATTTGTTTTTACAATGATAACGGTGAAGAGACAGTTTTAAGGACGGGAGTCTTGTTCTCACTAAATTTATTTAACTCTTGAAATTCTCTAGTTTTTCCAGGTGAGGAAATTAGGATGATTACCAGGATCAGTCTGCATTTTTGTTGGCTTTTTAGTTTTGTGGTTTAATAACGATCTACTGTCGGTATTTTACAGTCATCTAGTTTTTTGCATAGTTGCATATAACAGATTACATCAACCCTTATATTTTACAAGCAAAAAAATTTTTTTGTGACCAACAACCCAACTTGAGACAAAATCAATTAGTTGTAATCGGTGTACAACCCACGCGTTTATGGGATGTCAATTAATTTTGAAAGTTCTAATTAGAGAATCACTGGCCGGTACTTAACTTCTTGAAATCCTAAGAGATCAAGTTGACTGTGCAAGCTTATCATTCTAACAGTCACTGTAGTTTTTAGGAATCTGGTTAACTAGCTAGATGTATTGAGTTTTTGAAACAACGAGCAGTAGTCATGGTACAAATGAGTTAGTGTAAAGGAATAAATAAAGTTATCAAACATTAGTAGCACAGCACTAATCCATACGGAGACTAAACAAGAACTGGTGTGTTTACCTAAATGTAACAAAACCGTTTTATTACATCCATTAAAAGAAACGTATGGGAACTCATAAGTACCTTAAAGAACCGGCTGATGATATACTGATGACTCTTTGGTAGTACAGGGTAGCCCTTGGAATTTGTCAGGAACAGCTGTGTGTCGATCAACAAACAAACCACAGGCTCACTAAACCATCTTGAAATCACTGACTCATTGGGTAGGTCATTTGGTATCTCAAGAACAATGCCAAGAGCGTCTGAGATATCAGCTGTCATGGTAGATAGATTTAGCCACCAGTGCCAGGGTGAATACAATGATAATTCATCCGGTGTTGATTCTTTGTTTTCCATTTTACTCACTGGAATAAATCATATTGATAAATTCGCCACAGTGACGAAGTATAAACAGCACGAATAAATTTTAAAAACTTTAAGTTACATCAGCTGTGATAATGAAGACAAGTAACAAGTTATTTTATGAATGATTAGATCGTGATGGAGCCCAACACAACAATGTATCACATGAAGCTAATACCTGGTGAAATGAAAAACAACTGCCAGACAACCTATAAGCTATTAAGAATATCTAGGTAAGACTACTTTGTGAAAGATTCTCAAACCATCAAGCTTTACAGCAACGGGCTATTTGACACAGCGAAGAATCAATCGCAATAGCAGGGGATTAACTATTTATTATATAAATAGTGATTATTCCAATGTTTTCTTTTGTCATGCTCATGTTGTATACTTTAACACTGCATTTGTTGATCTTTTTATTTCACTGCTGTTATGATAACCTTAATGCATAAACTCGTAGAATGTTAAGTAATTTCCTCAGGTTTTATTAATATAGTATATTCTCATATTTAGTGGCCAAATGACTTGGTGCTATGCACTAATCTGAGTGTAAGGAATAGTTACACGCTTTATTTTTATCTAGAAAGCTCCAAAGGCTTTTGCTTTCAAATTTAAGCAATCCCTGCATGGCAGAGTGACGATACAATGCATACTAATGTAGATGCAACTTAGGTTATTTAGATGAGTGGATTACTCTCATAAAGACAGAACGATCAACAATATATGGCTGGTGCAACCGAAATGTATGAAAGTTCTAAGTTTACTAATTACGACTGAGTCGAGTAGATAAAGGATCAAACTTAATCCTTTTAATCTAACTATTAACTCCAATGAGTAACTATGCCACAATATGCAATTAATCTGACTTTCTATGTTAAGTAATTAGTTTTCCCAAACGAGATCTTTCTGTTTACAAATCACTAGTTTGTCTAAAAACAGACATGTTGAACTCTGGAGCGAACAGTCCATTCCGAATTTCTGAACAATTTCTTGAACTAGATGCTGTTTTTGAGAGTTTACCTAATAACGCCAGTGAGTAAGACACTTAAGTGCAGACTTAGTGGTTAGCTGCCTTTGTGATGATTAATTGTCAGTTAGTTCGAGAACAATTTGCTTCGTGTTATTTTAAAACATGGAAACCATTTTTATTTTCAAATTACTAACTATAAAGATAATTTTTAAATATCTGTTGAGTATATAACACGTAGGTTGAGTTGCTTTCCTATGAACTGTGAAATTATTTGAAGTAATACTAAATCGCTTTCAAGCTTTGAATTTTCATAATAACTACGCGTGAATATGAAAACATTACATAAAACTTGGATGAATAATCTGAAATTCCACTCACTTTCATTAGAGTTGTTGAGATTGATTACCATTGGAAATACTAGCCATATCTTTTAAAATGTTAACTTGACCAAAGTAAATACCTTAATCGGGGTATATTCCCCACGTATAAAATTTATTAGTAACCTGGCCAGATTAGGACTGGTTGGACGATTAACTCTGATGATAACGGCAGGCAAGCCTAGATGTGCAGCCCAACTAAGTTCTTTCATTAATAGTTGAGCACTAGACTGACGGATGGATATTATATCAACATCAACATCAATCGTCCTTGATACCTTACCTACCAACGACTTCGTGATGCTTTTGCCTAAAGTCTGATGGAAACGAAAGTAAGTGCATACCATTTTTTTCGTAGGCAAGGTCAGAACGTGGATCAGGACCAGCAGAAGTAACTGACGGATCTTCAACAATTGATTTTGGATGAAACAAGTCTATGCAAAGAAATGAAAACCTGGAATTAAATAATGAAATAGTTTAATATTACCCAGACGAGACAGCTGAAGAATATTGCGAAGAGACGTCATTTGTGAAAATCAGGTCAAGACCAACCAGGGCTTCAGAAACCATATTCCCAATTAGTCCTCTAGCCATGCGGAGACCGACCTAGAGCACTCGACCCTTGAAGGTCAGTCGTCTTCCGGCATTCAACTAAAGACAGAACTCAAAAGTAAGACGCACAAATATATCAATCTTTAGTTAGGACTCGACTTGATTATATCCATCAGTGACAAAAGTTGAAGTCTATAAGAGTTCATTACAACTTACATGCCTCATGTAGTACCGGCGGCACTGATATTATAGTGGAATTACATTGTCTTACAACTAAATGGTACTTTTAGTGAAATGCACACCGACTTCGGTGGTTCACACTGCAATTTGAGCGTTACTTGAAGGTAGAAATGGTTTAAAACGGCCAACACGGAAACATAATCGGGAATACATACCTGGACCGTAGCTTGTTCGGTCCTAAAGTGTTTTACATTTTGTAGTGGTAAGTAAACCCTCAAAATAAATAGCTCTGTAAGTCTTTGAAATTGGATGCCGACCGCGTTAGTCTTAGTGGACTCATCTAGCTGAAGGCGCTCGGTCATGCATCCGCACCAGATCACGAGTGGGAACGCCGTGTTCAACATTTCCTGCAATCGCTATCCAGTCTTGATTGGTGGATTCTCGGTATGTTGATAGCCTATCAAATATATCTTCGAACCTCTTCACTTCTGACTTCTGATTTCACTAGGTGGGTACGATTCATAGTAGGTGTTACTGGTTAAAGCGTTGTCAAACTCCAAATAACTGTGACATCTTCAAATTCAAAAGGAAAGTAATGTAAAACTCCGAGGAAATCGCCACCGAATTTCAATTCAAGCTGTCTGATAACCTCTGAAACCAATGTTGTGAATATTCTTCTGGATCCTACCTCAGGTCTATTGATAGACATGTAGATCATCAACGTTGATGATCTCTGTCGAATGTTTGGGGGCCCACTCGAGTTAGACGGGAATGGTGTGACCAACAGCTAACTTCGATGTCACACCTCGCGGTCAGCATCTAACGTGAGTTACCCTTTTGTCATGCCAAGGTCCTACGGCTGCTTTAAAGAACGTATAACACAAAGGCAGTTATTACAGAAATATATTAGCTAGAGTAGGTTCAAGCGAAAGTGTGACCACCACCGCTTTGGCCAGTCCATAGAGTATGATTAACTGATGAGCGTTGGTCGTCCTTGCCCTTGACAGGGATTGATGATCTGTTCGATACTCAGAGACCCAGCTGGTTTAACTAGGGCTCACTGAAATTTCACTGCCCTACAGACACATATCTAATGGTCGTCCGACTGCACATCTCATGATATGACAGACAAAGAACTACTTTCTACTGCTTTACGGGAATCTCTGACGATGTTTACTGATAGGGGGATTTTTCAGTTTCCTGGATTTGTCTGGTCGTCACCGAATTTGGACGCACATGCTAATTTCAAGTGGGGTAAGTTTAAATAGCTCATGAAACTTTAGAATAACTCTACCTAATCTTATTTTTGGCAGTGGCTTCCAAACGGTAAATATCTAACAGTGTAGGACTACTCAGAAACAATAAAAAATGCAGTTGAGCCACATTGTTGGGTAAACTGATGATTAAATTTGAGTTATAGGGACTTTATAGTGCACGAAAACAGAAAAATGTGAAGGTTTGATGTAAAATTAACTGATCCGCGATTAAATAGACGTGCATCTAATTACTTCTGAGTATATAAGAGTCACCTGTAGATTATTAACTAGAAGAATAAACCGATATGAACTAATATGAGGGTGAGAAAGTCGGAATGTGAGTTTATATTTATTTAACTATTTCATTTTACATAGATATTATGTCCCTCTTTTTTCTGTTGTTTTAATGGACAACTGTTTTCGTACTTCTGATTCTCTTTACCCCTTTGGTAGTGTACCTTCAGTAAAGCACTTATATGCAGGGTGGATAAAATAACACTGAACCCTAATCAAAGAAATTGATAAGCAGGACGTGTCACCTTATCACAAAACTGATTGCTAAAGGTTTGATTTCTGGGTCGCCAATGTAAGTGATCCAATCGGTTTCCTTGAGTTAAATGGGGATGGTGTGACTTCTTGGCTTAAACCAAAGTCACACCTTGCTGCAATTAATTATTCTGGTTTATGTTCTTCTGATAAAATGGTGAATATGTTTTCTTGTTGATTAGCTAAAATAAATATCCTCAATGAGCAAGAGAATATGTTCGTAAGAACATATCAGGAGGTGCAAAGTAGCAACATATCATCCGCCTGTCAACACAGCAGAAAAATAGATCTTTTCAATTTCAACTGATCCTTCTTTTGACAACTTTGAACGTCCTGGTTGAGAGCGAACAATGTGTGTTTGAAGTGCTTGGAGTCTTTGGGTGCGTGCAGGCTTGCATGATTTTCAGATGTTCGTGTGTTAGTAGACTTTAGGTGTCTGGAAATCACCAAAGTCATCGCAAGTGACATAGGACATGTCTTCCATCTTCCATATCTTCTTGCGATCCCCTAAACAGTTTGTGACGTAATCTTACGCTTTTCCGTTTACCTTCAGGATTCCGAGTTGTGGCTTGTCGCCTGATGCAGTTTGGTGGTCCCCGCAATGTAAGTTCTATCCGACTCCAACGTCTTTCCCTAAAATCCTCCTCAGATGGGAGCTGGTTCGTTCTCTCCCACAGTAGACTAATGCTGGTGGTATCCAGTCAGCGGGCACTAATTATCTTACTTAGATAATTATTTATATGTAATGTGCTTTTTTGACGGTGGTTGTGGCAGTTCTCTAAGTTCTAGCTCCATACAGCAGAACTGCTTTGATGTTTATATTAAGGACCCCAACTTCGATGTTGGTTAGAAGTTTTTTTGGGTTTGTGAAATCATTGCATAATTTGGCATTAATATATTTAGCTTTGTTACTATAATAATAGCTCTAATCCCAAAACTGAACACTTGTTACGGTATGACTGTTTAGTCTAAGAGGCCTTACGTAGAAGTCACATAATTTTCTATACTGACTCATCCCATCGTGACACCGGCAATATGATATTTAGCAGTTCTAAAGGAAAAATTGAACTAAGCTGCTTTGCTCCTCATCCTTTCTTTTTCTCACCCTTCCCCCCCGAGATATGCCACCGAAAACGCATATGAAACGGGTGACTTCGTCCTGAGCCACAATTGACGCCTGAGATGTTCCAGAGGGATATAAAGTCAGAGTTTATAGAAGCTCTAAAATTTACGTTGATTTACTCCCAACTTTCAGGGCACAGGTAAAACGTTAGAGCCGTTTGAAGCTGCCCGCGCTTTCGTTCCAACGACCTTGAACGGCCTAACAAGAGGCGGTCATTCCGTATTTCGATTGCTGTGGGTTTGTTGGATCGCATGAGTATCAAGTTTTTTCATATTTAAGTCATGTTTTGGTGCAATAAAAAGCGCAAAATAACTACTAAAAGCATTAATTTAGCGTTCTCTGTCTTGCAGTGTACACGTTGGCTCTGTTGTTGCTTCGTAATTTGATCTGTGGTCCCAACTGCTGTAGTAAGCCTCTACGAAATGTCAAATCAGCGGTAAATCTTAAGTACTTGTAGTACTACCTTGGGTTATTACTGTTTCAAGGAATTATTTTTTTATAAATAGTGATTTCTGTTTGTAGTGCTTTATGCTCAAGTGACATTTCAGTCGATCTTAGCGACGCCTTTCAAAGTATGAAACTGAACAAGCGTTTTGCATGCTGAGATGACTTTGATGGCTCACTTAAAGAGTTCCAAAAAGTATGGAAGAGTAATTTTATCATTTCTCAGACTACCTATACCCATTATGTCCACACAGAAAGCAAGTTGATGAAGAATGTCAAATAGCTTTTCACTGTACATTTGGTCATAAGCGGAAATCGGAAGGTTTGAAAGCGAATCGAAAATCGTGAGAAATTTATTTAATATCTGACGTTTAAGGTCTAAATTCCTTAATTGCCAATCAAAGTTCCGTGTAAGAATAGAGGCGCAAGGATATTTCATCAAATTCTACAAGATTCTCCACAATCATCCATGTAGTAGTTCATGGATGCTTTGTGATCCATGGACAAGAAGATTGTCGTTGGCAGAAAAAGAGAATTTAAAGCCAGTCATTTCGCAGTTGCAGTCAACAGATGAAGTTATAGAATGTGTCAAGGAGAGAACTGGCTAGGTGGTCACCGCTGCTGGTGTAAAGACTATGAAAGCTAAACTCTCCACAGGTAAGTGTATAAAAATTGTTCTACTCAAAAGCAGGTTATGGATTTGGTGCGACAAAAAGGCGAAGTTAGGGAACATTTTGAAAATGGATATGTAACGAGAATATGTTTCAGTAGTTATGACCAAATACACTCGTAAAATAAATTTACTGAAGTTGTTTGCATTGATTCTACTTTTAATACCAATAATAAGAAGTGATTGTGCCTTTTGTTGTATTCTACTTTGTGGATATTCCTTATTCCACTTGGTTGTAATGGATGATTTTGGTCGAGGACGTACTGTAATGTTTGCCTGGAAGCGAAAGGAGCAGATATAACCTGGATTCTTGACGAATTCAAAGAAATCATGGGAACAACAACATGGAAAAATATGGTGAACGTTTCGTAACGGAAATTGATAAAAAAGTGAACAATTATTACTTAAGAATTATCAATAATAACTTGTGAACTTGTTTTTATGCTTCAGTATTAATGATGATTAAATAAAGTTTTGCATAATTTTCATTTTCCTCTTGTTCCTACTTTCATGGGGATAAATGCCGATTTTGTTCATGAGTCAGTGTCTGTAAGAATTAGGAAGGAATAAGTGACGCTATTTCCACGTAAAATCTTACAGATTAGACATTCATTATATTTCGTGGTTTGTCCTCAGCTGCTTGGTACCAAATATGCATTAGAATTTAACATTGAGGTATGAAACAGTTGACATAACTAAATATAAACGATTGGAATAACGTAGGTTATCAATAATAACAGTATACTTATGTATATATGCAGTAACAGGTCAGAGGTTTTTGATGGAGTTTTGTTCTCTGAGCTGGATGGTTATTATTATTATTATTATTATTCACCTTAATCGAACTAAGGTTAGCAAAAG